AATTTTCCAGCCATTTCTCTGTGAGTAGAGTTCCGTGCACTCAGAATTACACCGGAAATCGGAGAAGTAAGGCTACGTTTAGCTCTGCATTCACCGGTACCAGCAATTCATCTTCTCTCTGCTCTAGGAATCCCTCAACGGTTGGCTTCAAATTTTGCTTCTTTTCTTTTCGTTTTTTTTTTTATCTCAGGTGGGTTTTGTTAGATTTTTGGTTATTTAGTGTTCTTTGTGATGTATGTGTTGAGTAGCGAGAGATATGGGGTTGGGTGAAATCGAAGACTGTTGGTCTAGGAAGATACAGAAGAAGCCAAGTGAGAGCCGAGATGTTTGGACAGTTGACTGGTGGACTCGAGGCTGCTTGGAGCAAACTCAAAGGCGAAGGTCGATTTCTATATTTTTTTATCCTTGAGCTCAAATTAGGAATCTCTTGTAACTATCAAAGTCATTAGCTTTGTTCATGTTTCTTTAACCTTGAAGAAATGTGCGAAGATGAGTTAATAGGCATTGTGTTCATGTATGTCAAGAAAAAGTCTGTCATATATACATAGCTAGACTCTTGGAACGAGGAATGGATTAGAGAGATATAGTTTTCTATCATTTTAGTTTAAGGCCAGTGTAGTCTTGCCACTGGAAGATGAAGAAAGGATGGGCACGGTTTAAAGCTAGTTACGGTTTTTGAACTTGCAGAGGTTTTGACCAAGGAGAATATTGCCGAACCAATGCGAGATATTAGAAGAGCTCTCCTGGAAGCAGATGTGAGTGGTGGTTTCTTCTGTTTCATTTAGGTTTCTTTTGAAGAATGTGGTGTAAAAGTGATTTACTCGCTTGGCGGTTTTGTTAACAGGTGAGTCTCCCAGTTGTTAGAAGGTTTGTTCAATCTGTTAGTGACCAAGCCGTTGGAATGGGTGTCATTCGTGGAGTTAAACCAGATCAGCAATTGGTCAAGGTAATTAGCAATAAAACGGCTTCTTATTTTTGTTTCAATAGCATAATGGTTTTGATCGCTGATTCACTCTATGATGATCATTTTGGTTTCAATAGTACTCAAGTGTGGCTTATCATGGCTATGTTGCAGATTGTACATGATGAGCTAGTGAAATTGATGGGTGGAGAAGTATCTGAGTTACAGTTTGCTAAATCAGGTCCTACAGTAATATTGTTGGCTGGACTCCAAGGAGTTGGAAAGACAACGGTTTGCGCTAAACTAGCTTGTTACCTAAAGAAGCAGGTATGCTTTTTGAAAATACAGTGGAGATTTTGAGGGGATTGTTAGTTACTCTCTGTCAAATTACACTGACTAATAATGATGTTTACAGGGAAAGTCTTGCATGCTTATTGCTGGAGATGTGTACCGACCTGCTGCCATCGATCAACTTGTCATTTTAGGTGAACAGGTATTGAAATTTTTACTTTTGAAGCATCATGTGCATTATTAGAAACGGCTTAAAAAAAACCTGTGTGTGAACATGTGATGATATTCGATTCCGTAAATCAATATTCCCTGATGCCCTCTTTGTGTCAGGTTGGTGTCCCGGTTTATACAGCAGGGACTGATGTAAAACCTGCAGATATAGCTAAGCAAGGTCTAAAAGAAGCTAAAAAGAATAATGTTGATGTAGTTATTATGGATACTGCAGGGAGGCTTCAGGTAATCTTTCTTCTTTGAGAGTCATTGTATCATAAAGCTATTGCAGCCTTAGTAATGAAGTTGCCTCTTTGTGACAGATAGATAAAGGCATGATGGACGAATTAAAAGACGTGAAGAAATTTCTGAATCCAACAGAAGTGTTACTAGTTGTTGATGCCATGACTGGACAAGAAGCTGCAGGTAAGCTGTTTCTATTCTACATTTGTCAAGAAGATTCGAGACATCCTGAAAATGGATTAGATTCAAAACCGTAGCTCTATCGACCATATACTAAGATGAGCTTCTGTACTTCCTACAGCACTGGTGACTACATTCAATGTTGAGATTGGAATCACAGGAGCCATTTTGACAAAGCTAGATGGTGATTCAAGAGGTGGTGCTGCTTTGAGTGTGAAGGAGGTTTGCAGTCTTACTTTTCTGATCAATTATTTCATAGGACGTTACTTAATGTTGCTGAACATTGATAGTTTACTCTTAAATGGGTGGCACTAGGTATCGGGAAAACCGATTAAACTGGTAGGACGTGGAGAGCGAATGGAGGATCTTGAACCCTTTTATCCAGATCGAATGGCTGGACGAATTCTAGGAATGGGAGATGTGCTTTCATTTGTAGAGAAGGCAACAGAAGTTGTAAGTTCTTTCAGTAAAATTGCAGTCAAAAATTTGTTTTCCTCTCCCTCTCTCTCTCTCTCTCCATTGAGGTCTTCTTCATCTGTCTTTACAGATGCGTCAAGAAGATGCTGAAGATCTACAGAAGAAGATAATGAGTGCAAAGTTCGACTTCAACGATTTCCTAAAGCAGACTCGTGCTGTTGCGAAAATGGGTTCGATGACACGAGTTCTTGGAATGATTCCCGGAATGGGAAAAGTGAGTCCAGCACAAATCCGAGAAGCGGAAAAGAATCTTTTAGTCATGGAAGCAATGATTGAAGTGATGACACCCGGTTTTTCTCTGTTCCTTTCTTCCATTTCAAAATATCGATCTTTTACTCGATTTTGGTTGTCTTATTCTTGGTTTAATATTTTGGAACAGAGGAAAGGGAGAGACCAGAGTTACTAGCAGAATCTCCAGAGAGAAGAAAAAGAATCGCTAAAGATTCAGGAAAGACAGAACAGCAGGTACTCTCACTCAGAGTTTAAGCTTAGTTTCTGCAGATCTCAGATAATAAGAAGATTCTCAATACCGTTTTTTGTTGTTGTTTTTGTTGGTGGTGGTGGTTCAGGTGAGTGCACTTGTAGCACAAATCTTCCAAATGAGAGTAAAAATGAAGAACTTGATGGGAGTAATGGAAGGAGGATCAATTCCTGCATTAAGCGGTCTCGAGGACGCATTGAAAGCAGAACAAAAGGTTTCTTCTATTTCTTTTTCATCTTTAACATGTGACAGAGTTTTAATGGAATCTTGTCAATGTGTCTTAGGCTCCACCTGGAACTGCAAGGAGGAAGAGAAAGGCGGACTCAAGGAAGAAATTTGTGGAGTCAGCATCAAGCAAGCCTGGTCCTCGTGGCTTCGGCTCTGGTAATTAAAACTATTTCAGTCCAGTTTGGTTAATTTCAAAACGGATTATTTTTTGTACAAGTTAATGAATGAGATATAAGAATTCATAAACGAGACAGAGACCTTATGAACTTCCTTGAAGTATATGATTAATCAATTTGTTGACAAAACTCATGATTATTTAGGTAGAAATATATTATTATTTAAATATCATATCATTAACCAATGTATACAAGGCTTTGCATAACTAATATATATAGTTAGATTTTAGGGAGGAAAAAACATTGAAGATAACTAAGAGTATCGTCAAGGGAAAAATATCTCCCCTCGCCTTGATGGAATATCTGTAGGTCGATCTTGTCAAATAACCCGCTCTTGAAACTCACTGTGATATCGGCGACTAGGCCGCGGTTTAAGATATAACCTTTTGGAGTAACAAGATCGTTGTTCAGCCATCCAAAGTTTGTGTCTAATGGCCTTCGAGCATCAACGATTATGACGTCGTCGTCTTCTTCTTCCCAATCATCCTTATAAATGACTTCGCACTTGATATTTACACCAGCCATACTGGACTTTGACATTCCGAGATGGCTCAAGTTTTCGACTTGTATATAGAACCGATCATTGGAGCCAAAGTCTAGCTCCGCACCAAGTTTCTTAAGTGCTAACATCTTTTCTTCGGTAGTTACGTAAATGACAAAGGTGAGATCCGACATGGAGATTTTGGGTTTGGCAAGTTTCACTTCCTTAGCTCCGGAATGTTCTCCTTTTTTGGCCATGATGGGGGATTTCTCAATCTACTTTAATCCTCTCTCTTTTCTTTGTTTTGGAATGAGTTTACTATGATATTAACCATCCATATTTATAGTGTTACAAATCTTCTTTTATTTTTTTGGTAGGCGTGTTACAAATCTTCTATATATCACCATGATGACTCTCAATTATTACATTTTTTTAATTTGCATTAATTCTCATTAATTGGTCATTGGTTAATTAGTAATTTTTATAACAAAATATTGAATTCAATTGCTTTTCCGATATTCCCCTTTCCACAGGCATATATTATTAACTTCCAAATTTATTGCTCATGGTTTGAACATTATGTACTAACTTATATATATATTTTTATAATACATTATTATTGTATGTATTTATAGGTTTTAATTTTTTTTTGCCAAAATATAATGTAGAGTTTTATTTGGAATAAAAAATATATATTAAAATTTGTAGATTTGACAAATATATATTCTGTAAATTTAATTTCTATAACAGAGAAAAAATATTATTTTCCAGATTTTATTTATGGTATTCTACTTTTATATATATATATATCTTTCTTTTCAGTTTTTTTTTACGGTATTCTTATCGTTTATAAGTGTATTTTATTTATTTTCTTGCAAAATAGTTGTTAGTGTTTAGATATTTAATAGTGTGTTCAATATTGTTTAACAAATATTTCTCAACACTTTTTTTTGGTTGACAAAACTCAAATCAATCTTTAGTGTATAATATCTTGTAAGGCTCTTTACTTTATTTATTTTCACCCTAGTATTATTATTTATTTATATTTTCCTTATGCTTTTACTCATTATTTGCTTAGTTTTTACTTTTTTTAATAAAAAAAGAAATCAAAATTTACAATAATTATAACGAATTGATATATTGTTTTCAAGACTAAAAACCAGATCCAAAACCTTCCTTATTTGATTTTTGGTTTGTTATAATTGCATTATTTGATGTTTATATTACTTCTTTTACAATTTTTGAAACCTCGCATTATCGGAAGTATACATTCTTTAATTTAGTTTTGGAAAATTTACTCTTTTAGAGTAAATCAAGACAAAATTCATGATTATTTAGGTAAAATTTTTATTATTATTTAAATATCATATCATTAACCAATGTATACAAATTGTACTTTTAAAAAATTTCATAGGCTTTGCATAATCAATAGTTAGATTTAATAGAGGTAAAAACATTGAAGATAACTAAGAGTATCGTCAAGTGAAAAATATCTTCCTTCGCCTCGGTGGAAAATCTGAAGGTCGATCTTGTCCAATAACTCGCTGTTGAAACTCAGCTCGATTTCGGCGACTAGGCCGCGATATAAGCTCTTTGGAGCTAAAAGATTGTTGTTCAGCCATCCAAAGTTTGTGTCTACTGGCCTTCGAGCATCAAAGATTATGAAGCCGCCGTCTTCCCAATCATCCTTATAAATGACTTCGCACTTGATTTCTACACCAGCCATACTAGACTTGGAGATTCCCCTATGACTCAAGTTTCCGACTTGTATATGGAACCGATCATTGGAGCCACACTCTAGCTCCGCACCACATTTCTTAAATTCTTTCTCCGTGTAATGATTGCAAGAAGATGATGTCTTTTTTACGGTAGTTACGTAAATGACAAAGGTGAGATCCGACAAGGAGATTTTGGGTTTGGTAAGTTTCACTTCCTTAGCTCCGGAATGTTCTCCTTCTTTGGCCATGATCACGAGGGAGTTCTCAATCTAATTTTAATCTCTCTCTTTTTTCTTTGTGTTGGAATGAGTTTTATGTTATATACCATCCATATTTATAGTGTTATAAATCTACTTTATATCTCACCACAATGACTCTCAATTTTTATTTTTTAATTTGCATTAATTCTCAATTATTGTTAATTGATTAATTAGTAATTTTTATAACAAAATATTGAATTCCTATATTCTCCTTTTCACATATTGAATGAGTTTATGTCATTCACCATCCATATTTATATCTTTACAAAATCTTCTTTATATCATCACCACGATTACTCTCAATTATTAGATTTAAAAAAAAAATTGCATCAACTCTCATTAATTGGTAATTGATTGTTTTCCGATATTCTCCTTTTCACATGCATATATTATTCATTCCAACTTTATTGCCCATGGTTTGAATATAATATGTATTTGGAATATGTTGGGATATAGTACGTTTTCCAAACATAATTGGAAAAGTAGTACTGACACTATTTACAATTGGGAAAACCCAGTGTCACTATGCTCCACTGTGGTTTGAGACTTTTTCTTACAAAGTTTGAGACTTTCTTATCTCTTTCCTTTCTCCTTCATTATCACATTCCACTTTTCACTCTCTCTCTAAAAACAGAGCTCCAACAAATGATCACTAAAAAAGATTCCCTCTTTTTTCCTTCTTCTCCGATTTCGAAGTTTTCCGGTGATTTCCTTAACCATCATGGCTTCGTCGGAGGGATTAGCAAGCGTTGACCCTTGGTCATTCCGTCAAAACTTCAACATCGATTCATGGCTAATCTATGATTCCTTCTCTCACGATAGTGATTTACTCGCTAAAGCTCTTCACAGATCCATCTCCACTTCCACCGAATCATCTCCTCTTTCTCCTTCATCTTTCTTCGATTCTTCAACCACCGCCGTCTTAGTCTCCGATCTTTCTCCTCCTCAAACTCTCTCCAACGTCTCTTTCGGCTCAGATCTAGAAATCTCCGCCGTCGGCGGTGCTCTCGGTGGAGCGAAACGAAAACGTGGTCCTGGTGCTGCTATTGGTTCACAGATTTGGGCTCTGTTTCAGCTCCTATTGGTTCGTTTCATCATCATCAGTCAAGTGCTGCTACAACGACGGCGAACGTTGGTGGTGGTAGTGGTGGCTCCGCCGTGGAATTGGATAGTTACCCGAGCTTCCCAACACTTGAATCATGGAAAGTTATGTGATCGATCTTAGTGTTTGTAGATTTAATCTTCTTTTTTTCTTGTATTTCTCTTTTGTTATGAAGAATCTTGTTTTCGTCCTTAGCTTTTGCAGCTATGGAGTCTCTTGTTCATACTTTTGGGGAAATCAAATGGTTAATGGAAAAAAGCTTCTGTTTTTTATTAATTACTGCAATAATATGTTAATTTTAATTTTGTTTAGCAATGAAAGATTTTTCTTCAGAGAAGCTAGGGGAATATCTTGATCACTTGATGGTCCCATGAAATTCTATCTTGTCAATATTTACGTTACCACCACCACAATAATGTCTCAATTTTGTTCCTCTTAAATCTGTAAATTTGTGTGGGAAAAGACTGCTCATGGTTTAGGAAAAGTGACATATATAGAGATGTAATCCCTTGGCTGTTGTTTTTGGTGTTGGGTTTTCTTGCTTTTTATGTGATGTTGTTCTTAAAGATTTGAAATTAAAGGCGGAGGCTCTTAATTCACTGAAAGTTCTAGTAGCTATTAACAAATGATGCCATCCATTCTCGCCAGTTGGGTATATTTTGGTATATGTTTTGTGTGCTTTATGAGAAATGGTGATCCAGTGTCTGAAAGATTAACTCGAATGAAAGCCTGACCTTGAGATTTAGCTTCAGAGTCCTTGACAAAAGTTATAGGAAATTGAGTTAGCTTTCCAACGGCGGTGATTTCAGGCCAATTAGAGCAGTAGTTCAAGATTTATGGCCGATTTAGTGCACACATATCAATATGACGTAGACGCATCCGAAATTAGAAACTTCTAGCTTTATTTCAGATTCAGTTCTCTAATTTTTCTTGGCTATGTTTGTGTTTACGACAAAGCTCTTTTTTTTTTTAGAAGAATGATTTTTAGAGAAAGAGAAGAGAAGAAGAAAGGAAAAGAAATGAGGAGAAAGAGGAAAAGGTACAGTTTCGAAGGAGAAGAGAGAAGGAAAAGAAATATGCTGCAAAGAGAAGGTAGGGAAAAACTATTCGGACATGGGTTCTCCAGCAAATTAGTTCATATGTGAATGGCTTCTGTACAGATTACATATCGTACATCTAGGTTGATGTACAGATAGTATTCTGTTCACATCTATGGTGGCTGTACAGTCATTCTGCTGTACAGTTGTCTTCTGCTGTACAGTGGTCTACATCTATACAGTCATTCTGCTGTACAGTTGTCTTCTGCTGTACAGTGGTCTACATCTGTACAGTCATTCTGCTGTACAGTTGTCTTCTGCTGTACAGTGGTCTACATCTGCACAGTCATTCTGCTGTACAGTTGTCTTCTGCTGTACAGTGGTCTACATCTGTACAGTCATTCTGCTGTACAGTTGTTTTCTGTACAGTGGTCTACATCTGTACAGTAATTTATATCTGTTTATATATTATTTGTACAGTGTTCGTTAATATAAAATTTAAAATTTATAAAACAAAATGCATATCAAATGATAGAGAAAAAAACATAGTTTTTTATGTATATGATCAATTTTAGAAAAAAAAAATTTACGAACGAGCATTTTAGTTATTACACTATGAGGGAATGAAATATAATAAAGAAAGAAAAAAAAATTAAAAAAAAAAAATTCTGACCACACTCTCTCACACTCTCACTGACACTTTCTCTCTCACACTCTATCTCTCATACTCTCAAACGTCTCACACCCTCTCTCACACTCTTTCTCTCTCACACTCTCTCTCTCACGAACAATTGTAAATAGTACTTGTACTACTTATATAATTAAGTTTGATAAACGTACTATAATCCCAAGAAACCCTATGTATTTATAGGTTTAAAGATAACTTTTAGTTAATATACATGGCTCAAGGAATAAATTTGTAGAGTCAGCAATAAGCAAGGCTGGTCCTCGATCGTGGCTTCGGCTCTGGTAACTAAAACTGTTTCAGTCCAACTTGGTTAATCTCAAAACGGATTATTTTTGTATTTAGTTTTAATTATTGAATATACGAAGAATTCACAAACGGGAGATAGACCTTATGATTATGAACTAATTAACACAGTTAAAAATTGGAAGAGAAAAATAGGGGATTGGTTTCTTGTTCATCAAGCACAACATGATTATTTAGATAGAAACGCATACAAATTGTACTAGTTTTAACTTTCATAGACTTTGGATATACACATAGTTTTTAGAGATGAAAAAACATTGAAGATATCTAAGAGTATCGTCAGGGGAAAGATATCTCTTGTCGCTTTCGGTGAATATCTCAAGGCTGATCTTGTCAAGTAAGTCACCGTTTAAACTCACCTTGACATCGGCGGTTAGGCCACTTGATCTGATTAGATCTTCTGGAGCAGGAAGATCGTTGAACAACCATCGTAAGTTTGTGTCTAATGACCTTCGAGCTTTAACGATTGTGGCAACGTTTTGCCAATCTTTCTTATAAACGACTTCCCAAGTGATCATTACATCATCCATACTGGACTTGGGCACTTCGAAACGGCTCAAGTCTACGATTTCTATTTGGAACCAGTCATTGTGGCTAAACTCGCGGTTCTTACCAGATTCTACAAGTGTTAACTTCTTTGATTTGGTTGTGTACACGCCTATGACAAACATGAGATCCGACATAGAGATTTTGGGTTTGGCAAGTTCCTTAGCTCCGGAGTGTTCTCCTTCTTCGGCCATGACCACCGGGGACTTCTCCATCGACTTTTAACCTCTCTTTGTTTTGGAATGGATTTTATGTTATATATTCACCCTCCATAATTTATATATAGTGGTACAAATCCTTATTGAATTAGGAATACTGGAACTAAATTTGATTACAATTAATTATCTAATATAGAGTTTTCTTTTTGTCATAATCTAATATAGAGTATTAATTTGATTAAATTAAAATATATGGAAATTTGTAGATTTAACAATTATACTAGTACGTATTATGGGCCATTCAGAAACATTTCATGGTTATGAATGATATGAATCCAACATTTCATATTTGGTGGATTAGATATTAAAGTAATAAATAAATTTAATTACTATAACAAATTAATATATTTTCAGATTTGATTTATGGTATTATTATTTTTAGAGATTTGTTATGATTAAATTTATTTATATATTTAGTATTGAATTTTTTCTTATTAAATTTTAATCAGATATATAAAAGTGTGTTAAATACCAATGGCCACCATGATACTAAAATCTTAATGTATGTTGTTAAAAGGGCTTTAACGGGCTTCGAGTTTTAAACTCATAAAAGGCCTCAGATCTTAGCAATCTCTTCAATTTTCGGTTTAGGTTCGGTTAAGAAGAATTATCACCAAATTAGAATTAGAAGTTGATTCCTTTTGGTTCGATTCAATTTGTTTTTGGAGAGAGATGTCATTTCTCCTCCGCGTAACACCGTCGCCGTGTCTTCTCATTCCTCCTCCGCCGCTGTCTCACCGCCGGAGCTCATCTCTGTTTCTCAAACATCCATTTCAACCATCTCCGAGACCTCTGAGCTCCTGTAAACCCTATGCTCTCCGTCTGCGAGCCAATACAACAGTCAATTCACTAAAACCCCTTGAAAATGTTAAACCCTATCTACAATCGGAATCTAAAACCATCCTCCTTGGCTGGCTCTGCAGCTGTGTCTCTGTTGTCTCGCTTTCTCAGATTGTTCCTAGGCTAGGCTCCTTCACTTCCAACCTAAACGCCAACGCCGCGAGCTTGATGAAGCTCAGAGGCGAATGTCTCGTGTTGGCGGGTTTGGTTTTAGCTAAAGTTGTTGCTTATTATCTGCAGCAAGCGTTTCTTTGGGAAGCTGCTTTGAATACTGTTTACAAGATTCGTGTTTTCGCGTATCGGAGGGTTTTAGAGAGAGAATTAGAGTTCTTTGAAGGTGGGAATGGGATTTCATCAGGAGACATTGCTTACAGGATCACTGCTGAAGCTTCTGAAGTTGCTGACACTATCTATGCTCTTCTCAACGTGAGTAGTAATGAAATATCATCACTTTGCAAAGAGAAAGTTTCCTTCTTTTCCAATTTACTTGATAGATTGTGTAGATGTTACTGACTTTAAGCTACATTATACTTATGGCAGACAGTTGTGCCCAGTGCTATCCAGATATTTGTAATGACGGCACATATGATTGTTGCAAGTCCTGCCTTGACACTAGTCTCTGCAATGGTGAGTGAAGACATTGTCTTTGTTTGTGGCTCTTTTGCTCTAGACTTTCTTATTAGGTTGGGTTTTCTTCTAGGTGATTCCATCTGTTGCGCTTCTTACAGCGTATCTTGGTGATCGGCTTCGTAAGATATCTAGAAAGGCACAGATTGCTTCTGCTCAACTTTCTACTTACTTGAATGAGGTATTCGTCTTTTCCTGATTGTTCTTGAGATACATTTGGTCTAGGGGAAATTACTAAAGCAGAGACTTTTATGTTTAGGTTCTTCCTGCAATTTTGTTTGTGAAGGCTAATAACGCAGAGATCTCTGAGAGTGTGAGGTTTCAGAGGTTTGCTCGTGCTGACCTAGATGAAAATTTTAAGAAGAAGAAAATGAAGTCACTTATCCCTCAGATTGTTCAAGTTATGTATCTCGGATCATTGTCGATATTTTGTGTTGGAGCAGTGATACTTGCAGGCTCTTCTTTAAGCTCTAGTGCAATTGTGTCCTTTGTAGCATCATTAGCTTTCTTGATTGATCCTGTCCAGGTAAATACATGTGTCAGTCTGGCATTCCATGCCTTTCCTCTATACTTTTTAATGTATAGAGGAGCTGTCTTATTGGGATTTTGAATCTAAAGAATCATGCAGGATTTGGGAAAAGCTTATAATGAATTGAAGCAAGGAGAGCCAGCGATAGAACGTTTGTTTGATTTGACCTCTTTGGAATCTAAGGTACTGCACCCTATATTTTCTCTGATCTTCTCTTCAGTTTACACTCCTAATGATTTAGTTTTGTTTCTTGGCCTATCTCAAAATCTGATGCAAAGTGCTTCTGGCCCTGTATTGAGAATTAGGTGATCGAGAGACCTGAGGCCATTCAATTGGAAAAAGTTGCTGGCGAAGTTGAGTTATGCGATATATCATTTAAATATGACGAGAATATGCTTCCTGTTTTGGATGGGTTAAATCTTCATATTAAAGCAGGAGAGACTGTAGCTCTTGTTGGGCCATCTGGAGGAGGAAAGACAACACTGATCAAATTGCTCCTCCGCCTTTATGAACCTTCATCTGGTTAGAAAGTCTTACTTCTTAACTTGTCTTTATCTGATCACAATGTTAAGAACCAACGATTTGACATCTAAGCACATATTTGTGTCTGTTTTATTTTCCCCCTTGAATAGGCTCTATCTTCATTGACAAAAATGACATCAAGGATATCAAATTGGAAAGTTTGAGGAAGCATGTTGGTCTGGTTTCACAGGACACAGTAAGTTCCAGTCCTCAAATGATACTCCTTTCATGATTTATCCCAAGATTTTTATAATGGTTCATCATAGTTACAGAACTTTTTCTGCACATACAAGACTCTGTTTTCAGGGACAATTGCTGACAACATTGGGTACAGAGATCTCACGACAGGAATTGACATGAAAAGAGTTGAGCTTGCTGCAAAAACTGCAAATGCTGATGAATTTATCAGAAACTTACCAGAGGGATACAACACAGGAGTTGGTCCCAGGGGTTCAAGCTTAAGCGGAGGCCAGAAGCAAAGGTGAGGTCTGGAAGACTGATTGTTTCATTTATTCTCTTCAGTTTGCTTACTGTCTTGTTATCATTTGGCAAATGTGCAGACTAGCTATCGCAAGAGCGCTCTATCAGAATTCATCGGTACTGATTTTGGATGAAGCAACATCAGCATTGGATAGTTTGTCGGAGTTGCTAGTCAGAGAAGCTCTTGAACGTGTAATGCAAGACCATACGGTAAAAGCACACATCTGATTCTTCCATCCTAAATAACTTTTAAGTGAATCATCACTGATAGTATTCAGAAACTTCCTGGTTCCATGGCTCTTATGTTTGCAATTACAGGTAATTGTGATTGCACATAGGCTGGAGACAGTGATGATGGCGCAGAGAGTGTTCTTGTTAGAGAGGGGAAAGCTAAAGGAATTGAATCGCTCTTCTCTGTTAAGTACTCACAAGGACTCACTATCATCAGCTGGACTCGTCATTTAAGATCAATGAAGTAATGCTCAAGAGCAGGTAGAGAGACCAACTGTTGTGTAAATTAAGAGAAGATACAAGATTCCTCTTTGTATAAATCTTTCCATTATTGTTTAAAAATAGGATGAACAAATCACTTGTTGAGCTTTAGAAGCCTACAGAGTTTTGTATCTTTCCCTAGTTATGCCTTTTGATACATAGCAAAACTTCTGACATTATACATGTAATAAACAAAAGATCAAATTTGGTTTCTAATCCATATAAAGAAGATTGAGTCAATGATCACTGTTTCACCATGAAGGAGCTTTTACAACTGCATCCACCCACTGCGGCCGGGTTTTCAGCTACCTGAGCACCAAATGAAAATCTTACATAAGGTTACTGAAAAACATACAGTTTCAAGATTATCTCTCGTCTCCAATTCAATAACACAGCGCACAAGGAAGACATGGTACAGATGATAATGAAGAATCTTAAGCTTATGGGATCCTATCAGCTCAGGCAAAACATACAAGAAAACGTCCATAGATTATCTAAGCAATGACGAAAACGGAAAGAGTCGAAAATGGTGCCTATCGACTCTCGTAGGATGAAAAAAAGAGGACTTTACCACAAAAGCAGCACGGATCAGTTCCTCGACATAATCAACCGTAGCACCTTTAACGAAGTCGTATGAAACATTATCTACAACCAATTTGACACCATTCTTCTCGAAAACCCTGCAATGTTTAAGAACAGCTATAACTGAGACAAGGAGAAACATGATTCTTCTAGCTTGAGGGAAGGAATAGTAATAGTAATAGTAAGACTTGGGGGTGAGCAACGTACCTGTCATCAGGATTGGTTCTATTATCAAGCTCAAACACATACTGGAAACCAGAACAGCCTCCCGTCTCTACGCCCAAGCGAAGCAGTTTCTTTTCCGGCTCACTAGATTGTAACTCTTTCATCCTCTGACAAAATGATAACAACACTCATAAAGGTCAAGAGAAGGAGCAAAACAACAAACAATGTCTGCTTCCAACAATCTTAAATAGGTAAGTCGAAGGATTCAAACTGTTTTAAACGATAGAAATCTTGCAGAAGAGCAGAAATTTCAAAGCTTTGAGAATGACAGAGGAGATACAACATATACAATTCAAGCAATTTAGAGGTAGAAAAGTTTCTCATTGTTTCCATTTTTGCAGAAACCGTGAACTATTATGGATGTTCGAAATAAACAGAATATTTGTTAAAGTTTACAACTTCAATGAAAAACTCGTCAAATTAGAGCAAAATCCAATAGAAATCAATTTCATTAAAACCTAGGTATCGGATTACAAAGAGATCAATTCGAAACAGCAGATATATACCCGGATACAATTGTCGCTGAGATGGACGACATCAATAGAAGACGACTCAGATTGGGAAGAAGAAGAAGAAGATGCTTCTTTGAGAGCAGAAGCAGAAGAAAAATTAAGCAATCGATGATTTTCTCTTATCCGACCAGCCAAATAAGGAGCAACGCGTTTCACCAGAGATCTCGACATGATTTTAAAATCCTTCAGAACTTTTACTCTCAATCTCTTTCTGCAATTAATCGAATTTTATGAGTTTATCGCCATTGAAGACAAAAAGTTTTAAGCTTTCTCAGGAAATTGTCTTCCTTGGTGACGACGGACGGAGGGAGGCGAAAGAAAGATTGGTCTTGACGTCTTGTGAAGACCACGCTACTTTTAGCATCCACGTCATCTATTTCTGTATGGCTCCCACTCTTTTTAACATTTTCCAAATTGGCCCCATTAATCCGTTTCCAATCAATTTCGTCCTTAAATTGCAAATTAATGATGGGTAATTCATCAATATTCTCTAGAAAGTGAAGAGGAAGATAATACATTGAACTTTCTTATGACCAAGAATTTGGACTTTCGTATATACAAATTACTGTACATAATCTATTGTTGCATTTGTAGTATCTCTCAGGAACAAAAGCAATACTTGGATCTCCTGGATGATATAAACAAGACCAAGCTTGTTGTGTTAAAGTGCAGCACAAAATGGTCTATTACTTCTAGAGCTTAAGAGACCTATAAAACCAATTATTTTCTTTGTCTCAGAGAGAGGAAGAATGTCTAAATAGTATGTACCATGGCTTGTGTCATCCGCTTGAACTCGAGCTCCCATGTATGTTTTTTTAAGTTGTTGGGATAGTGCTGTGTTGCGGATGATGTGTGAGCTGCTACGTAACTTAGCATAGAACAGCAAAAGGTCACAAGTCCCTAAAATTCAAATGCAAAATTGGATGAGGTCAAGATTGAGATTAAGAGATGTACATGATTCATATACAACCATTATTAGTAGTTGCATTAAGAAAATGTGAAGCTGTTTCATTCACTTACCAGATTTCACATTTCAATCCGATTTTTCCAACTCTTTGAATCTTCTGTCCCACTCATCTGTCTCATAGTTTTGTTCCATCATATCTCTATCTGTACTATACACAATCCGATCCTTCCCGATGACTGTATTTTGAGCCATATCCCTTGCACTTAGTAGCTGCATTGCATCATTTAAAGGAGTTATTTCATAACTCCCAAGTTATAAGAAAAAACATACATATATATATGAAGTTTCGAGGAAAAGAATCCAAGAAATGTGCTTTAATCTGGCTGGTGCTAGAGAGCATGATAAGAGACACATAAAGCAATCACAAGTGGGTAATCACATAAAGAGATCTCCCACAGATATGCAGGCATCATAGAAGATTTAGAACCTGACCCTTGATGTTAGTTGGCAAGGGTTTACCCACTAATGGAAAATGTAGGCAAAGCTATCTCCTCTTAGGAATATAGAGCATGCTTGGGCGTCGGATTACTGATTCTATTTAATGCAATCGACAGAAACCAAATAAACATCTCCCTAGATTTATGTTACTACTGATGTGCCTACCTTACGCCGTAGTGCGATATCTGGAGATTCAAGTGCTCGTGCAAATTGTAGCCGAGCTTTGTTTCTGTTCTCTATCTGATTATTCTTTCTCTTGATTGAAAACCACCGAACCAAAGGGATGGCAAAGAATGAACCTGCGTATATCTGCATATTCGTTCGCACAGTCATGAATAAGACCAATATAATTAGTTCAAAAGGTTTCAAACAAAGACCAGTCATCTGGATAACTGAATTACGAAAACATTAAGAACTTGTTTGTGTCCGTAATCATGCTTAGAAACAACCTTATGATCATGTTTAAAGCAAATACGAAAAACCAGAATCAGGAAACAATTTAATAAAAGTAGTTTGCCATATCAACAGAAACTAAATCATACCTGAAGCAGTGGATATATGTTCTTAACAAATGTAAGAAATCCACCTGGCCTGACAGCCATCTCACTGGAAACGAACACAAAAACAAGGTTGCGTTAGAAATTTATATATATACACACTAGGGAATATAGGTAGAGTATAATCTAGGAGGGGCTTACTTTAGCAATGTGTTTAGAACAATAACACCAAAAAGATTAACCGCACCTAGGCCAATGACTAATGCTCTCTCGGATGTACTTGTTTTACTGTGAAGAACGAAAATTTCATTATCAGGAAGTGAACCACAAAAGCAATTAAAAAACTTCTCATATTTGTAAGATATTAAATTCCAGGAGCAAACAACGATAAGAACCTAAATTGCCATTTTTTCTCCTTGAAGAATTTCTCCATATCTGCAACCCAGTCAAACCATTTTCCCACATATTCTTTTCGTCTACTAGATCCAGAAGCTGTACGTTGCAGGGACGGAAAGCGATACAAAATATTTCCCTATGCAGCAGGAAATCATTGTTAATAAAAATGACCAATGAAAACGTTGCAGATCATGCACATTTGGGCATCACATTTCAAGCAACCAGAAAAGAGGATTGGTATACCTCGTCATCCAACTCAGGTTGACCATCAAACCGAAGAAGAACAGGTAGAATGTAGGATTCATCGTTCTGTAAACATCAAAAAGAAAACTTGAGAAGCTAGATAGCAGCATAACAAAATTAGTTTCATTAGCTCCCTTTGCAAGAAACAATAAGCAAAACATACCATAGCACTCTTTGAAGATGGCACATCAAGGTATGGAGCAAGTTCATCAGCTGCAACAACACCTCCTCTAGAAGTTATGTACTGCCCAATCTGAGAATATGTATCAAAAACGAGTAAATTACTAATACTTCATTATATGAGCTGATGTACCAGTACCTTTTAAACTCATAACCTTTAAAAGAAGATTTATAAGAGTAAAAAAAGCATTTTACTACATTTCTTTTCCTTTAGATATGTCGAAAGTAGTCTTCTTAATGAAAAATAAAGAACATCATCGAATATGTCTCCAGATCTAGAACTCGAAGAAAAAACATGAGTATATTCAAGTCCTGCACATTACCATCTGCCATCTCTCTTCTTCGATTCCTTGATTTGGGTCTCCATCTCCAAATACAAACGAGAAAACCTAGAGATGAACCCTCACTTAGTTCAAGCCATTATCACTCATAAGCAGTAAAGGAAGAAACATTAAGCAAAGCATGAAAGCTCTTAAGTTCAATTTCTACTTACAGATTCAATGAAATTCATTCCCTTTCCTTCATCTTCTCGAGCTCGTCGCCTGTTGTAATAATTGGGATCCCAGTACCTTATAAAAAAACACTAGAATATGACTAGGAGGTTCCGTTAAATCAATTATTGATCTGTTCTATTGGCTGAGAGTAGAAACCTTTAAATCAAGAAATTAAAATTACCAAAGCAGATCGACAGGGTTGATATAGAAATTGAATCCAGAATCATAACCGCGCCCGCGTCTTCTTTGACGATTATCATCATCGCTTTAACAAAATCCAAAAAGGTTAGTGCAAAATCCAAACCAAGACCGTAGTCCATAATGATAATATATCTTGATAACAAGACAACTTAATTGCAGTCAAGTGAAACACATACCTTCTGCTTGAAAGCAGGGCTATAATTGACGTGTAGACGATAACAATAGACGCTATAAGAGCCGTGCCAAAAGAAACACGAGCTAAATAGTCTATAGCACCCTGCCAGGCACATAACAGAGCTCAGAACATTCAAGTTCAAAGCAATTCATTGTTAGAAGGAAATAGATAAATCAAAACAAAAAGACACTACCTTTGCTTTTTCAAGATATGGTTCAATTTGTATCCTTAACGACTTGGCAGCCAACTTAGTTCGATAGTCCCTTGGAAAAACATAAAGCACATCACCTTCATCCGACACCTGAATCAAGAAAACATTTCATTGAATTTAGCACCTTTCACACAGCTCAAACGAAACATGAATTGCGTAAAGATCAATACTTTACATCAGAATCTCCTCAAATCTTCGCAATGGAGTTGCTCAAGTTCAATCTACACTAGTCTCATGACAACTATTCAAATTCCTAATGTATTGTTGCTTTCGTACTTTATAAAGATCAATACTTTATATCAGACTCTTCGCAATTGAGTTAATAGGCATGAAATTGAACTAGCCAATACCTCCAGAAACCCATCAGTATCAGCAGCAAGAGCTTGAAGAGCTGTCTGAGCTTCAGTAACCTTCAAGCCAGCTCTACTAGCAACATCACCAACAGTGACTCTCCGGCCACACTCATCCACCGCATCCATCGCTCGTTTCCGTACATCAGTCGGCAACTTATCACTCTCCACCAATCCACCTGGTTTGATTGCGCCGCTAACCTTATCTAAACTCGCCGCCTTCACCACCGCGATTCCACGGCGATTAAACTTCCGACGAGTGGTCAGACACCTCTCCGTTAAGATTCCGGGAAAAGAGTAACGATCAACGGGAGATCTGAGGCGAATCAAAAAAGGCTTCTTTGATGATAAACCCACTTGAGTTAACCTAGGGGATAGGACTAAGCATGTCGATACACACGCCATTCTATAAATTACAAATCTTTATCTTCTTCGTCTTCTTTAGTTAAGACTTCGATTTTCCGCCATGGGAGAGGATTTATATGGTTCAAAATCGAAGCTTTTGCCTGGAAAAAGTGATGATTATCTCTCTCCCACGACGATAGAGCTGCATAATCCAAAACCGAATCAAACCAATCGGTACGGCTCTTAATCTTCCGGTTAGACTATCTTAAACCGGAAACGGTCCAACATAGAGGGGTCGTTACTTTACCAAAACACATTACTTTCTTTGTTAACTATGAACAAAATCAACTTACCTCACAAGCAGACAAGCTGGTGGATCATCTGTTTTTCCTTGTAGTCCGATCATAATCCGAAATCTTATACTGATGCAGAGATTTAAATTTGAAGAAACATGACCAAGAAACTAATTAAGGCTGGATCTGAACAGATGCTAAATACTGTATCATTAAGTGCATATAAATTTTTGTTCATTTTATATTTAATATGGTTGTTACCTTTTCCTTTTGAGTTCTTCTCATTCCATGGCCAAACATGGATGAAAATTTCATTTAAATTTACTTGGAAACAAAAAAAAAAAAAGATTGACTTAAAAGCTCATAGTGTCATCATCAATATCACTCAGTCATTTTCTATAACATAGCTTCAAAGCTTATATACAACAAAACCCAAAGAAACAATTTCATTGAACATAGCTCAAGACTGTTTTTTGTGTATAGATATATGTATACTTATATGTGATCTAACTGTTATGTTCTTCTGAGACTTTCAGATTCGGGTATGCTATCTAACGCAGGTCTCCAGCCGCTATTACATTCATCAAGATCATCACCATCATCAGTAAGCAAAAGTTGTTTCTCGAGAGTCTGGTACATCATCTCATGGACCGACCCTCCTTGGAGTAGCTTCTCTAACTCTTGCTTATGAACAACGATCTTCATTCTCACAACAGTTACGTTCTTGTTGTCATCACCATCGATGTTGCTGTTGTTTTCACTAGTATCTTCTTCTGCTCTTAGTGATCTTTCGTCGTCTTCCACCTCCGGATTTGCAAACGTGACTTTCTTGTTGACCTTCTTCTTGTTCATTGTTGTAGGCAGGAGATAATAGAGACGACCAGAGAGAAGCTTAGCATCAGGCAGAAGATGAGTGTTGTTGTGAGAGAGAGAGTGACCAGAGAACTGAGTAAGGATGTGATGAACACTAATTGGTTCTCTATATTCAAGTACCTTCCCATCATTTCTCACTATCTTTATCACTTTCTTCTCCATTACTAAACAGTTCCCCATCTTCCTCTTCTTCTTCTTTTCTTACTTTTTTCTCTTTCGTTTTTCTATTGTTTGATTGGAGTTTTGTGTTTGTATATTTATAAGAGTTTTGGGATTTCGTTAGTGCCATTATATCAGGTGGGACCTGCTTTGATTTTTCTCTCCTTTCCCTTTAATATTTTATAGTGGGTGGGGTGGGGTGGTGTGGTCGGGGTGGTGCATTTTGTTCATTACTCAATGTATCCTTTATATGATTTTTCCTTTTTTTATTACGAAAAATGAGATTGAGTTGGCGGTGCAAGTGTACAAGATGATCGTATATTAAATTACGGCTTATGTCTTGTGTGCTTAGTAAGTTAGAATCATCATGATCCCACGTTGTTTCCTCTTTGATATAATGATCATGTAAGATATTTATTATTGCTAGTATACATATATTTGATGAAATTATTTGGTACGAGTTTTACCAAAAAAAAATTATTTGGTACGAAATCAAATCCAAAAAAGTGATGTCATGTGTAATTTACTTTAGTAATTAAAATTCATTCGTCAAATATCAAAAACGTATCCCCTTAGATCATGTTCAAATACTCCACCACGGACAAATTATGAACACTATGGATACACTTGCAATTGCATGCCCATACTAAGATACAACATGGGCGAGAGCATGTTTACTCATGAACCAAAATGAGTATCATTAACAGTTTTTTATTATTGTTTCATGAGTTGAAACCCAAAATGAGTATCAATAGATTCACCCCAATGATACTTTTCATCCAAATATCAATCCAAAATATATTTTTATTATTATTATTCATGGGATGATACCCACAAAAGAATCATGAGTAAACATGCTCTTACTATAAGTTAAAATCTCACATACAATACTACGTATCACGTATGCACGCGGTATGCCCTCTTATTTTTTAATTTTATGATATTGTATTTGTTACTACTCCCTCCGTTTTGTTTTAGTTGTCGTTTAAGGTTTTTGCACACAAATTAAGAAAATCATTAAATTTTTTGTTTTATTCTTTATTAATATATTTTATAATTTTTTCATTTATCAAAACATTAAAACATTAAAGACAAAACATGAATTTTCACCAAACATTTGCATTGAAAACCTAAAACGACAACTATTATGAAACAAAATTTTAATCCTAAAACGACAACTAAACTGAAACAGAGGGAGTACTATTTATATAATTATGGGTTTTCCCAAATAAATTGGTATGAGATAAAATCCAATTTTATTAATGTTCATGATCTCAGGAGATGTAATTCGATTTAGTTTACTAACTCGAGACGAAGAAAAGTAAATATGACTTTAATAAATGAGTGTGATTAGTTGATTACGACATAGAGGTGAAACTAGAAGATAAGAGGTATTAAATAAAAACAGGTAATGGGTGGGTATATTTGAACTATCTAGGGTTTTAATTAAATGTTTATGACTTTGTGATACAGTGCATGGTTTCATCTTAATATGAAAGAAAAAGCATGACATTGAATTTTCCTTACAAACGTAGGGTATTGAATGCGTTTCCTAGCTCTCTTATAGTGGTGGTGGCAGAAAAACTGTTTACATACAGTATCTCATTTGGTGGAATTTGTTTTGGAAAACTTTGACCAAGTCCTAAGTATTCGTTAATGATTCAGACAATTGGTTATTAGATAAATTTATTCACATATTCTTTAATTTATTCTCTAAAGTCGTTTTGCACAATAGTAAAATTATATTTACATAATTTGTATGTGGTTATTACACATTTGGATATATATGTTTATTAATATTCTTTACATTGAGATTATTAACAAACCTTCCTAGTGGCAACTCACCATGCTTGTCCCATGTCCAAAAGGTCCATTAGATTTTGTGGGGATACACTTTTATAAGAACCAAATATTATAAAATCAATCAAATCGTTAGCAAATCGGATTGGCGAGGGGAGTTAGGTTTCTACAAACAGATGAAACTAAGCATATTGACCCAAGCATATTTGGTTGATTGCTACTCTGGCTTAATTGAGAATATTGTAAGAATTTCAATTACAAAAGATTCGACAAACTCAAAATTTAATGGAAAAGAAAAAATCATATGCATGTATGTCTAACCTAGGAAGTTATGTTATAACGAGAACAGATTTTCTTCTTCTTTAAAATTGAAACTAAAATTTTGCCAAGAACTTCAAGAGAAACAACAACAAAAAAACAATAAGAGCGTACATAGTTGGTGAATGCAATGCACTAGTTTTACAGGTAATGATCATTGATCACGGACTTAGAAAATAGTGTTTTTAATATGGATGTCATTGTCTCTAATTTGTCACCACATATATGTCCTAGGAAAAAAATTGTTTTCAAAGAGCATACGCAGCCCACATTCAAAGGCCAAATCAACAAATGATTTGCTTTGGTTCACTTTTGAAAATTCAACTTTCCTTTTTACAAATCTTTTATATTCTTTTGATGTTTTTTTGGTTATATATCATGTTAATTTTCTAGACTAAGAGGATTCATGTAATTACTATCCATTATACATTTTACGCTACCCTAGCAAGATATCTCTATAAACAAACTATATTCAAACTATTTTAAACTACTATTCAAAGTTTCAAACTATTTCAAAATATGTCTATGTAATGTATAGTCCATATATAAATTGGAGTATATAGACACATACAAACTTTAAATCATGTATAGGTTAATTAGCTAGTATATTACAGTAAAACGCTAAATCATGTACGCATAATCACAGTATGTAAGTCAACTTACGAAAATAATTAAGTTATATGTTGTAAGTTGTATGTAGTTTGTAACGAAATGAGTTTACCCGAAAAGAAGCAACATAAATCCAGATAAGGATTACTATAAATGACAATTTCAGTCAAGATTGAGATTCCATTCTCATTCTCTTTTGGAAAGTACAGAGCCCTTTTTGTGATGCCTTTTGGACAAAACACGAAGTGACGAAGGCAAAAGGAATTTAGATTTCTCAGCCTTAGTTCCCATGCTTTTGGTCGGCTCACGTGCTACGCTCCAGCAAATCTACTTACAACACGTGGCAGTCTTCTGTTGGAAGGCACCGTCCAAGGACCTCTTTTTTTGAAACTATTGCTTTTGCTTCTACCAAGTTTTAAACGATGTCTTCAATAATCAGTAATTTGATTTTAGTTTATTCCATCTAAATCTTAGTATGTTTCTTGTCAAAATATCAGAGGGTAACATACTAGAAACAATTTTTTTTTTATGTTAAGTTTTCTGAATGCTACTAGATTTTCAAATCGTGATTATTTCTTCCCATCTTGATATAAAGTTGAATGTGAATTGCTACTAGATTTTCAAACCTACCAAGTTTTTTTTTTTTTTTGTGGAAGTTTATATTTTTATGGAATTATATTTTTCTTTTATATTTTCAAAAAAGAATTATAAACCAATTCGTATAAAATAAAGGAAAAATAAAAAAGTCTTTTGTTCTGAGTCATTTTGGATTTGTTTTTCATTTGGTTTGTTTTACTGTTTTAGATGTTGTAATGGTCGTGCTTCAATGTAAAAAAAATAAAACATTGGCTTATGGAAAATTTTAAGGGTTTTAAGTTTTATTTTATATATACTCAAATCAAATAATAGGGTTTTGATAGTTATGGATAAAAATTATGGTTTTCTAAATAGCTAAAATTATAAACCTTTCTAAATACACGAAATATATAGATCTGTTTAGCAATTTCTTTTTAGTTTCGACGTTTTTCTATTGGAGATAACTTGGGATTTTGACAGAAAATGTGCGGTCATGGGTTTGGAGCCCAATTGACATCCCTGGTTCTTGGCATTTAGAGTGTTTGTTTTCGCTTGTTGTCTGTGTCTAGCGATTGTTATTGGACCCGCGTTATCCCTCGTTCTACTATAGTCACGCATTGGGCACTTCTCTTCTCTACGCTCACTCACACGCACATCAATGCAGCTTATACATACATCACACTCAGCCTATACATACATCTAGATATACACATTCACATCCTATACATCCACAGCCTAATCATACATCTATACATCCACAGCCTAATCATACATCTATATACATCCACAGCCTAATCATACATCTATAAATCTATACATCCACACCCTAATCATACATCTATACATCACCCATTATCATTCACATCTACATACATGCATCCATGTGTCTTTATCCGGAAAGAAAAAGGAAAATACAAAAATTGCTACTACATACACAGTCTGGTCAACTTCAAAGGCTGGCAAAGCAGAAGATGGAAAACGCTTGACATCCCAAGGCTTTTTGTTTTCCCTTCTTCAACCCTCTCTGCAAAATTAATTAATCAAAAAGAATCTTCAGAATTTTCTTAGCCAGAACATATATATAGCTCATATTTTCAACAGCAAAAACATATCTAGCGCCCAAGCATCCGTGGTCTAGTGGCAGAGGAAGCTTTGGGAAAGGGTGAAACTCCCAAACCTGAGTTCGATTCTCCCTGGAAACAAAAACACATTTGTTTGGGAAGTCTGTCAGTTGGGCCTTGGCCCAATTGGTTTACCTGGTAGCCAGAAATGCAGGCGGCCTGACTACCCCCTGGCACTTAGTCGGAAGGCATTCCAAACTCGGGATAGGCAGAGTGGTAGCCCATAAGGGCCTAACCGTTAACACGGTGGACCAGTCCACTATGTAGCACCTCGGTGCGTTCCTACCGAGGCCGACCGGATAGCCGATAGGGTTTATCAAAAAAAAAAAAAAAAAAAAAAAAAAAAAAAAAAAAAAAAAAAAAAAACATATCTAGCTAAAAAAGTTCTGCTTATTTAAAAGACACATATATAGCTAGAAATCATTTTATGTCATAGTTGAAGTCAAGCCGTAATGTATATGAAATGGATTTAAAACAGATCATTTAAATTTTAAGTTCAACTCCATAAAAGATTAAGAACATGTATATAAAACTAACGGGAACCGTTTATAAGGTAAACAAACTAGAAGAATTAAGACTACTATACTTTACCTTGTAAGAGGATGCCTTATGTTTCTTGTTTCTCTCGGCTAATGAGCAATGTAGATAAGTTTGAGAGAGAACTCCTCAAGTGGAAGAACAGAACTAAGAGAACTAATAAAAGATTGTATTCGTCTTTTGTAAGAAATAAAACCAAGCAAAGAGGATTCAGATTTCTGATTCAAGAAAGGAGTATTTATAGAGAGTCATTATCTGATTTTTGTCTCATAAAATATTATTATTTTCAAACGGTAAGAAAATGTTACCGTTTCACAACGTTCATATTTTCCACTGTCGTCAAGTCAAATCAAACTAAACGTTAGAGCAATATTGGAAATCGTAAACGCACTTAAAGACTCTTTCATTCATTTACTGAGTCAAAATCTCTAAAAGTTTAAGGCCCAAAAATAAGGCCCAAAAAGCCCATCATATGTTACCGTTTGAAAACGTTCATATTTTTCCACTGCAACAAGTCAAATCAAACAAAACGTTGGAGCAAAATATTGGTTATTGGAAATCGTAAACGCACTTATTATTATGACTCTTTTATTCGTTTACTGATGAGTCAAAATCTCTGAAAGCTTAAGGCCCAAACGTAAGGCCCATTATATGGATATAATAACGTTAGAATAAATTAATTAATAAAAAAAATTAGAAGAAGAAAAATCGATGGCGGGGATACTAGTGAACAATATCCTCCCTCAACCTCCGATTCTCCGATCGGTTTCTTCTTCGCGAAGAAGTTCAATTCGAACCCTAGTTATGGTTAAGGCTTCCTCAGAACCTTCCGAGTCAGTTTCGGTGTCCACTAAGACCAGTGAAGCTGTTGTATTCACTGCTCCTCCCGGTTTCAAGCCACCGGAGCCGAAACGGTTCGCCGTCAAATCCGGAAAACTATTCGATGTCTTGGGTGCAGCAATTGGATTGTTTTTCCGATTCGGCACTGGGGTTTTCGTTTCTGGGTAATCGTTTAATTCCTCTTTTTTCCCTCAATTGAGTGTGAACACAGTAGAATTAATTGTCTATATGCTTGATTTACTATGGTTTCTGATTTCAATTGCTGTGTTTGAGTAGGTACTCTGCATCTTTCGTGTCTAAGGAAGAGATTCCAGCTGACCAGTATGCGTTGCGTTTAGGCGGTAATCATGAACAAGTTCTAAGCTTTCACTTTCTGTTTCTAGTGGTTTGAGTTATAGAGCGGATTTTTGATGAGTATGTTGTTCAAGATTAGGAAGAAATTTCTTTAAAGCTGTGGACTTTTTGTTTTGTTTTGTTTCAGAGGAGTTTGTGCATAGATGGTAATCATAATGGTTGATGTTATTATGTGTAGGGATCACGGTAAAGGAAACCGCTAAGGTCGGGCCTCGTCCTGAGAAACCCATTGAGATATATGAGTTTGAAGGGTATGTATGCTCTACTGATTGTGTGTTTGTTTGTTCATTTAGACTCTTTTGGTTTCTATTTTCTCTTGATATTGAATCAATCTTTCCTTTTCTCTCCATTTCCGGTTTGCGATTTAAGCTGTCCCTTCTGCCGTAAGGTAACACTCTCTTCTTCTACTTAATCACTGTCTTAGATGTTTCACAATTAGCCAAGATTCTGAAGATTGATATTACTTATAATCTTTGCTTGATACCATGAAAATATGTTGTTGAATCTTGCCCAGTAATCATTTTAGCTTTTGCTTCTTCGTTTTTCTGGTTCCCCTTAAACAAAATGTATGTCTTTGTAGTTATTCGTGATGTATCGCAACAGCTTAGTGTAACTCTACTAATGTGGAGATTTTTGCAGGTCAGGGAAATGGTTGCAGTGTTGGATCTTGATATTCTCTACTATCCTTGTCCAAGAGGGAGTCCAAATTTCCGCCCGAAGGTTAAACAGATGGGCGGGAAACAACAGTTTCCGTATATGGTTTGGCATTTTATCCTAATGATTTTCTCTTTCTTTTTCATTCTTCCCACGAAAACCATTCTTGGAAGTAATTGTCTTTGCCCCTGATATGTCCTTGCTCCAAGTTCAAATTCTTGAAGCGTTAATCATAGGAATGTGGTTTAAGAATACATCTGTAATCGCTAATCTTTGCAATATAAGATTGTAATGTTCTGTGTTTAATTATATAACTATAGGTGGATCCCAATACCGGAGTGTCCATGTATGAATCAGATGGAATCATCAAATATCTATCCGAGAAATATGGTTGGTTTCTGCTTACAACTGATTCTGCTTGTATTACGAGATCCCTTTGTGGTTATCGCAATAGCATCATTTTTGTCATCATCATGTCTATTTAAGCAATACCGGTTTCCCTCTGTTTGGTTAAACTTGTTTAGGAGATGGAACAGTTCCGTTAAGTCTGTCACTTGGTGCTTTAACGGTTAGTTTCTTTGGACATGTTGCAGTTTATTTTCCTTTGCTTCAAAATCCAGCAGTTTAAAACTAAAAGTGCTACTTTGATGTTGTAGGCTATAACAGCTGGCTTTGCAATGATTGGTCGTATGGGAAAGGTAAGAAGAAATTCTGTTACATTCTTTTGACATATTTTCTCTAGAGACAATGTCAAGAAAAAACTTATAAGATGTAATGTTTCTCTTAGGAACAGTGTGCTATATAAATGATTAGGCAGCATCACATCCCCAATATAGTGATTGAATTAAACTCTATTTTGAATAGTATGTATTATACAATATGGGTACAAGCAACGGTTTTTTCACAAAAATACTTGAGCTTTTACCATGCAGGGTAACTTGTACACACCTGCGAAACTACCACCTAAGCCACTAGAATTCTGGGCATACGAGGTTTTGATCTCTCACTTTTTCTCGTATCATCAGATGCCGAATCTTATTTGCATAATCAAAATACAATCTCTGTTTGAATTGCCCTGTAGGGTTCCCCATTCTGCAAGCTTGTACGCGAAGTTCTTGTAGAGCTGGAGTTACCACACATTCAGCGCAGGTAACTCTTAAAACAGCACTACCATATTTGTTCAAAACCGAAGGAACAACAAAGTCACAGTCTTTTATTGATATTACCTTGTTTTACTCTTTTTTCCATCAGTTGTGCTCGCGGTAGCCCCAAACGGCAGGAATTGCTAGAGAAAGCTGGTCACTTTCAGGTGTGTTAGAGAAATAAATACATAGAGAAAGAGGGGGTGATGACACTCATGAGTTGTTTTATGTTCTTATATGAAAACAGGTGCCTTACCTGGAAGATCCAAACACTGGAGTTGCGATGTTTGAGAGTGCAGAAATCGTAGAGTATCTCAAGCAAACTTACGCTGCTTAAGTTTTCTTCTTCCTCACTCTGTACTTATAGATACATGTTAATTGTTGTGTGTATGTTCAGCTACTTTATGTTCCAATAATAAACTGAACTCAGTTATGTGTAGGGTTTAAACAAGAAGTGTACTTATGTATTATAAGTAAAGTATTGTGAGAGTAATCCTCCAAGTTTTGAGAACACAATTTGAATGGTGATCTATCATATTAAAGCTGATTTTTTGGTAAAATATATCTTTAGTTTTACTAAAATAAATAAATAAAGAAAATCATGGGATGGATGAAAAGAGACTGAGAGAGGCACATGCTGATTGTCTGAGAACTAGAAGTGGTCCGAGTGCGAGAGTATATATATATGATTACAAAAGTCTATCAACACATATTGTGGTCCGTTTTATTTAAATTTAATTTGGATCATCTTTTGTTTCTTTTTCTGTGTCTTTTTGTATATAGATTTTGTCAAAATTAGTTATTTAACCAATAAACTAAAAAAAAAAATCGGAATTTCAAATCTAAAGTTTCGAAGTATGGCCATATAAATTGTTTGTTTGTTGGTAGTGGTTGAATTGTGTCGTTTTGTGCACTTTAATTAGTTACTTGTTATGGATAAATATTAGTTATATTGCTTGTTATGATTACATTTTTATCGATATCTTAAGCTAATAAAATTCAATTTATACATAAATGGAGGGAAACATAGTTGTGCCAATCGTTTGGTAGGGTCAAGAAATAACGATTATCAAAACCAAAATTTCTTTTTTACTATATATACAAATTCAATATACTGTTGTGGCTCATAAAATTATATTTTAAAACTAATGCCTTTACAAAAAGGTAGACTGAAAAAGGCTAAGCACGGTTTGTTTCTGTATGGTGGCATTATGATTCAGATATGCAAATTTCTGTTATTATTATCAATCTTTTTACTTTAAAGTGCAATCTTTGGTAAGGGTATTGGTCTAGATTTCTATTTTATTTATTTATTTTGAAATTAGCATGTCCTCCTTTAATCCTCGATATATTTGTCCCTCTTTAGTAAAAATAATGATAAAACTATTACTACATGTAACTTATTTATTTGCATCTTAACCTTTACAATGTTTTTCGATAACTATCAAATATCATCGATATTGAGAAGGTTTTAAGACAAATTGTTATATGTTTATTATATTAAGTAAGTAAGCTTTCAACAATTTAACCAAAAAAATTTCAACAATTTTTACGTATAAGTACGTGTATGTTTATAATAAATAATTAAGAATGGTCAACTTTTGTAATTTAAATATATAAATTCATAAGAACAGGTAAAATTGGAAAGCGTTTAACGTTCGCTTAACGTACAATAATAGACCGTTGCAGTCTGCAATTGAAAGAATCTAGACAAATAAATAAAAGAGTCCAAGGGTCAAAACGCAACAACGAATACTTTAGGGAGAAAACTGAAATAAATTAGGAGTTTAAGTAGGGCTATTCATTATTATTTTAAGATATTGCGGTAAAAACTAAATAAAACATAAAGATCAGGGGATTCCGACAAAAATCTCTAGATCCACTTACACTTACACTTCCACAATGTCCGTTCGAAAAATATGACCGTTGAAAGTAATTAAATTTTTAAGAAAATAAAAACTAAATAACTCCTCTCTTCTTCTTCTTCAATCTCTCTGTTCTTCCCCAAAATAAAAACTTTCCTCAGTAAAAAAAAAAAACAAGAGACAGAGAGAGAGAGAAAGATGGGTTGTGTTTCTTCGAAACTAGGCAAGAAGAAACTCATAAGAGAGATTAGAGTCAACAATGGCGGCGATCACATTGTCTCACTTACTTCAACTACTTATGGTCATCTCGATCTCGATGAACGAGCAGAGACTTCTCCTAAGTCACTGGAACTTACTAAAGGAGAAGTCTTTGAATCTGAAACCAAACCAAGGATATCTATACAGAGAGATGATCCGGAGATTATCAATACATGGGAGCTTATGGAAGATCTTGAAGATTCAATGCACGTTTCTAATCCACAGAAGATTAGTCCCAAATCTCGTGGTATATTTGGGAAATCATGGAAGACTCCGGTGAAATCGGTTGTTGAATCTCCGAAGAGAGGAAGTAGTAAGAGATTTGGAGGGAAAGAGAACAGAGGAGGTAATATTTCGAGAGGTGTGAGTCCGAATCAGATTCTGAAGCCGAAGAACATTCTTGAAACTCCGAAGAGAGGAGTGATGCGTTTGAGTTTCCCTTTGAAATCTGAAGAACCTTCGGTGGTGATGACGCAGAGGAGGAAGAGTTATAGTCCAATGTTTGATCCAGATCTTGTGGCTTCTTACGAGAGAGAGTTGTCTCAAGAGCAAGAGCAGATCAAGATGGTGATTTCTCCGGTGGTGCATGAGAGCAGAAAAACAGAGAAAACCCGAGAGTCGGAGAGAATTATTGAGAAGTTCCCTGAAAAATGTCCACCGGGAGGAGAAAACTCAGTGGTCATCTACATAACGACTCTTAGAGGGATAAGGAAGACTTTTGAGGATTGCAATGTGGTAAGATCGATATTAGATTCACACGAAGTTCGATTCTCGGAGCGAGATGTGTCAATGCACTCGGTTTTTAAGGAAGAGATCAGGGGCATTATGGGAACGAAACATGTGAAGATACCGGCGGTATTCGTTAAAGGGAGGATGTTAGGAAGTGTTGAGGAAGTTATGAAGTTAGAGGAAGAGGGCAAATTGGGGATTTTACTTGAAGGTATTCCCGCGGCGAGGCTCGGAGGCAGTTGCTGCCGTGGATGCGGAGGAATGAGATTTGTGATGTGTGTGGTTTGCAATGGAAGCTGCAAGGTTAGGGGAGAAGACAAGAAGAGTATGGTTAAGTGTTTGGAGTGTAATGAGAATGGTTTGGTTCTATGTCCAATTTGTTCTTGAAAAGGAGAATTATCTTAATCTTTGTTCAGTTTTGCCCTAATTTTCTTGGATAAATTGGGGAAAACTGGAAGAGGGTTTGATTTTGGTTTGTAATGATTTGGTGAGAGAGTTTCTAAAGATGTGTTTAGGGCTCTTGGTGTGTGTTACAGTTTAATGGAATTTGTTTCTGATGTTTGTAAACCTTTTCATTTTATTAAGATTCAATTCAATTTGTATTATTCAATTCAGTGGGTATTAATATCAAATAGAACTGATGAAACAACTAATTTTGAAACATTAAACCGGTGTAGTATAACTTGACAACCTTGTTCATGATAGTTGTATTTAGTCAAGGATGGAGAAGTACCTCTAGATGATGAATCTACTTGTTAGAAACCTAAATACATGGGCTATATATGGGCTAGTAAATAGAAAATACATGGGCTTATCATGTGGGCTTTAACATGTTGTAACAGTAACGGTAACTTTCTCTCGCCGATAAATTTCCTTTTTTTTTTGTTTTGAGTGATTTCCTTTTATCAAAGGAATTTCCTTTTTCTAAGAAACAAGGTTGCTTATAAATATTGACCTCTTGTTTCGTCTTTGAGAAATCATAATTCTCATTCTTTCACATAAAAATAAAGTAATGATCTCTTGTTTCGTCTTTGAGAACTGACGAATGCGTTTTCGTTCGGTAGACTCGGTTTCACTCGGTCTCGAATGTGTATTTCCATCGAGTCCACTCGCGAGAGCGTGACGAGTCGTTCGGCGTTGAAAAGGTTGACGAATCCTCATACATCGGTTGAACTCGGGATGGTGGTGGTTCAACGAGTCACGAATCGATTTGGCTAATCCCAGAGGTGTTTCTTCCTCAACTCGGTTTGACTCGGTGAGAAACTCTAAACGAATGATTAAGCAATTGGAAGACGCAGTAGGGTTAACACCAACGGCTACATCGATGAAGACGGAGATAAGCTTTCTCTAACCGGTCACGTGCAGGGGAGGTTTTCGAAGGTCAAAGCCACGTGAGGATATCTCAGAGAGGGATTCGAGTAACAGAGCACCTCCTTGCCCACGACAATTGAATTACAAGGTATGTTTATCTATATTATTATTTAATTCAACATAAAAATTATATTATTATTTAATTAGGTAAGATAATAATTTTCGATTTATAATTTACTAAATTTTAAGATTTTTTTAAAAAAATTATTTTAGATAAACCGTTTAAAATTTAAACCAAAATTTTATAATTATATAAAATCTAACTTTTAGAAATTAAGTGTTATATTTAAATACGTCGGAAACAAACCGGACTTAGCATCCCGTCCTTTTGGTCCGTAAGTCTTGAGGTGTCACAAGTTCGGCAAGTTTTCACGTATTGAAAATTTAACACTTAGTTAAGTTTAAAAGTTTTAAAAAATTAATGTTATTTTAAACCAAAATTTTATAATTATATAAAATCTAACTTTTAAAAATTAAGTGTTAAATTTAAATACGTCGGAAACAAACCGGACTTAGCATCCCGTCCTTTTGGTCCGTAAGTCTTGAGGTGTCACAAGTTCGGCAAGTTTTCACGTATTGAAAATTTAACACTTAGTTTTAAAAGTTTTTAAAATTAATGTTTTGATGTAATAATTATTATTATTTTAAACAAAAAAGTTTTTGATTATAGAAAATCTAACTTTAAAAAAAATTAAGTGTTAAATTTAAATACATCGGAAACAAACTGGACTTAGCATCCCGTCTTTTTGGTCGGTAAGTCTTGTGGTGTCAGAAATTCGGCAAATTTTCACTTAAATTTAACACTTAGTTAAGTTTAAAAATTTTTAAAATTAATGTTTTAAGTAATAATTATTATTATTTTTAACCAAAAAGTTTCTAATTATATAAAATCTAACTTTTAAAAATTCAGTGTTAAATTTAAATAAGTCGAAAACAAACCGGACTTATCATCCCGTCTTTTTGGTCCGTAAGTCTTGTGGTGCCATAATTTCGGCAAGTTTTCACGTATTGTAAATTTAACACTTAGTTATGTTTAAAAGTTTTGTGTAATAATTATTATTATCTTTTTTTTTTGGTAGGCTATAATTATTATTATCTTTAAACAAAAGTGTTTAGTAATACAAAATATTTTTATTTCTAAATAATTAAGTGTTAAATTTAACTATGTCGTTTTGATCAAAAAAAATTAAATACATCGAAAACAATAGATTTTGTATCCCGTTTTTTTGGTCCATAAGTTTTGTTGTATCATAAGTTCAACTTGTTTTGGATTGTAAATTTTAACACTTAAGTTTTGAAGTTTTCACATATAATGTTTTAAGTATTTTTTTTTCTTTTAACTACAACTTGAAGCAGCTTTTCGTTTTTATCTCATGCCCAAACTTCTCTGTTTCAAACTCTTAGCACCCTCCTTTGAACCACAGTGTAGCAGCCACAGTGTTCGGAGGAGGATCAGATTATGAGCTTTATCCACTGACCAAAACAAGATCCAAAGGAGCAATGCCCATTTCAGCAAACTACAGACTTATTGATGCAGTCATCAGTAATTGCATCAACAGTGACAACATCAAGATCTATGCAAGCACTCAGTTTAATTCCACTTCTGTCAATTCACATCTCTAGAGCTTACAGTGGATTTGGACTCGGAAAACACAGATTCCGCTTACCGGAGCCTGGAAGATCAAGGATGGTTTCAGGCTAAAATCATTTTTTCCTCTGTTTTAGATTTGTTTCGTGTTCATCACGGAACCTTTGTTTCTTCTATGTATGAACTCAGACTGAAACTATTGATCTACAACATTCAAGTTCATAGCATTCTAATTCCAATGTGTATTTGTATTTTGTGGATTAATAATGTAGAAGAAGAGAAACAACAAGAGTGTATCAGCACAATCATCAAATCAATAGAACATAATCTTTATAATGAATACAAACATCATTAAGAACTACAAAGCGTGTGCTAAGGGTTTCATCTGAAATTTCTTTTGTCTTTAATAACCAGAAGACGCCTTTCAAGACCATCAACCGTTGGATGATGAAACCGATATGGTGACGAAAAAGATATTATTATAAAAATAAAATTTGTGATAATCCTATCCTAACCGATATAGTGACGAAAATCATACATAACTTGGCACACTTTCCCAAAGAGGCACACATGTCAATGCGTTTCCCTGATTATTCCTATCCATTTCCACCTTTATAATTCATAATATACGATCACATTTATACACGTAACAAAATTGGATAAAAAAAAGGCAACAAAAAAAATGGAGCTCGAGACCTCAGTTTATCGACCAAACGTCGCCGTCTATGATTCTCCGGATGGTGTCGAGGTTCGAGGACGTTACGACCAAATCTTCGCTAAGATTTTGACAAGAGAAGCTCTTAGCTTTGTGGCTGAGTTACAGAGAGAGTTTCGTGGCCATGTGAGGTATGCCATGGAGTGCCGGAAAGAGGCACGACGGCGTTACAACTCCGGTGCCGTTCCTGGGTTTGATCCTTCGACTAAGTTCATCAGAGACGGTGATTGGATCTGTGCCTCCGTCCCTCCCGCCGTTGCTGACCGGAGAGTTGAGATAACCGGTCCGGTCGAGAGGAAGATGATCATCAACGCTCTTAACTCCGGAGCTAAAGTCTTCATGGTAAATCTACATCCCTCTCTCTCTTTATATGACGCCTTTTTGTTTTCCGATGTTTTCATATATTGGACCCGGTTCGATTTGGGTTTAGCCGGAATTGGATACGATTTGATAATAACCAATTTGACTGGTATTGGCTAAAGTTTGATACAATTCAAACCTTATTACTGGACCGACATCAATTTGGTTTCAAATAGAGTCGAGTCTGGTTTAGTTTATATAAGTTTGAATTAGGAGAGATTGACCAAATTTACTTGGGTTTGTTTCGGTTTTGTTGGTATGGCTAGATACTTTGTCCAGTTTCGGTTTGGTTTGATGTCCGGTTCCCTGTGTGAATGTTAATATCAATTGGGTCGATTTGGTCTACTTTGATTTTGTTTGATATTCTTGCGGTTCGATCCGGTTCGGTTTAATCTTCTTGATTTGTAATGCATCTGTTAGATACTCCAACAAGGCAACAAACAACATGCAAATCAAGTAATATAATTTGTTGTGTTTGAACAGGCTGATTTCGAGGACGCATTGTCTCCGAGTTGGGAGAATCTGATGAGAGGGCATGTGAACTTGAAAGATGCAGTGGATGGATCCATTACGTTCCATGACAAGTCAAGGAACAGAGTTTATAAGCTCAACGACCAAACCGCTAAGCTCTTTGTCCGGCCAAGAGGTTGGCATCTCCCGGAGGCTCACATCCTCATCGACGGTGAACCCGCCACTGGATGTCTTGTCGATTTTGGCCTTTACTTCTTCCACAACTACGCCAAATTTAGACAGACTCAAGGTTCCGGATTCGGTCCATTCTTCTATCTCCCCAAAATGGAACATTCTAGGTACCTTCCTGGTTCGGTCATTAATTTGATGTTTTCGGTTTAGGGTTAACTAGGTTACTTGGTTTCTTGACAGGGAAGCAAAGATATGGAACAGCGTATTTGAGCGAGCTGAGAAGATGGCTGGGATAGAGAGAGGAAGCATTAGAGCAACAGTGCTTATCGAGACCCTCCCGGCTGTCTTCCAGATGAATGAGATACTATATGAACTGCGTGATCACTCTGTCGGTTTAAACTGTGGAAGATGGGATTATATCTTCAGTTATGTCAAGACCTTCCAATCTCACCCTGACCGGCTCTTACCAGACCGTGTCCTAGTCGGCATGGGCCAGCATTTCATGAGAAGTTACTCTGATCTTCTCATCCGTACTTGTCATAAGCGCGGTGTCCACGCTATGGGTGGCATGGTTAGTCCCCTCTTAACACTAGTTCACCATATAGTCCTTATGTCTCTTAAGATGCATGTGTGAATGCACCAGTTGCACATGTTTTGATTTCGATGTTGATTTAATCTGCTTGGTGGTATGATGATCAGGCGGCTCAGATTCCGATAAGAGATGACCCGAAAGCAAATGAGATGGCATTGGATCTAGTGAGGAAAGACAAGCTGAGAGAAGTAAGAGCAGGGCATGATGGAACATGGGCGGCTCATCCAGGACTCATCCCAATCTGCATGGAAGCATTCACAGGTCACATGGGCAAAAGTCCAAACCAAATCAAATCAGTAAAGCGCGAAGATGCAGCCGCGATAACAGAGGAAGACCTGCTTCAAATACCGCGAGGAGTGCGTACACTCGAGGGTCTAAGGCTGAACACACGTGTGGGAATCCAATACTTAGCTGCGTGGTTAACAGGATCAGGATCTGTTCCACTATACAACCTAATGGAAGACGCTGCTACGGCTGAGATAAGCCGAGTCCAGAATTGGCAATGGATTAGGTATGGAGTGGAATTGGATGGAGACGGGCTTGGAGTTCGGGTGACTAAAGAGTTATTTGGGAGAGTTGTGGAAGAAGAGATGGAAAGAATTGAGAAAGAAGTTGGGAAAGACAAGTTCAAGAAAGGAATGTATAAGGAAGCTTGCAAGATGTTTACAAAGCAGTGTACTGCACCTGAGCTTGACGATTTTCTTACACTTGCCGTCTATAATCACATTGTAGCTCATTACCCTATCAATAACTCTAGGCTCTGAAAGAAGGAAGATGAAGATGGAAGGGGAAGATGAAGATGGAAGGGGAGTGAGAGTTTGAGATATGAGTTTGTGCTTTTGTTTCTTTGTGTCTGTTTCTCAAATGTTTTGTTCTTTCTATATGTTGGTATATTGTAATAAGCAGAACTTGTTATTTTCTTTCCAATAAGAAATAAATGTTCTATAGCATCCTTATTCCTTAATGCGTTTATGGACATTGAAGATACACCAAAATCCAAAAGCAGAGCATTTGATACATATACAAAATTGATTAATAAACACAAGAATAGAGACAAGACTATCTTACTATCAGCAAGTTTGTTAACTTAATATATATCGTTTATTTGATGTTCAAATCTGGCGGAAAAAAAAAAAATGGATGTTCAAATCTACAATACATTCATGATTGTCATTGACTTATTTAAATAGTTGAAAATATAACCTCCATCATATTGTTAATTCACTGCTGTATCTTATATTAGTCAGTCTTTAGGTAAGGGTGATCAAATAGTCAGATAATTTGGTCTATTAATCAGTAACTAAAAAGAAAATTTGAGTGATTTGAAAGAATTCATTATTTAGTTTTATCATACAGTAAAGTGTAATTTGAACCAATGACAAAAGTAACAGCATTCGAATATAAATGTAAACGCCATCTTTAACCAAAAAAAAAAAAAAGAAAGAAAGAAAGAAAAATGATGAAGCAATTAAACAGAGATACAAAATTGATAAGATTAACAGATTAAGCATGGAATTGTAAATAATCTAAAGCATGGATTCGTTCAATCCAAATTATTGAACCGGCTGGGCGAAAATAAAATAAAAATAACTGAACCAATTCGGTTATTGAGAAAACCGAGTACCGAAATTAAGCAGGCCTATAAAATCCAAAGAAATCCCTCATTCTCGTGTCTCTGCAAAATTAGGGTTTTTGCCTCTCTCGCTTATCGCCGCTAATCTCTTACCTCCGGTTGCCGCGTCTCCGTCAGCCTCCTTCTACAGGTTTCTTCATCGTTTACAATCTTCTCTGTTGTATCTCGAATCGAATCTGTCATTAGAATTATCCTCTCTTTGTTAGATCATTTCAATCCCTAGTTTCGCCTCTTTTGCGATGAGATACATTAAACTTGCAAGATTGAAACTTTCGTAACAAGTTATTCTGATTGTGAATAGATTATTATGAACCGATGTTGATATTTCTGTTAAGTTGATTGCTTTACATGAAACTATGTACTGATTGTGTATGCATTTTCATTGATGTTTTATGTGAATGCTGATGTAATTGGTTTATTTAATCAGAATGGATTCTCAGATTAAGCACGCAGTGGTGGTTAAGGTCATGGGTAGGACTGGTTCAAGGGGTCAGGTCACTCAGGTTCGAGTGAAGTTTACCGACTCTGATCGCTACATCATGAGGAATGTTAAAGGACCGGTGAGGGAAGGTGATATCCTCACCTTGCTCGAGTCTGAGAGAGAAGCCAGAAGACTCCGTTGATGCGTCTCTTCTTCCTACTCCACAATGCGGAAACAAGAAAACATTTGGTTATTTCTCTTTTGCTTTCTTTGATTGGATTAGTGGATTATGCTTTTGAGTCTTAATTTTGTTGTTGCTTTAAGACAATTGCTGGATTGATAAGTATGTTATTGTTCTTTGGAATTCGAAATCTCTTATCCCTTTCTATATTGTTCATCAAGAATTTGCTCTATTCTCCATCTTGTTCTACATGAACCAAGAATCACAACTTCCAAATAAAGGGAAATTGTTTCTTTGTGTGTTTGGGTTATTATTCTTAACGTTGGCTTAAATCCATCGACACAGAACAAACCCTCCAAAATGTCTCTGAAGAAAACTTAACAATGCATGAACCAAAACTGATATAGGAAGCTACAAGCCTTGAGGTATCATTCAAAGAAAATATGTTCTACTCTAATCCAACCAGAACAATTCATACCTCATCGCAATCACTTTCTTCTATCCTGGTCCGTTTTGTGTCCAACCTTGATTTAGCCCTGTGGTGGACTGTCTTAAGCTGTAGCAAGTGTAGACTCGATACAGGTCAGTTTGTATCGATCAGTTCGAGGATTTTGGGTTTACTGTAACATTCCTACTTTGTTACCATAGTGACCAGGCTTCTCGTATTTGGGTTCTGTGGCCCTTAGCATACATATTTGAGTTTTGCCAAAAGAGCTTTCTTCGTCAAAAATTATAGCCAAAGTTAATAACCAGAGACCGGGGATTGAGAAGATCCCGTTGGTGGTCATGATTTATGAGTTGTTGCTACATCTTTTGGATTAAGCTAATTGATACGTTGTCTACTAGTCTTAATTGAGCGCATTGATGTTTCTCTTTTCCTTTTGGGGTCTTTTGAGGGGTTGTCTTGTTTTGGAGAATCAGATGATGTAAACCAAGTTTATATAAGTTTATCTATTTTACTTTGTGCCTTTATTCTGATTAATTACCAAATCTTAATAAAGTATCAATCAATACTTGCTTCTATAAGAAAATAAATAAATTTTTCTTTAGTGGAGAATCCATAGTAACAATTAATTATATTCCACAAAATCTTAATAAAGTATCGATCAAGACTTGCTCCTATACGAAAATAAATAAATAATTCAATAGTGAATACATACAATCTCAATTCTAAGAATTGTTTCTTCACGTAAACTCTTGGTGTTAGTCGTTTCGATAAATAAAATTTTTTTTTCGATGTTCCTTGAAGAATCAATGCGACAATGCGTTGTCGTTACACGAGCAAGGAGTCCCAAATCCGCGATATTTTTTTCTTTTTCGTTTCTTTGACTAAAAAGAAATCAGTTGGTTTATTGCCTTTGTCATATTTTTATTTCTTAAAGATATGAGCTTGTACGATTGTATATCGATGGTGTTTAAATTCATAGTAACTAATTTTTTTTATTAGCTTTATTTTTAATGCAAAAGGACTAAAATCTCACCTTACGACAATGACATGACCTTTGAGCAATAATTTTATCCGCCGTTGTAATAGAATCAAAGTACGATGAGAATGTAAATATAACAAATCTCTTAATCTTGGCCAATTATATATGTTCTAGTGAAATTCGTTTTGAATTCATGGACCAATGAGTGTAAAAAATAGCTCTTTTATTCGCCGAGGTGTCTAGCTAGGAATTTTGTCGAATTTTAGACCTTAGTGGTTTTTGTTCTTGGTGACACAAAAGATTATAGGATTCTATAGATTAATGAAATAGCGATTTGGTTCATATAGTATAAAGTCTTGATCATAGATAGGGGTTGGAACCAAGATATGCCAATGTTGCTGAATCAGTCGATAAACCTCAAGATTGGCTTTGTAGCAGATCTGTTTAGTCTCGGGTTATATACTATTTAGTATTTACACAAATATCTACAAATCATATTTAATTTCCTAACACTTCACAAAATATGTAGTTATTGAGATCTATTGAATTCTTTCAATCCTAAAGTTAGAAGCAGTCAGCAAACATCATGGTCATGTGATATCTTATATATACAAGTGGACAGTGAGTAATAAAAACATTGATATTTCATAATTCAGTTAAAAACTAATAAAGTTGTAAATCACCTAAAATCAGATGCCCTAAACTAATTTCTTCTATGAAAACTGAGGTTAGTACATGTTTGAGACAGAAAAAAGAGGTTAGTACATATAATTGGGATGTGTCTATTGATTCTTTTATATATTCCCTTCTCTCTCTCGTCTCTCTCTAAGTTGGAAAACCCCTATAAATAGATGTCTTGGTCGACTTCTTTGTCTCCCACATCACTACAAATCTCTCTTTTTCTCCAAGTTCACTAGAATTAAATAGAAAGAAAAAGAAATTCAACAAAAAAAATGGAGAATATGGGAACTAGAGTGATAGAGCCATTGATAATGGGGAGAGTGGTAGGAGATGTTCTTGATTTCTTCACTCCAACAATCAAGATGAACGTGAGCTATAACAAGAAGCAAGTCTCCAATGGCCATGAGCTCTTTCCTTCCTCTGTTTCCTCCAAGCCTAGGGTTGAGATCCATGGTGGTGATCTCAGATCCTTCTTCACCTTGGTATATACATAATATTTAAATTATTTAATAATCATCAATAATGTTGAGGTTGCTTGATTCGTATATATTGTGCCAAAAAAAACATATAAAACGTCTCACTTTCTTTTCCTCTTATAAGTTTTCCACTTTCTGACTCAATTATCTTAGAAATTGTACCTTTAGTTTTTATCATTCCTTTTTCCAGTCATCTTTTTTATGGTAAAACTCAACCGAAATGCAAAAACAGGTGATGATAGACCCAGATGTTCCAGGTCCTAGTGACCCCTTTCTAAAAGAACACCTGCACTGGTACGTTCAATTTATTTATTCTTTCTTTTCATTTTGGGCCCATATTCCATATGCATTGCATTTCAATAATTTCGTTATAACCCTAATAAAGTTGTTTTGTTTAGGTTTATACATTAACTTTGTTGATTTTATAAACTTTTCATATGAAATAATAGCATCAATTACTTTTGTTGAATGTTTTAATAGGATCGTTACAAACATTCCCGGCACAACAGATGCTACGTTTGGTAAGGCCTCTTCAGGAATCTTGTAGTCTAAATACTTGTATATAATATATGTTAAATATAAATAAGATTTGCATTGAAATATAGGCAAAGAGGTGGTGAGCTATGAATTGCCAAGGCCAAGCATAGGGATACATAGGTTTGTGTTTGTTCTGTTCAAGCAGAAGCAAAGACGCGTTATCTTCCCCAATATCCCTTCGAGAGATCACTTCAACACTCGTAAATTTGCGGTCGAGTATGATCTTGGTCTCCCTGTAGCGGCTGTCTTCTTTAACGCACAAAGAGAAACCGCTGCTCGTAAACGCTAGTTTCATTATTGTCCATCGAATGCCAAAACGAAAGAAGAAAAAATTGTAATCTCATGTTTATTTATGTTCTGAATTTCCGTACTCTGAATAAAACTGCCTAAGATGAGTTGAATCCGAAATATCAGTTTGGTTTACAGAAGTATTGATAACGACATTATCACAATAAAAACTAGATTGCATATCATGTTTAGCACCTTGTACCACTACATAAATAGTAAACTCTTGAGTAATTAATAAAATCTAAGTTGTTAAAGTATAAATCCTTATATATACATGGCTTGATAGGTCACATCACATGTGGTGAACCTTATCTATATGATAAACGTGGAAACACGGAAAATAAAAGATAATAAACGGAGAAAACTTTTTTTGTTCTGGTCAAAGTGACAAGACCTTGATGACCATCTAAAATAGGATCCTCTCCTCTTACTCGACGATCATATTTTCATATCTATTTATCACTGTTTGGTTTTGTGACAAAAAATACTTTGCTGCAAGTGCTAGTACAACTTCTGAGAAATGTATAGTGAATAAATCGAATGTTATAACATAACTACAACAGCTTCCTTTTTCTTTGAAATCTAATAGCCATTTCTTTCAATGTAACAAATTAGATTTATTGGTTATATCCCTCACCAATGTAGTATCGACATGTCCGCAGTAAACAAAATGTATCTTTGACTACAGACTATTATATTATTACATATTTAAAACATATGAGATAGAAAAGTCAGTCTTCAATAAAATATTTATTATATATGTATATGAGGTATGAGAAATTTTTTTTGTGAAGAGTTTCCAGAAAACATATCTATATTCAGCCGAATAACCATTATATTACAAGTCTTAATCATTAAAATGCTTACAATATTTCATATTTTTACATATAATTTTACTTTTTCTGCCTTGCAACATATAATTAAGTAATTAACAGTCTAATTTTTGACAACAACAAAAAATTAGCATTCTACATTCAGTGTTCAAATGGAGAAAATATTTTTTTAAATGGATTGGCCATTTTTTGGTGTATACAGAATATAGTACAGCATGAATGATAGACCCATGTTCGAGAGGTGCACAAGTGGGAAATATTACTTTCAACGGTAAACTCAAGAGAGGTCACGTGTCATTAGTTGAGTGGTTAGCGGCTAAGTACTGTTTACCATTATCCTCAACGCCGACCAATTTCTGGTTCTCTACATGTATATTCGCGCTATCATATCAACAAATCTAGCAAAATACTACTAACTTGTTTCGAGTTTGCTAGATTACGTACTATACATAGTTTGGAATCTCGTTTATGAAGAAATTACCAAATATATTAATCATTAAAAGGTATTGAAGTAGAGTTTTAGTTCAAATTGGGTTTCAATTATTTTATTTTATTTTTGCTTTAAGAATATTCAAAGCAAGATTTATCTCATACAAATTGGTTTTGGTTACATTGTGCATTAAAAAAAAATGGGGAAAAGATAAGGGTTATCTACACATGTGTCATAACAAAATCTTATGCAATTATTGCTTCCAAGACTTCAGAGTCTAAGACCTCAAGTCTAACTAATACGTTCGCTAAAAATAAATAAACTGAAAACTGAAAAAGGGGAAAACAATCTACGTAGGCAAATTGATTCACTACTAAATCAAGGGCATGCAAAGACTTTAGGATTTGCCTGAAAAAGACACTGTGAACTATAACATTATATAGAGTTTTAGGGTTTCAGTAAGACATAATGTGCCTGTGTTATGTTTAGCCACTTATGGTTATTTTCGTAGCTACATATTTTTCCAAAAGTAAGAACACAATTGTGATTTATAAAATGACTGGCCCCTCGTTTGGTGTTATTACAAGTCAACACGTGCTCTGTTCCATTCCATCCCTGATTTTACTCAAAATTTGCTACAATTCTCATTGCCAAAATTAAAATGGTGTCAGTATTTGGGTATGAATCGTTTTGAACTAAAACACTAAATAGAGTTTTAGGGTTTCAGTACTAAGACCATAATGTGCGTGTGTTGTGTTTAGCTACTTATGGTTGGTTTCAAGGCTAAATATTTTTCCAAAAGTAAACACATTTTTAATTTTTTGTAGTATGTTTAATCATACAATGAGTGGCCCTTGTTATTACCAATCAACACGTACTCTGTTCCGTTCCATATCTCTCGTTTCGCTCAAAAATTTGCCACATCTAAATATATTTGTCATTGCCAAAAATTGTTTCACTGTTTGGGAATCATTTTGAACTGCTCTTATGGGTCGTATATGCAAATAAAATGAACTGTTTTTTTTTTTTTTATAACTTTTCTTAAAGACATAAATACGTGTTTAAGAAAAATCGTTCAAACATATGATCTCTCTAAGAGCACCCACAATGGTGCATGTGGGTGGGTGTGTGTTAACAATATATTTATTATAATTTTTTTAAGAGAGAGAGAGAGAGATTTGGTTAGTGGAGAAAGAGAGAGGAGAGAGAAAGAGATAGATGAAACATAAAACATTAAAATAATACTCACACCCAAGTGTTATCTCACACCCATGTCTTACACTATTCTATTATTTTCCTTTTTAATAATACTCACACCCCACCAAAACATACACCATTGTGTATGGTCTAAGTATATGTATTATTTGCATATACATAAAATTTTAATTAGAACTCATTGAAGCTCGATTTGCATCATTATATTCGTTTTATTTCTCTTTTCATAAAAAAATAACAATCATGCAAAATAAAATATGGTTATCTTCTTAAAATTGATGTATATGATCTATAATTTATGCAACTCAAGTCTTGTCACAAGTAATTACTTTCTACTTGTACGAGCATAGTTATTTCTTTTTCATTACTCGGTACACATATAAATCACATCATTCATATCACACATTAACTAACGAATTATATCTACCGGTACATAGATTTATAAGTACATTAACATCTTCTATTTCACCGGTACGAAACCGCAAACCTGGTGATTAACCAGCAGGGGAAATTATTAGCCGCCATACTTCTGTTTAGAACGACTCTCGAGGACAAACCAACATGTAATAATCTTTCGACTAAAAGAGACGACCTGTCATGTTTCGTGTAATAACAAAAAAAGGCGAAAAACATACTAACCCTTGGACCGAGTCCACTGGTCCTTCGTATAAACACATAAAAGATTAAAAATTAGGGCTTTTTAATATAGAAAGGCTGTCTAAATTTGATTGGTTAACGTGTCGAGGAGTCGTGCTAGGTCCCCTCTCATGTGTTAAGGTTTGATCCTCGTATAGTTTTGGTCTGTGCGCTTCATATATACTCTCACAACAACTAAACAACATAAATTAAGTGAAGAGGAGGTACATTTACAAAGTAAATTCAATGACTAACGCATAAGTCATTGTATTGTTACAAGAATTATAGGGGTTTTTTTTATTTTTATTTAAGGATCTAAATATATTAACCAAAGTAGTTTATCAAAAAAATATTAACTAAAGTAAAACTGAAACGAATGTAATTTGTTCTTGTTGTTAAGGATAATAATAAGTCTTCTAACAATTTCATCTTGAAAAATTTCTTTATAATATCAATTTCGGATTGGTCCAGTTAGAATAATTTCATATATGTTTGATCATATCGATTTCTGATTTGGATTGAATCAAAACGGACGTGTGTTCGTATTGTGTTACTATGTTGAGTTTCAATTCAGAACTAATTGACAAGTAACTAGATTATCCATGTTCTTTGTATATTACTCGGTCTCTTTTTATAATCGATACGATACTCCTAACATAAAATTTTGTGTTTAAAAAAAAAAAAATTATAAGCATTTTTATAAAAAAAATCTTCAACTGGTAGGAGCTTCTTCTGCGATGCTTTTGTACTGCGAAAGCTGCAAAAAACATGTGTCTCGTTTTTCATTTATTTCTGGTTTTACTCTCCTTTTTGTTTTCTCTTTTCTTTTGCAAATAACTTTGTATTTTGCAAGCTGCAAAGACATTTTTTTTTTTTTTGGTCAACTAACTTGCAGAGACTTTCTTTTGGAAGAGTATTTGCGACCAAAGAAAAACATCACAAGAAAATTGTCTTTTGGGAGAGTCCAAGGGTTGAGGAAGAGAGTAGATAACACATTTGCTGTTCACAATCTTTGGTTCTGATTTACACAATCTAGCAGGAACTTTCTGGTTAAAATAGATTTGAGATCATTTATACATAGCCAACTATATAGTTCATTCCCAATTCACCACTGTATATATTCCAACGCGGTGTGATCCACCACACATACTTGAGTATATTTTGTCAACACTACTGTTTCATCTTCTGAAAATTTCTCATTTGAGTATTTATCTATACACATACTTTTATAAGATAAATACAAAGTGTACACAAACTCGTGCATTACACTAACTACACAGAAGAGAACTTTGGTGTTATGCATCAAAAAAAACAATCTACCTCTGTTTCTAACTAAATTCCAACTCTTACAATTTATAATCATTGATAGCATTTCACATTGTTTCATATAATAAACCCTTTAGCCCAAAAAAAAAGGTATTAGACATTGTCTCAGTTCCAGTAATATGCAGGGGAAGAAAGCCGGAGAACAACAAAACCTAGCACTGTAATAACCTCATCAAAACTGGTGGAGATCTATAAACAACTGACCGGTGAGCCGAATCTTTAGGAAGAAGAAGTGGATTATTCATCAATGAGAGACTTCAACTTCTGTCTGAATTCAGGAATCTTTTGTGCCTCCACAACCATCACTAGACCCGTCAACTGATAATTCTTCAACTGAAATTGGCATTATACCCAAAGATTACAAACCACAAACAAGTGAATCAAACTTATGTGATTCCGGGAATAGTATGTTGGCATTAAAGAGATAACTTACCTCTTGAGATGTAACGAGCTGCGACTGTATAGGGAATGTAAAGGACCAAGAGCTAAGCTGCAATGCATTTTTTTCAACAAATGATTAAGAGTATAACTTTTTCTTTTCACACGGGAAGTCGAGTAGGTAATGTGAGAATAAGTACCTCGAGAAAAATTTCATCTTCAGGCTTAAGGAATATTGTTTCCTCGTTCTCTTTTTCACCACGACAAGGTTTCCTCTGCTTGGGATGCTTCAACTTTATAACCAAGTATCTACATCACATTGTTAAAACAAGAAAGAGAATTCGAGAACCGGAAAAAAAAATCTTTTAACACTTACCTTGTAAATCTTAGTGATTAGAATATATGACTTGAACCGGAATGACCCTCGAAGCTCTTCTGTAGGCTGTAAAACAGAACTTAAAAATTGTAAAATTTCGTAGATCTTTAACATTGCTCATAAGAAAAGAAATTGCCTAAAGTTAACTTTGAAAGATCAAACCTCATCTTCAGTTGCCCATGAGACTTCGTCCAACAATCCATCATATAGTGGAGGAAGGAGTTGTGGAGGAAGATTCATCACTCTTTGAGATACCAATAAACCAACATCTTTCGCCTTTTTCTCTAAGAGTAGTTCTAGATCACTAGCTACATTCTTCTCCGAACAAACTTTGAGAAGAAACTCTTGTAGCTCTCTAAAGCACTTAGTGTCCTGAACACACAAAAATACTATACAGTAGTTAATAGATTGCTTACCGCAAAGCATAATAGCAAATACGAACAAACACCTTTGAACATTATAATTACTTCAACAAGCTTAGCAATCAAATGAGATCATTCATAAACACGCACATTATCAAGTCGATCATTAAGCATAGATAAAAGTAAATTCACTTAGCAAAGGTGAGTTACATGACTTGCCTTGTATCTTGCCAAGTTAAGAGCAGTGACAAGAGCAAATAATGCATCATCCTCATCATATGCTACTTTGACCACAGTTCCCACCGTTGTTTGATCCAATATCAAATCCACAAAACCACTCAAATCCCACTCCTTGTCATCAAGATAGTTTTGTAGGAGGATCTTGACTCCTTGAAAGTCTGTAGCTTTAGGGTCAAAGAACTCAAAGTCTGCTTGGACCTCTCCCTTCAAAGATCAAACACCGAAATTAAAACGTAGCAAAAAGATAAACGAAATGAACAGCAGAGTAACTTCACAAAATCGCTTACCTGAGAGTCTTCTTCATCAGAGGATTCCAACAGTTGTTTCTCTTTCCCTTTATTAGATAAAGTAGAGAACTTTGCATCTACAAAGTTAAGAATGAGACATACTCATCAGGTCACTACAATGTTCTGTATAGAGAAAGTCTCAAACTTTAAGGTTATTACTAACCAAAAGATATATCTGGAAGAGACAATTTACGTATAGCCGTTGAAGCATAGGCAAGAAACATTCAAAAAAAAAAAAAAAGAAGCATAGGCAAGAGAACGCATAAACGGTGAAAATGCTAAAGGTTGATACTTTGACAATCTTCTTCTCCCTGATGGCCTTCGAGGCATCTATTCAATACGAAAACTAAACAAAATTTCAGGCTAATTCACCAAAACCTATTCAAAGCAAAACTTATTCACTAGACTAGTCTACGAGAAGTCGAAACTACTTAACCTTTAACTTGATTGAGATTGAAGAACTGAAAAAATTGGATTGAGATTGAAAAGCTTATATGGTTCTTGTGAAACTTACCGACGGTGGAGCGACTTGAAACACCGGTAAGAGAGATTCGACGGCGACTGGAGAGAGACGAGAGAAGAACCTAGTCTACTAAACCGAATGGTTCAGTTAAAATCTGTCCATACCGGATTTTTTTCTTAATCCATCGTACCGGGCTGGTTTGACTGCAAACCCGATTTCTGTTTTTTCCAAATCACAAGCCCAATTGGAGCCTAAACCGGAAGGAAAGAGGCGATTTAATTAGGTGGTGCATTCAACAGTAACACAACAGTTAAGGTTTGGTGTTAATTTTGAGAAGTTAGTGAGATTACTGTAATAATTACTGATTATTCACATGGTCAAAACCAGTTTTACTGCTCATATTTTGAATAATGTTGCTCTCGTCAAAACCACCTTTTTCTAATTTGCTAAGTGCACTTTACTTATGTTTCTAAAATCCGATATATTTACTTTGTGATTTTTTTTTTTTTTTGTGATAATTACTTTGTGAGTTGTGACAACAACGAAGAGCTTCGCAAATTAGAATTTTGGTTTGACGTAGGAGGACACTCAAGGAAGAAAGCAAAAAAGGTTTGTTGCGAAGAATTAAGGAAGTATAGTAAAAGTTAAGTGAGAGTTAGTTTCATTCACATGCTAAAACATGTGATCTCTTCGTAGATCTATTGACTAAACCAAACGAATGACAAACTAATTAACAAATGAGTCCCGAAATATTAATAATTAAACTTTATTTCTTGTGATTGCATGAAAAATGTGAGAGGTGACGAATGTCTTCTTGTGGATGGATTGCGTGTTAAGGTCTACCATCTTTGAATTCGATTACGACGTTACTACCAAAGCATGCAGCTTCAAACAAACTAAAATGTATCTTTTCTTTCAAGCAATTTACTTCCTTAATCTCTCTTCCTTTAAAACCCCTAATCATTCACCACTTCTTCGCTCACTCCTCTCTATCTTTTACTACATTCAAACAGAAAATGAAGATGTTTATTATAATGTTGATGAGCTTTTCGGTTTTCGCCTACATTGGGACCGGTCAGCCACTTGTACCGGCTCTAATCATAATGGGAGATTCAGTTGTCGATGCCGGTAACAACAACCGCCTCAATACCCTCGTCAAAGCCAATTTTCCTCCCTATGGACGTGACTTCTTAGCCCACAATGCTACTGGCCGTTTCTCTAACGGAAAACTTGCCACTGACTTTACAGGTTCGAACTTCGAACCAGCCTAATAATTCACTATTCACGTTACATATTGTAGTACCATCTATCATTTCCGTATCCTTAGGCTTTGTTTGTTGTTTGTGCAGCTGAGAGTTTAGGGTTCACTTCTTACCCTGTGGCGTACCTTAGCCAAGAAGCTAATGGGACAAATCTGTTAACCGGAGCCAATTTCGCCTCTGGTGCTTCCGGTTTTGACGACGGAACTGCCCTATTTTACGTAACTAACCTCCTCCTCCTCAACCCTGTTTAATCCGGCTATTAAGTTAGTTAAACCGGAATACTTTAACATTTTATGGTTTTATCATATTATTGTAGAATGCAATAACATTGAACCAACAGCTGAAAAACTACAAAGAGTACCAAAACAAGGTGACGAACATTGTGGGAAGAGAAAGAGCAAATGAGATATTCTCAGGCGCGATTCATCTTCTAAGCACGGGATCAAGCGATTTTCTTCAAAGCTATTACATCAATCCGATCCTTAACCTGATTTTCACGCCTGATCAATACTCAGATCGTCTCTTGAGATCCTATTCCACCTTTGTGCAAGTAAATTAACCAATACCGTACTACACCGAACCAACTTTTAATTTTTCCGGTTTACTCTGAACCGATGGTCGAATTTTTGTTTTTGTTGGCAGAATTTGTATGGTTTAGGAGCTAGAAAGATTGGAGTGACGACGTTACCGCCGTTGGGTTGTTTACCTGCTGCAATAACGACGTTTGGTGAAGCTGGGAACAATACGTGCGTCGAAAGACTAAACCGGGATGCGGTTTCCTTCAATACCAAACTCAACAACACGTCTATGAACTTAACCAACAATCTTCCCGGTCTGAAATTGGTCGTCTTTGACATCTATAATCCTCTATTGAGCATGGTCATGAACCCTGTCGAGAATGGTACGGTTTTTTTTTATAAAACAGCAACTTTATTATTTGACGACTAACACCGACACTTTTTTTCTCATTTAAAATATTCCAATTTTTATATATTTGAATGTAGGGTTTTTTGAATCAAGGAGGGCTTGTTGTGGAACTGGAACAATGGAAACTTCGTTCCTATGTAATGCAAGATCGGTGGGTACGTGTTCGAATGCTACCAATTACGTGTTTTGGGATGGTTTTCATCCATCCGAGGCAGCCAATCGTGTTATTGCAAACAATCTTCTTGTCCAAGGAATCCCCCTGATCTCTTAAACCTAATTTTATTCCAAAATATTGATTCAAACAGTTAAGATGTTATGATGAAACAAAAAAAATGATATGATGAAAAATATTATAGATTATGTAGCTTAATGAATGGTTGGAAATTATTAACTAAAGGTTTGACTGTTTGAGTATGCTTGCTTCTTCTTTTTTCTTTAAAGTTATCCAGATTCATCATCTTTTCACGTATGTAACATCTTAATTAGTTTACATCGAAATCAATTAATGTATCTTCAAGAAAAAGAAGAAGATCTATATATCACCTCAAGACACAAAAGATCAAATAGAGAAGTAAAAACACCAAAATAAATATCATTTTATGATAATGTAAATTAGGATATAAAATAAACAAAAAAAACGTTAAATAGAGAAAGAAACTCAAGAGTCAAGAGTAAACTAATTTTGTAAATAAATAATTTCAGTTACGGGGATATTTGATCATATCAATAGTACAGGGAGAAATGTGTAAAGTTTCTAATAATATAGGGACCTTAATTAAATTTCTTGATTACAAAATTGGTCTTTCTCTTCTGAAGTAAAGAGGGACAAGTGAAGGTTTATCCATGGCGATTTAGCGCCCAAAAGCTCAAAAATTCATTCATGTCCACCGTTAATCATCACTACCTTCTCAATTTCCCTCATATCCCACCTTCAATTCCTCCGAATCATCGTCCCAAACTTCTTTCTTCTCTCTCCCTCTATCGAAAACCAGAACGCCTCTTTACCCTCTCTGCGTCTCTGTCTCTTTCACCAGCAACCATCCATGAGTGTTCTTCTTCCTCATCTTCTTCTTCTTCTTTATCGTTCGAGAAGGAAGAAACGGAAGAGATTGAATCTATAGTTGATGGGTTTTTCTATCTGCTTCGATTGTCTGCTCAATACCACGACGTCGAGGTAACAAAAGCTGTACACGCTTCGTTTCTTAAGCTCAGAGAAGAAAAAACCCGTCTTGGAAATGCCCTAATCTCTACATATCTCAAACTTGGTTTCCCTCGTGAAGCTTTTCTCGTCTTCGTGTCTCTTTCTTCACCAACGGTGGTTTCTTACACAGCTCTTATCTCTGGTTTCTCAAGATTAAACCTTGAAATTGAGGCTCTTAAGGTTTTCTTCAGGATGAGAAAAGCAGGTATTGTCCTTCCGAATGAGTATACTTTTGTAGCGATTTTGACTGCTTGCGTGAGAGTTTCGCGATTCTCGCTTGGGATTCAGATTCATGGATTGATAGTTAAATCAGGGTTTTTGAATTCTGTGTTTGTTGGTAATTCGTTAATGAGTTTGTATTCAAAGGATTCTAGGTCTTCGTGTGATGATGTGCTTAAGTTGTTCGATGAAATTCCTCACAGAGATGTGGCTTCTTGGAACACTGTGATTTCGAGTTTAGTGAAAGAGGGAAAGTCTCATAAAGCTTTTAATTTGTTTTATGAGATGAACAGAGTCGAAGGACTTGGAGTTGATTGTTTTACGCTTTCAACGCTTTTGAGCTCTTGCACTGATTCTAGTGACTTGTTGAGAGGCAGAGAACTCCATGGTCGTGCAATTAGGATCGGGCTGATGCAGGAATTGAGTGTGAATAACGCTCTCATTGGGTTTTATTCTAGATTTGGGGATATGAAAAAGGTAGAGAATTTGTACGAGATGATGATGGTGCAAGATGCCGTTACTTTCACGGAGATGATCACAGCTTACATGGCATTTGGAATGGTGGATTCTGCTGTTGAGATGTTCGAGGATATAACTGAGAAAAACACTATTACCTATAACGCGCTCATGGCTGGGTTCTGTAGAAACGGCCATGGCTTGGAGGCACTTAAATTATTCACTGAAATGCTGCAGAGAGGTGTTGAGTTGACGGATTTCAGTTTAACAAGCGCTGTGGACGCTTGTGGTTTAGTTTCAGAGAAGAAAGTAAGCGAACAGGTACACGGGTTTTGTATTAAGTTTGGATGTCTTTTAAACCCTTGTATCCAGACTGCATTGCTTGATATGTGCACAAGGTGTGAAAGGATGGCAGATGCTGAGGAGATGTTTGACCAATGGCCTTCTAATCTCGATATCTCGAAGGCAACGACGTCAATACTCGGTGGTTACGCTCGGAATGGCTTACCTGATAAGGCTTTATCGCTATTCCATCGCACTCTCTGCGAAGAGAAGTTGTTTTTAGATGAAGTTTCGTTGACTCTGATTCTTGCGGTCTGCGGGACATTAGGGTTTCGGGAAATGGGTTATCAGATCCAATGCTATGCTCTTAAAGCTGGCTACTTTTCTGATGTATGCTTGGGGAATTCTTTGATTAGCATGTACTCGAAATGTTGTGACTCAGATGATGCCATAAAGGTTTTCAACACTATGCAAGAACATGATGTTGTTTCTTGGAACAGCTTGATTTCTTGCTACATCCTTCAAAGAAATGGTGATGAGGCACTGGCTCTATGGTCGAGGATGAATGAGGAAGAGATCAAGCCTGACATGATCACCCTCACTCTTGTTATTTCTGCATTTCGGTATACAGAGTCAAATAAGCTTAGTAGCTGCCGTGATCTGTTTCTCTCCATGAAGACTATCTATGACATTGAACCAACGACTGAACATTACACTGCCTTCGTCCGTGTTCTGGGTCATTGGGGTCTTCTCGAAGAAGCGGAAGACACAATAAACTCGATGCCGTTTCAGCCCGAGGTCTCTGTTTTGAGAGCTCTGCTTGATAGCTGCAGAATACATTCAAACACAAGCGTTGCAAAACGAGTAGTAAAGCTTGTACTATCGACAAAACCTAAAAACCCGTCTGAGTACATCCTCAAATCCAACATCTACTCAGCTTCTGGACTCTGGCATCGCTCTGAAATGATAAGAGAGGAAATGCGGGAAAGAGGTTACCGGAAACATCCTTCTAAGAGCTGGATAATCCATGAGAACAAAGTACATTCCTTTCACGCGCGTGACACATCCCACCCGCAAGAGAAAGACATATACAGCGGATTGGAGATACTAATAATGGAATGTCTGAAAGCTGGATACGAACCAAACACAGAGTTTGTTCTTCAGGAGGTTGATGAGTTTATGAAGAAGAGTTTCTTGTTTCACCACAGCGCGAAACTCGCAGTGACTTATGGCATTCTCACAAGCAATACTCGGGGAAAGCCGGTTCGGGTTGTGAAGAACGTGATGCTCTGTGGTGATTGTCATGAGTTCTTCAAGTATGTTTCAGTTGTGGTAAAGAGAGAGATAGTTTTGAGAGATTCGTCAGGGTTTCATCATTTTGTGAATGGCAAGTGTTCTTGTAGAGATCTGTGGTGAATCAACCAAGACCTTAGTTTTTTGTAATGTTTCTTTTATATAATCATAAGTTGTTAATACGAGAGTTTTGGTTCTGTTTTGGGAGCTCTGCTCCATAGCTACAGAGTCCATTCAAAGTTTCAAACAAAAAAGCATTGCAAACGCGTAGCAAAGTTGATATTACAAGAGTGTGTTGGTTTGGATTGGTTGGGACGGGGTGGAAATGGATAGAAATAAAAAGTTTGGGGTTGAAATTGATAGAAATAAAAAGTTTGCATGTGAAAAGAAAAGAGAGAGTGGGGAAAGATGGACGCTTGGCACGAGGTGACGAGGGAGCAACCACTTATTACCAAATGTTATTCTTCCATTCACCTTCTTTTTAATTCTTTGCTCCTAAAACCGAAAGCAAAAAAAAACAAAAACTCTCTTCGTTAATTTTGATTCTTCGTCTTCTTCTTGTTCTTTCTTCTCAAATAAAGAGAATTAAGAGAAAGATGAGAGACGAAGATGTTGATGGGAAGTGTAGAAACATGTCTGCATGTTCCTTAACGACTTCGTATTCAACTAAACTCTTTCTCTTCATGGTTCCTCTTGTTGTCATTTCTGCTTTCGTCTTTGTAAATATTGGTCCTAAAACTCCAACTTCTTTCTTAACCTCTTTGTCCACTACTTCTCATCTACCTCCTTCTCCGCCTCTTCCTCCGGCTCCGGCGCCGGCCCCATCTCCTCTGCCACCGGAGATACTTCCCTCGTTGCCAGCAACATCTTTATCGACTAAAGTGGAATCTATTCAGGTTAGAGAAATTACTTAGAAATACCAAAATTATTCCTTTCTTCATTCTTCATCTTTGCATGTCTTTTATTCTTTCCGGCTATTTTATTTATTTATTTTCTATTCTTATTTTTTACAAACAAATATTTATGTTAATGTTTTACCAACAGATATGAAACATTTATGATTTAAATTCCGTGGTCAAACTACAGTCAACTGTAAAAAATATTTGTCAACTAGTCAAATGTGAATTTTAATTCGTTTTCATTAAAGACCAGTCGCCAAAACCGCAAAATAAGAAAGCAAAGATTACAGAGTAATGTTTTCTTGATATATGTAGGGACGGGTGACATAAATTTGAACTAACTAATTAATCAACAACACAAATGTTTTGATTTCTTTAAAAGTAATTTATTTACTGATATGGAATCATTCTTTAATTTCATTTATGTACAATAGTCTAAAGAATAACATTGATTGAACAGGATGATTTTAATCGCACGATTCAAATGAATCTGATCAACGTTACTACAACGAGTAGTAACGTCACTTCTACGGCATCATTGGAACCGAAGAAGAGAAGAGTTCTTAGCAATTTAGAGAAGATCGAATTCGAGCTACAAAAAGCTCGAGCCTCCATTAAAGCCGCTTCGATGGATGATCCCGTGGACGACCCGGACTATGTTCCTCTTGGTCCTATGTATTGGAACGCGAAGGTCTTTCATCGGTAAGTTAAAAGAATAATTATGTTTACTTTCTAATCTTTTAAGAAAAAAAAAAATTAAGTTACTACAATTTGGTTTCGCTAATAATTTATTAGAATTTAATTTAAGTCAAACGGGTTGGTACTATGAATTTATTGGCTCGTTAAAAATGCATCTGAATTAAATTAAAGTCAAACAGGTTGGAAACTATGAATTTATTGGCTTGCTAATTATTATTTGAACTAAATTAAAGTCATACAGGTTGGCATTATGAATCATAATTAAGGCTTGGAACTGGTTTTTACTTTGTACTAAATTGATGGGGAAACCTGGCAAGGAAGTTTCAATTAAATTTGAGTTACGTTTTTAGCAATTTTTTTATATTTAATTTCTTGCTAAATTGTAGAACTTTTTTTCATTAAATTAGTGAATGCAAGATATTTGTGGTGTCCCATCTTATATGCGTAGCGTAAGCAGAGGAATCACATACCTTATTTTTTTGGGGGAGCTAAATTCGTAAAAGCAAAATATTATTATTTGCCCATGGTCACATGGTTTAGTAAAAAATAAGGTAACCAATGACGGCATAACTTGAGGATTGATCCTGAAAACTAGATTAACTTAGACCAGTGAAGACATTCTAGCCTGTGCACAAAATGTGTCATGTGGTCCAGTGTAGAGAATGGAACAGATTTTCTTATGATGATTTGCTAACACTACATGATGTGCTTACAATTTTTTTGTTTCTGTAATGAAATGTTTAGGAGTTACTTGGAGATGGAGAAACAATTCAAGATATATGTGTACAAAGAAGGCGAGCCACCGTTGTTCCATGACGGTCCATGCAAAAGCATCTACTCTATGGAAGGAAGTTTCATCTATGAGATGGAAACCGATACGCGTTTTCGGACCAATAATCCTGACAAAGCCCACGCTTTTTATTTACCCTTCAGTGTCGTCAAGATGGTAAGATACGTGTATGAACGCAACTCCCGCGATTTCAGCCCCATCCGAAATACAGTCAGGGATTACATCAATCTTGTGGGTGATAAATACCCATTTTGGAACCGCAGCATCGGAGCCGATCATTTCATACTTTCTTGCCACGACTGGGTACGCTAACAATTTATTTCCCCCACTAGGACGTATATCGTCTGATTAGCTAGTTATCGTTATAATCTTGAAAATCTCTTTGGTATAGGGTCCTGAGGCAAGCTTTTCTCATCCACATTTAGGACATAATTCGATTCGAGCTTTATGTAATGCCAACACGTCAGAGAGATTCAAACCAAGAAAAGATGTGTCAATACCGGAGATTAATCTACGGACGGGATCATTAACCGGATTGGTCGGTGGGCCATCACCTTCCAGCCGTCCAATCCTTGCCTTCTTTGCAGGGGGTGTACACGGACCGGTAAGGCCAGTCTTGCTCGAGCATTGGGAGAACAAAGATAATGACATTAGAGTCCACAAGTATCTCCCTAGAGGAACGTCTTATTCTGACATGATGCGGAACAGCAAGTTTTGCATTTGTCCGAGCGGTTATGAGGTTGCGAGCCCGAGGATCGTGGAAGCACTTTACTCGGGTTGTGTCCCGGTTCTGATAAACTCAGGCTACGTTCCTCCGTTCAGCGATATATTGAACTGGAGATCGTTCTCAGTCATCGTTTCAGTGGAAGACATACCGAATTTGAAGACGATATTGACAGCGATATCGCCGAGACAGTACCTAAGGATGTACAGAAGAGTGTTGAAGGTAAGGCGACATTTTGAGGTGAATTCTCCGGCTAAGAGGTTTGATGTGTTTCATATGATTCTTCATTCGATTTGGGTAAGGAGATTGAATGTGAGGATCCGTGAGGTCTAAGTTTGGTCGGGTGTGTTTAATAAATTTGTCGGATTTTTGTCTGTTTAGGGTGTGTAATACAAATAACTGGAAAGTCCGGGGGAATGTTCTTGTAAAAATCATTATTGGTGTTTTCATGTGTCAAATATGTTGAGTGTTTTAGACTTTTAGTTCATTAATTTTGTAATAAGCAAATAATGATTATATTTGCATATTTTTAATTTGCTATTTGATATGTTACAAATAATCAAGTGTAAATAGTAAAAATAGCTTATGCATTGAAATACTGTGACAATTTTAATCTGATAAGTGATAATTAGGTGACTTTTTGGTGTTCATATACTCTGTTAACTAAATAATTTCAGTTAACTATATTTTATATTAGAAAAATTGATATAAATACTTTTTTATTTTTTTTTGCTAATAAGAATGTAAATACATGTCCAAGGTTTGGGCTCAGCTATTCAAGATTCACATGTGGCTGGGCCTGGGCCAAGCCTGGTAACGATTTGTCCATAGAGAAAAACACTAGTGGCAGATTCGTAAATTTTATGTTCACGTAAGGGTTTTTACGTCATTTAACGGTGAAAGCTTCGACGTGTGAGCATCGGAAAGCGCAGTAGCAATAGTAGCGGATGGTTGTCACGTAATTTCTCTATCTCCTCTGCTTCTGCAGCTATAATTTACTCTGTCAAGTATTATTGTTACTATCACTCATCTCTTCTTGGGATTCACGTTATGCGTGCGTATGTATGTCCAATTAATCTGAGAACTTGTTTGATCCGAAAGCAAGTGCCTTGAAAGGTCATGAGAAAAACGTTTCGTTTGGTTTAACGCTATAGTTTTGTTTTGACTGACTTTCTATGAGAAACTTTCTGAGACTCACCAATTTTCAGATTCTTGGTATGGAAAGCTATTCAATAAACTAGACCATTTGGTTGCGTCCAAAACATTGTCGAGTTTAGAATTTTGGACACAAGAACGTTCCAACATTTATATTAAAATCGTACAACGAGCAAAAGCTTATAAAAAAATAAAAAATAAGAAAAAAGCTTATCATAGTCTTAACATTACTTAAAACTAAAAGTCCAAAGTCTAGAGCTCTATGTTAGACTCTTTCTCTCCAAAATCAGCAACAACTACCACGGGTATGGGGGCTGCGATATCGGTGGCCAGCCAGAAGAAGCAACCATCATCATACTATTGTATTGATCACCAAGACCGATAGTTTGATCTCCTCCGGCGGTTTGGTTGCTGTTCATCATCAAACCCTGATCTCTTAGTATTATACCTCTCAGCTTCTTCACCTGCATCACAAATCAGTTTTGTGCTGAGGGGTCTCTTTGACAGAATAAAAAAAAAAAACTAAAGGGATAAAACAAGAAAACATTGTAGTAAAAAAAAAGGACCCCATGATTTTATGATAGTGTCTAGACCTCATCTTGTAGCATCTGATTCTCTCTCCAAATGACATCGTACTCCTGCCTAAGCGAGTCGTATGACTCTTCTAGATGCTTCACCTTCCACCGTGAACGACGGTTCTGGAACCAAACCGCGACCTGACGTGGCTCCAGACCAAGCTCATTCGAAAGCTTCAGCTTCCTCTCTGAATCTAATTTGAAATCTTCTTGAAAACGTAGTTCAAGCGAAGCTATCTGTTCACTCGTTAGCCTCTTTTTCTTCTTTATCATCTCGTTGTTGCTACTCGGACATTGGTACGCATTGATCAACTTGTCTGATTCCGGTACAGTGATAACCGGTCCGGTTTGCGTAACAGCATGCGTATACGAATTTCCTGATATATAAAAAGATTAAGAAGAAAGGAAAAACAAAAGAAACGACAAAACGCACTACATAAACGAATCTCAACGTTTGAAAAAGTGACGCCCATTTGTTACTTCTAGAAAAACATAAGAACATCTTTTTTTTTTTTCTTTTTGCAATGTGAAACTATATTGCAACAAAAAAAAATACAATTTTACAATAAATTGTAACTGAAGAGATTTGAAAGAATTAATGAAACATAATAATGAACGAAAGAACATCTACTTTAAGCCTTAACCAAAAAAACAAAAAACATAAGAACATATATTCCACTTCTCATCAGAAAAGTGTGATGATCCAAGATTTTAGAATGACGTCTAGAAATTAAAAACTATCTCTAAGAAAAATTCATATACTACTAAATAAGTGTGGTAGTATATCTGTATATGAATTAATTGAAATCAAACAACAATGGTATAGGGTTTAAATGATAACGATAAAATCAAGTTGAAGAATGATCTTTTATTTTTTGGTAAAAAGTTGAAAAAATGATCTTGACGGATAATCTAAGGATGTAAATGGTATAACAAAGAAAATCTGACGAGTTATCTAACAGAATAATTGATTTTTTTTTTCTTTCTAATTGAATCACTGATTATATATATATATACTAGTAATCCACGAAATAGCTAAAAACAACCAGAAAATGAAAAAATGGACGGTTTCACGTAGTTAATATATAGGTTGATAAAACAAATTATTTTAAAAGTATTTTCACAATTACTGTGAAAAATCTTTTGGCTAGTAAAAATTGAATTATTACTCTGGGTGCTTATTTTTAATACTGAATATTTTGTCCAGATATATACTTTATTTGAAAATATTTCACAACCTAATTTATTCTACATTTTCGTCCGTTTTTATTTCCAATAAAAAATTTCACGAATTTCGTAAATTAAGCTATTGTGCTTGTTTTTAGCCGACTCTTGTAAATGTATAACAAAATCAAAATAGCGATGGTTTAGTATTAGTGTTTAATTTTCTAGACTTAATTGAAGATACTGTTTAATCTTGAACTTTTCATCAGAAAGTAACGTTTCTAGATAACATATCCCAAGGTTTTTGGAATGCCGCCTAGGCCTAGGGTGCTTCCTCACATAAATCATATTCGAGAAAGTATGCGGTTTGTATATTCCAAATTTGTGATTCTTTTCATCAATTCACAAGAATTTCGAAAACTCATGAAAAGGGGGAAATAAGGTATATATATGGAATAAATATTCTATCTGTATTAAATGGAACAAAAAAAAAAGGTGACACTGTTGTTAATTTGTTACAAAGAATCTCAAAATTGAAGATAACTATCACATAGAAAGAAACTCAAGGTAAGTGAAGCATTTAAACCTAACGGAGGATGTACTACATTCTCTTCTTATTTCATGGAATTTTTTAACGTGAATTAAACCAGCACTTACACATCTATATGTTCTTATAAAGAGTTTTTATATATAGTTCATGGATTTGTTCGGACGAAAACAAAGTTCATGGGTTTGTCAACCGTGAAATTAAACCGGCACTTGCAGTGACACATCTATATATGTGCTTATAATATAAACCTACATTTTGATTAATATGGATTAAAAAACTTACTACATTAGAAAAACACCACAAAGAGATAATAAGATCATGAATAAACCTACGGAACGAAAGCATCTATGTTGTAAATTGATTTAGCATGTATGTGTGCATATGTATACCTGCATAAGGATCATAGTTGAAGCTGTGTAGCCAGTTATTAGACTCCAACCGTGGTGGTGGCATGAAAGCAACTCTCTCGTTTTGTACGTTGCTCGTCTTTGACCATTCCATTTTCTTTCCTTTATTAAGAAGACATGAAAGATGATTATCAAAAGGAAGAAAACTTAATTAGGGTTTCCTACAATGAAGAAACTAAACATAGAAAAGTTAGGGTTTTGTTGGACCATACGAGCGGTAAAGGCGTTTCTTCTACCCACGTTGTCTTTTGTAGGTGTGCAACAATTAAAGTGTGAGAGCAAGCAGTAGACAGGAGATAAACATATATAAGGAGATATATAGAGATAGAGATGCTGATGTGATGTTTTGTCTCACTTGGACGTCATCATTCATCATCTCCATAGACCATAGCATTTACGGAAATTGATATATCTGTTAAATCTAACGGTCAAACTTATATTTTTATTTTTCTGTTTTCTTAATAGTCGTCTCTAACAAATGGTTTAAACGCAAATTAGGGTGTGATTGCGGAGGAGGTTAGTAGAATTTGCAATTGTTAGTGTTATGAAACGATTTATTCAATTGGTATATGATTGAAACAGAGACGTTCGCAATATAATCATGACTGGTTAACATATATGTTAAGTTAAGGGTGTAAAACGCAAACACTATGATGAGTACGTATGAGTTAAATTCTTTGTTCGTGAATTTTTATAAAACCTATAATATCTGTCTATATATAATATATATATATACTATATATTTTTTATAAACTAAATAAGTGGTAACTCTAAAGAGATTTTCTATATATATATATATCGTACTTTAAAACACATATATAATTAATTAGTAATATTTATTTAAAAAAATTATATAGAAAACATAAAATGTGTAATTTCAAAATGTTATCGTTTCGATGATTAAATACTATTTAATAATAGTACATTCAAACGAGTGGATCACTGTAATAGTTAATTCAGAGTTTCCTAAAGGTTGTGACTAAACCAATCAACTCTTTAATTTATTTATATAAGGAAAAATTGTATGTGCTATTACAAGTTTGAGCCAACTAAGACTGTTTCGTATTAGTTGGAATTGTTACGAAACTTGGGATTCCAATTTCCAAAACGTTTAAAATAATGGATTGGCAAATTCTGTACAGCACACCAATTCTATACTTAAAGAAACGGTCAAAGGATAGAATCATCAAATGGTTAAAGCATAAACTCTCTATGGGCTTTTACATTTGAATCACATTACTTGACTGATTTGTATATGGAATGTATAGTTGAAAAGAAAATTGACGGAACATTGATAAAATTTTAGAGGAAGATTTGTAACATTTATGTACGTAGTTGATAGAGGTTGAGGTATCGACAGTCAAAGTCAAGCTTAAAATAAGAGAAATGGTCCCCTAAGAAAACTCCATATATCAAAAGTTCAAAACTGACGACATGGTTCCCCTGTGATATAAACAGAGCCGGTGAAGAGGCCAAGCAAGCAAAGCATGGGCTTGCGGCCCTTAAATAATATCACTTAATTTCGGCCGTTTTTCAGAAAAAAAAATCTTGTGGTCTAGTGGTTAATGCTTCAGTTACAGCGTCACCAACACAAGGGTTCGAACCTCAGTTGTGTCTTAAAATTTATTTTATTTTTTACCACAAAATCATTTTTAGAAAATAGAAGTTATGCAACCTATTTTTTTCCCTTGCTTGTAGCCTCATGAAACGCCTGGACGGCTCTGGATATAAACTATATTTGCCTTCATTTTTTGCCCCTAAGATTTTTTGTTCTTGTTTTGTCTTATATATTATATACAAGCACCATCTAGAATTCGCAAAATTTTATATGATAATGCAATAAGGTTTGTCATTATTGGTAAGTCCATAACCATATATATATGTGCAGTAAACTGAAAGGCCAAAAAGCTACGGTAAATATATGTACAGTAACATGAAAAAGCAAAAAGCTAACTTTGAAAGCAACCTTTGCATTTAAAGCTAAGAATCAATACAAATAGCCAAGAAGATCGTAAATTAACTTTAGTCACTGATCGCAAATTAATTAGACCAACAAAAAAACACCCAAAGAAGTTTAGTATCAGAGGACTTCCAAGTATAAAGCATCAGCAAATCGATACATATTAACGACAAGATTAATTGCGCCTTGTCCAGTTGATAATTAAGACAACGTTGTTGCGTACGTTAACGAGATCGTCCTAGTGAAATTGTAGTCAAAATTTGAAAATTGGAAAAGTTTTTTCATCAGAGATTATGAGCTAGTTCCATCTTAGCATCCCAAATTATATATATATATATACCTAGAAATTTGGATATAAACAGAAATTAGCACTAACGCCGTTTATGAATCCATATCGTTCTTTAACTATCAATTGCTCACCGCTCCATCTAACTTTTGTGTACTATATGTTTCCACGTACGAAAACAAATCATATAATCTCTATTCCGCATATATACATTTTATTTTGAATAGAATATTTGTTCCTTGACTTTTTGATAATAATCTTTCATATAGGAAGAAGTTATGTTTAGAACCAGAAGGTAATTATTGGCTGGAATCATGATTAAAACGACAAATTAACATTTTGATATATATATGATATGGTCATTCAAAATGAAAATCATCATAAGACCTTTTAACAGAGTCCGATGCATGCATTAGACAAAAAGGAAGACAGAACGAAAAACTCAGATATTCAGGATCAGAAGAATCCATTATTATTGTTTTTTGGAACTATTTAGATATGATATCATTTATTTAGAAGAAATTCATTTTTATCTCTTTTTATTGTTATCAAAATAATAGAAAAAATTAGTTACCAGAGAAATCTACAAAATTATTTTTGAAATAAGGCTGTCAAATTTTACTGGTTTATAAAATAAAATAAAAATTACTGGTTTCGGAATTTTGTTTTTGTTTACACCGATTATCTTTTCGCAGTTTATTTGTTTTCCGTTGTGTAGTGAAAGTAGTTGAAAGTCTGTGGATGTCTTTGGTGAAGTATAATAATTTAAATTTTCGTGGATCAAATACTAGGTCTGGGGGATGTGCCTTTAGTCAAGTGGTTAAGTCCACTTGACAAAGTCTTCTTTACCGGAATTTGATTCCACTAAGTCGCGTTACCCCGCGTAGTAGGGATTGACTATGGATCAGACCTTGTCGATCCAAAAATGTTTAAAAAAAAAAAAAAAAAAAAATTACTAGGTCTGTGGATGTCTTCAGAGGAATTACAACAACTATAATTTCATTGGATTTCATTTAATATGCCAATAGGTGATAAATTAAAAATAACACGTTGTCTTTTTAAAATCAGAAAACCAATTTTTATTCACACTTAATCTTATTTTTACAACAACAACCCAAATAGAAGCCCAAAATTTAGCCCATTAAAGAGTTAAACAAGCAAGCTACTACATTTAGGCCGACTAGAACCAAAGCCCACACACTTCACATTGCCCTTAGTTAATTAAGGCGTGTACAATGCATTTTTTTTTTGTTAAAGAGCGTGTACAATGCATTCGTTCGATTTTATTTCATAACGGCTCTGAGAATTATTATTAGGATCTGTTCTAGGGATTCACGTTTTTTTTATTTTTTTTATTTTAGGGATTCACGTGTTGCGTCTGAATTTTTTTTTTTTTTTTTTTATTATCAAAAGACAGTAACTGGAACACGTTGGATTGGACGTTCATTTATGTTAAAATCATACAAGCTCCTCGTAGTCCAACGTTACATAAAACTAAAAGATTGTATCTCTCGAAGATCAGCAATAACAAACTACGACGGAAAAGGCTGTGGTGGCCAGCAAGAAGAACCAACCATCATCCGATATTATATCCACCAATACCGTAAATTTGATTTCCTCCGGCGATTTGGTTGCTGTTCATCATCAAACTCCGATCTCTTAGTATTATAGCTCTCAGCTTGTTCACCTGCATCACAAATCACAAATCAGTTTTGTGGTGAGGAGGGGTCTCTTTGACATAATTAAAAACTAAGGGGATAAAAAAAAAGAAAAGATAATAATAGTAAAGAAGACCTCGTCGTGTAGCATCTGCTTCTCTCTCCAAATGGCATCGTACTCTTGCCTAAGTGAGTCGTATGACTCTTCGAGATGCTTCACCTTCCACCGTGCACGGCGGTTCTGGAACCAAACCGCGACCTGCCGTGGCTCCAGACCAAGCTCCTTCGCTAGCTTCAGCTTCCTCTCGGAATCTAATTTGAAATCCTCTTGAAAACGTAGTTCAAGCGAAGCTAATTGTTCACTCGTTAGCCTCTTATTCTTCTTTATCATTTCATTGTTGTTACTCGGACATTGGTACGCATTGATGATCTTTTCTGATTCTGGTACATGGATAACCGGTCCAGTTTGCGTAGTGGCAGACTTATACGAATTACCTGCTATTTAAAACAATAAAATATTTTAACAGAAACCAAAAACAATAAAGAATCAAAAACTTAAGTTCTAAATGACAACACGTACAACACTGATACTAAAAGAAAACGCGAGACGATGATACTAAAAGACGAAAAAGAATTGCAGAATTAGCTGAACTATCAGTTCAATTGGCTGAAAAAATAAATAGTGGCTGCAGATTTGAACTGGAAAAAGCATCAGTTTAATAACCATCACAACAGCAGATTCCTTGACTCAAGATAATCAAGTCCCTTAACCTCTCATCAGAAAAGTAATGGTCATTTAACATTTCCCAAGGTTTATTTTTGAAATGCCACCAAGGAATGTTTCAGATAAATCCTATAAGAGAACATTAGAGTTTTTTTCAACCTAAATTTGTGATTCTTTTCATCATTACAAGAAACTCCAATAACACTTGAAAGTGGGAAAATAAGTTTCCTTTTTTCTTGTAAGTTCATGGATTTATTGTGACGAGAAACAAAGTTCATTAATTTGTCTAATGTGAATTAAACCAGTACTTACACATCTTTGTGTGCTTATAAGACTTGGATTTGTTGTGACAAAAACAAAGTTCATTGTTTTGTCAACCGAGAAATTATACCGGCACTTACACATCTATATATGTTATTGTGTTTATACATTATAATGTATAAACCTACATTTAATAATTGATGAATATATATGGATTAAAAAACATACACTTGTAAATTTGTTTGGTATATATAACAATATATGTGTGTGTATATATATACCTGTGTAAGAATCATAGTTGAAGCTGCGGAGCGAGTTAAAGGAGTTAGACTCCAGCCACGGTGGTGGCATGAAAGCAACTCTCTCGTTTTGTACGTTGCTCGTTGTTGACCATTCCATTTATTCCTTTATTTCCTTTCATAACAAGATATGAAAGACGATTAAAAAGGACTAAAACTTAGGGTTTATTAAAACGAAAAAAAAAATAAAAAAATAGAAATTAGGGTTTTGTTGGACCATACGAGCGGTGGAGGCGTTTCTTCTATCCACTTTGTCTTTTGGAGGTGCAACAAACTAGGGTGAGAGCAAGCAGTAAACAGGAGATATAAAGATAAGAGGTGGAGATAGAGATACTGAAAGAGAAAGAGAGAGAGAGAGATATATGAAATGTGATATTTTGTCTCACTTGCTCGTCATCATTCATCATCTTACGTGGATGTCATCATTCATTTACGTAAGTTTGATATCATAATTTTGTTGAATCTAACGGTCATACTTAGATTTTTTGTTGTTGTCGTCGTCGTAACGGTGAAAAAATGGTCAAAACGCAAGTTAGGGTATGATTGTGGTTGCTAGAATTTGCAAATATAAGCGTTAATGAAAAGTTTATACGATTTTTATATTATTGAAGTGGATATATAAGTTTGCAAGAAAATTAACCATGAGTGGTTATCATATATTAAGTCAAATTAAATGTGTAAAACGCAAACACAAATGACTATAATCTAACTATTATTAAACTTTTTTAAAAAAAACATTTAAAAACATTGGTTTTAGTGCTCTAAAACTTGGTTTCCCTCGTTTTTCCATAGTTTTTATTCCACGTTTAAACAATGTCCGTGCCGATTGTCTCGCTAAGAAGGCAAGAGCACGCGATTCTCTTTTTTCCCATGTAAGCTCCACAACACCGGACTGGTTTTCTCCCGTAGAAAACCGCCCGTTTCTAGCTTAAATGGATGACTTCATTTTGCTGTCAAAAAAAAAAAAAAAAAAAACATTGGACTGGCAAACTCTGTACAACATACAACGCACCAATTATATACTTTTAAAATGGTCATTAGAACCATCAAATGGTATAGCATAATCTAGATATACGGATTAATTATATTAAAAAGCTTGATCTTCTAAACTTGAATCATTTACCATTTACATAAATCTACTTGTGGGCTTTAACATTTTAACCACCACTTAATATATACTGATTATTAAAGACATGGAAATATAAATGTAGTTGAAAAGAAAATTGACCGATCACTGAAAAAATTTTAGATGAAGATTTGTAGTTTCATGTAATTAATATAGGTGGGGGTATCAATAGTCAAAGTCAAGCTTAAAATAAGTGAAATGGTCCCGAAACTGACAACATGGTTCCCCCATCTATTGGGTATTATAGAAATATGCTTCCATTTCTTTTGCCCTAAAATTTTCTTGTTCTTGTTTTGTCTTATATATATTCAGCATCTAAAAATTCCTAAAATTTATATAGTAATGCAATAAGGTTTGTCACTATTGGTAAGTCCACAAACCACATGTATGTGCAGTAATCTGAAAGGCCAAAAGGTACGATAAAAGATGTATATGTGCAGTAACATGAAAAAGCAAAAAGCTTACTTTGAAAGCAACCTTTGCAAGCTAAGAATCCACACAAATAGCCAAGTAGATCATTTATATAAAGAGTGTAACCAATAAAAAGAAGTATTTGTAAATTAATATTTAGTAATGGAATCAAATTAGACCCAAAAAAAATCGAACAATTTTGAAAACCAAGTATATATCAAAGGACTTCCAAATATAAAAACCAACAAATCGATAAATCAAAAGAAAGATTAACTGCGCTTTCTCGAGGTGATAAGAAAACGAGCCTCCTATTGAATATGTAAAAGCCTTAACGAAAAAACAATATAATATATGAGGGACTTGTCTAAAATGTGTGTGATCTTGAATTTTGTTAGGAGATTTTTGGTTCATCGATCGGAGATTGTGAGCTGGGCACACTTTATGGTTCCATTTCAGATATGCATCCCAAAATTTACAATTTATTAAGGCTCATAGTCATAGCTGTGAAAGAGGAAGTTTTGGTTGATATATTTAGGAGAGTAAAGGAATCTTTCTATATGTTAAAAGTGTAAAAAAAGGTATAGCTTTTAAAAGAGATGAGACATCACAATCTTGATAGCGCTTTTTTTGTATGTGTTTGATAAATATTAGTGGCTTTTGATGACTTAATAGTGCATACGATAATTTTGATAACAACTTTATATAGGATTAATATATATTTGACTATGGACCAAAAAAAAAAACGAAATCCCTATTCCACATCAAATTTTGATTTGAATAGATTATTTGTTCCTTAGGGATCTTAATTTTCTGATTTTTATGTTTTCATGATGTAAGGTATTAATCAAATTATATGTTAAAACCATAAGGTACTTGGATGGGCGGGCGCATAGTTATTTCACAGAAATAATGAGCCTACACATGAAACGACAAAAAAAATAAAAATATGATAGGGTCAAAGAAAGTAATTGCAACCTCATAAACTTCTAACAGAGTCTGATGCATCAGACAAAAAGAAAGACATAAGTAAAAAGTCAGAAATTTTAGATGAAGAGAATCGATCCGATCAGGACAATCCAATCCGTTGTTATTGTTTTTTCTGGAACTTTTCAGAAATAGTTTCATTACTTAGAAGAAATTCGGATACCTAGAGTCTAGAGATTGTGAATACAAGTACGGCTACGAGCCTATGTCTACTGGAAATTTAGTTGGTTTGTAAAATTGGTTCAGAATTTGATTTGCTCATACAGTATTTATTTGATTGGCCCATTACAAGTTAGACATCTTACGAAAACTTGGGCTCAGGTTCACTGACTAGGCCCAAACTAGCAACGACGGGTTCAAATAAAAACAATAGAGTGGCAGCCTCGTAATACTTCTGATCACTTAAGGCTTTTGCGTCTGATGATTTATCAATCTGAGACAATTATTAAAATACCTGGACACAGTCATGTACATATGAAGATTAGCTATTTACCATTAGATGACACAAATCTATAAAAGTAGTATGGTTCGATTTTCATTTAGCTGGTGTCTAAATTATTGATGAACACTTGCATGTTGTCCTTTGACTTTGCAATCTCTCATATATTCATTCCATAATATCACTATTTGATGTGCAGTGAAATTAATTAGGAATTTGTTGCAGCCAAGCAACACAGAACACACAAAGCCTAGGGAACTTTTTGCGTCAAGAGGTCTCAAGTTCGGTGAAGGGAAGCGGAAAATGCTAAGCATCAGTGTCTACTTTTGTAAAAATCTCTTTTACCCTCGTCCTTTTTGTTCAGTTTATACTTTATAGCTAGTTTTGTTTCGGTTTTGAGTGTTCATAGTATAGTTTTTCAACAAACCGACTCAACAAATTTCAAATTCAATCTCTCATCCAAGAACGTACCATTTTATGTCTTAAGATCGTACAATGAGAGAAAGCTTGTCTTAGTCTAACATTACTTAAAGTCCTAGTCTAAAGCTCTATGTGACACTCTCTCTCTCTCTTTCTCCTTGATCTCTTTCAATCTCTTTGAGATCAGCAACATCTATCACGGGTAAGACGGCCAGCCAGAGGAAGCAACCAGCATGGGATTGTTGTATTGACCGTACACTTGATTTCCTCCGGTGATTTGATTTGTGTTCAGATTCTCTGTTCTTGGATGAGCTACTACCACCGACGAAATCTCCGCGGTGTCTTCCTCACCGGAAACTTTGATGGTCCCGGCCGAGATTTGCTTCTTGATCAAACCCTGGTCTCTTAGTATAGCTCTCAGCTTCTTCACCTGCACCAACAATCCAATTTTGTAAGGGGGCAATCTGATAGAATCAAGACTTAAGGGATAAAACAAGAAAGGATAATATATAATAAGATCACACAGACCTCTTCGTGTAACATTTGTTTCTCCCTGGAAACGACGTCGTACTCTTGTCTAAGCGAGTCGTACAACTGCTCGAGCTGCTTCGCCTTCCACCGTGCACGACGGTTTTGGAACCAAACCGCTATCTGACGTGGCTGCAGACCGAGCTCTCGCGACAGCTTCACCTTCCTGTCTGAATCTAATTTGATCTCTTCTTGAAAACTCCGTTCAAGTGAAGCTAATTGTCCACTCGTTAGTCTCTTCTTCTTTATCATCTCGTTGTTGTTGTTGTTCGGAAATCGGTACGCATTCATGATCTTTTCTGATTCCGGTACAGAGATAACCGGTCCGGTTTGCATATCGCCAGGCGTGTATGAATTTCCTGCTGTAGAACAATAAGGAAATATTTTTTAAAAAAATAGATGCGCACAACAATAATATTATACAAAAAAAAAAAAAAACTTCCGTGAGTAAGAAAAATAAAACTGTGTCCGCAACCATTTTCTTAGAGTGAACTATACCATAAACGAATCTCAACTTTTCAAAAGTGACGTTTTAACTTTTTGCATTTGGATCCCAAGAAATTTTTTTGTAGGATCCCAAGAAAAGTAAGAAACTTAATTTATAGATATTCTAGACTGAAGATGAAAAAAAATCTTAGCTTCTCATCAGAAAAGTAACGTTTTAGGAATGTAATATTTGTAATTCTTTTCATCATTCACGGGAAAAACACTACTTGAAATTTTTTGCAAGTGGGATTACTAGGTTTTTAAGTTCAAGGAGTCGTCAAATATGGAATTAAACCGGCACTTAACATATGTAACTGTAAAAAAAAACGAAAGCGTCTACATATGTAGATTTGGTACGATGATGTGTGAATATACCTGCGTAAGGATCAAAGTTGAAGCTGTGGAGCGAGTTAAAGGAACTAGACTCCGGCCATGGCGGTGGCATGAAAGCAACTCTCACGTTTTCTACGTTGCTAGACGTTGACCACTCCATCTCCTTTCTTTCTTTTGTAGTTCTTATGAATATCTTAATATATATAAGAAGACATGAGAGATGGTCTTAAAGGAAGAAATATATAGGATCTAATATAATGGATAAAAGAAAGAAAAGAAAATTAGGGTTTTACTGGACCACAAGGGAAGGGGTAAGAGAGGCGTGACAAGAAGTTTCTTCTTCTATATACTTTGTCTTTTGGAGGTGCAACAAAGTGTGAGAGCACGCAGTGTTCGAAACAATACATATATAAATAGGGATATGTATCTAGAGGGAGATATAGAGGTGTAGTGAAAGAGACAGAGTGAAATTGTCTGTGTTGTGTGAGGTTTTTTTCACCTAATAAGGGAGCAACCCAACAGTACCTTTTGTTTTGGAATTTAAAGATTGAAAAGGAAAGTGTGATATAATTTTGTCTCATTTGCACATCATCAATCATCATCCATCATCTCTCTAACATTAATATAGGTTGATATATTTTGTTGTATCCAAGGGTCAAACTTGGAAATTTTTTATTTATTTTCTGGAAACTTTTTTTTTTGTATTAAAATTTATAAGATATAAAATGTACTATCATGACACATAATCTACTTGTTTATGTCAAGATTATCGTTGCGCTATACTTTGGATTTTTTTTTGGATAAACATACAAAATGTAATCATTTAGATATTGTTACAAAGTTTGCAAGATGATGTGAACCAACCAAGACGATTTTTAAAATATTGGACCGGAGGCATGTGCATATTTTAGATTTAAATAAAATTGATTTTGTTACAAAGTTAGAGGATTCATTTTTTATTTAAAACAAAATACAATCATGAGCCGTGTGAATGTACCAAATATTCCTTTTGAAATCTAGTGTAAGCCAATAAATGGTAAATCAAAATCTGCATGGATTAATTATACTTGACAGAATTTCTAAACTTGGAACTTTTTAACATTTACATAAATCTACTTGTGGGCTTTAACATTTAAACCACCGACTTAATTGACTGGATTTTAAAGACATGGAAACATAAATGTAGTTGAAAAGAAAATTGATGAGATTTATATATAAATATTTTGTAATTTGGTGTAGTAATATAGGTGGGGGTACGTGTTTGTCAAAGTTAAGCTTAAATAAGTGAAAGAGAAAGAGTGAAACGAAATTAATGGTCCCCAAAAACTCCATAAAAACTGACAATGTGGTTCCCCCCTTCTTTGGTTATGCCTTCATTCTTGGTCCTAAGATTTCCAGTTATTGTTTTGTCTTATATATACACCATCTAAATCTACTTATATATATGTGAAAATTAATGTGCAAAAGGTTTGGCACTAGTGGAAAGCCCATACCAATGTATATGAGCAGTAACCTGTATAGAGTGTGTATAGGGTGAGGCCAAAAGCTACCTTTGAAAGCTAGGAATCAACACAGAGAGCTAAGTAGATCATCTATACATAAAGAGTCTGATATGACCAATAAAAGCCAAAGCAAAGAAGAAGTTTGAAAACTAAGTCTCATTGTCCTCATCTACTGTGTACGCTTTACCCCCACATTCTTTTATTAACTTGCAGTTCTACACACAATCTCTCTCCCTCTCTCTCTCTCTCATATTCAATTGCTACTTAACAAATTGTTGATGTGTAAATAGTGTAAGAGATGGAGAGAGAAGGATAGAGAGGGAAGGAAAGGAATCTTTTTCTATGTTAAAAGTAGATAGGGTTTGAGCAGATTGATGATAAGTAATGAGATTTAAAACTAACGACAGTGTATAAGGAAAAAGAGAAGCTTTTAAGCCTAAACACTTGAAAGAGATGAGACATCACAATTTTCATAGTGTCTGATTTTGTTTTATTTTTTTTAAGAAATTTTAATGGGTTTCTTCCATGATTGCATTCATTGTAAAGGATCCGTTTGATAACAACATTTCATACTCTCTTAAAAAAAATATATACATATATATTATTCAAATTTCACTATTTTAGCTAAGAGCCTACGTAAAAAGTCTTTGATATGGACCATAAAGAACGTGTTTCACTGTTTCTATATGTTTTCGTGTTCTTACGCGAATATATGGATTTCCTTGTGTGGGTTAAATGAGAAATAGTTAAGACCGATTTGTACTCAAAATAAACTAAAATTAAGAGCCATACATAAGAATCATTTATAATCATCATTCAGCATGAAAACTCCATTTCTTTCTTATCCGTTTTGTTCTAATTAATTAATTACTCGTTAAATTTATGAGATGATCGCCACTAACCCTTTCAACCTTTTGTGTATTTATACATTCGCATATGAAAACATATAATGTCATTTCTATTCATAATTTCATATACATCTTTATTAGAATAGATTGATGAAACTTTAGGGTTGTTAACTTTTCCATATAGTAGATAATGTTAAGAACCAGAAGGCAGCTAATTGGGTTCATAATAAATGATTTCACAGAATAAATTAAAAGCCTTTTGACAACAATAACAAAAATAAGACTGGTTAATACTGTCAACGAAATTAAATAATATCCGAATAAGAACTTTTAACAGAAATCTCATGCATGCATTAGAAAAAAAGAGAGACAGAACTAAAAACTCAGATATTGAGGAGAATCCAACCCGTACAGCTAACAACTAATTAATTAAATTCATTTGTTATGGTTCTTTGAGAATTGAGACTTTCCACAAATAATTTCATTAGTTTTAATTATATATATATATATATATATCATAGACGATTTCATATGTACGACAAAAAAAACTAAAAATTAAAAAGATGATTAATTTCATCTAGTATATGACTATATGTTAGACTTAGATGCATCAGTTACTAAGATCGGTAATCAAGAAAAAGGTCCCCCCTTCTTGGAGGAGCTAAACTTTATGGTGACAACAAAGAGTAAGAACTTATATGGTGACAAAAAAAAGAAGAAGTAAGAACTTATATAACAATTGAATTTAAAATATTTATGTTATATAAGATATAACTGAAAATTGCTTAATGTGAATATTAATATATAATGTGAATTACACATTTACTTTTTTTTTTATGGGTTTTGTTGGATTAAACTAATTACCACCCTCACATAGATAAATGGGATAGTAAGATTTCTTACACCATCATTAAATAAGGCTAGAACTGAAAAGGTAAAAAATATTTTGAAGAAGGCTAAAGATGAATATAACAGTGAAGGTACAGTGCCTCTTTTCACTATTAGTTTCAATTTGTACATACTTAATAATTAAATCCCGCCGTTAAAGTCAGACACTAATTTAAGACCACATTTATAACATACATTGTACAAATTAAATTTTAATTTTTTGCTATGCAAATTTATTGTGTGTAGAAATTTCACCAGACATATATAGTAACAAAAAAGGTAAACACAAGTTCCATAAGACTAACCCATTTATACATTGCAAGTTTCTTACTAACAAAGTCACCAATATTTACAAATTTAGTTACCGAAAATTTTCTTTTAGTTTATTCGTTGGAGAATTGTGGAATTAAAATGGTAATGAAGAACGTTAGGAAGATATTTAGCCATTTAGTATGCTGACAGATTTTGTAGAATAACTATATGAATCTTTGCAGCCTTCGGGGCATTTGATAAATTGGAACGATACATATAAAAGAAAAAAAAATCTATATGAATTTTAAATAAAATAAAATATAAATTATAAATATCAATTGATTGATTAGATTATAAGACATCAAATATTTCAATTTTATAATTTGTGTAAAAAGTTCCATTTATTATGTCTAAATATATATTTAGATACAGATACATAAACAACTCAAAAAATAAAAGGAGAAAACAATTTTTTTTAATGTCTTACCCAACCTCAGTCTAAACAAGGACAAATAATATTACAGCTACATATCAACATCTTTTAATTTCACTTCTTACAAATCACGTAGATCAGATTACTATATCAACTAAACTCTGTTTTTTTTCCCTATATCTAACTAGTTTCATGATTTAAACAACTAAATATATATATTTGTTATTTTTAATCTCATTATAGTAAATATTTATGTGATGCATCATCCAACATAGTATATATACTACATGTGTGTGTTTTACCGTCAAAAATATGTGTGATTTAATTTTCAAGAATTAAAGTCAATTAAAAATAATCATTTAAGAATGTAAGACTTTTATTTTGATTAATTAAGATTTTATATAATGATTACACTATTGTTTGAATTTGAATTTTTAATGTTAATAAATATATAAAAATTCACAAATAAAAAAAGCTAATGTTGATTTTCTGTACATATGTATTGTATTGTAATCCATAAAAATATGGTTTGTCCGTGTAAATATAATAATTAATTAAAAGGTGACTTAACTTCTATATTTGCTAAATTTATCACATAAAAACTTTTTTTTTTTTTTGGGTTTATTCGTCCATCTTCCTCAGTACGCTTCTCGCTTCAAAATTGAGAAGACACTCTTCACTGTTCATAACGTCCCCATTGTTGAACTCGAGACTGATGATTGAGAGAAACTGTAGATGATGAAGATGAGAACCAAATCCATTCGGGTTAGGTCTTCGCGCAAATCTCTCGATCCTTCTAATCCATCCCTCGCTCCGCTTCCGGTAACCCTATTTCTTCCCGTCGTCTCTGTTTGATTATCGGAAAATTAGAGCTTATAATTTCCTGATTTTGGTTTTGATTTTGACTCGTATGTTATAATCAAAGCTAGTTTTGGATTGTATTTGTGTGATTGTGGAGGTTGAATTTGGAACTCGCGAAATAGAAACTGTTAGGTTGATGTATTTGTGAGTAATTTTCATTATTTCCTCTCACAGGATGATGAAGCTAATGAAAACTTTTGCTCTGGAGTGATCAGCAACACACAATGTGATACCGATGTTGAGATTGTTCCTGATACTTTTGATGAAAGAGATGTGCCACATAAGAAGCGTCATTGTCTTGGGACTAGTGTGACTACTGATAGAGGAGGATCGGTGGAGCCGCTGCTGGACTTGGATGCTTGTATTGTATGTGAAGTTTCAGACGAGCGGGTATCCCGTTGTTGTGGGGTTGACTGTCTTCTTTCGTTTCACGGGGAGTGTTTGTATGCTGAGTTGGGTTCTAGTAGTAGCGAGGATGTTGCAAATCCATTTTGTCCTTATTGCTGGTTCAAGATAGTTGCTCTGAAATCCAAAACATTGAGAGAAAAGACTGTTGAGGCAGAGAAGGCGGTCTTTAAGTATCTAGATAAAGAGATGAAAGGCAGGAATGGGGATACAACCTTGTCTGGTGATGCAATTGGAAACCAAGAGCAGAGTACAGACAAAGGTGATAATTCAAGAGGTGAGAACATGCTATTAATTGAGGAAATCGATCAACCAGGAGAGGAGAAAGGGAAAGTTGGTACTGATAAAGTGATCGACGAAGTTGGAGCATCAGAGGACGAAGAGAGGGTAGCTACAGAAAACTTGCAAGACGCTGAAGATGATGACAAGGATGATGAAACAGCTAAAGATCAAAGTACAAGAATCCTGAATACAGGTGCAGGGAAAAAGGGAGATGTTTCTTCGTTTTTGTCTATGCACGAATCGTTTTCAGCAAAAGAACACAACCATGTCCAACAGAATGTGGTGCGAAGAAGAAGAAGAAGGATAGAACTGAACACTATTGATAGTGAAATCTCATCAAAGGGATCAAGTAATGAACGAAATGGAGAAGATGTAACTGAGCAGGTAACTTCATCGGTTCAAGTAACCTCCCCGTCAGGGAAAATGAAGAACCAGCAGGCAACAACCAAAGTTGCGGCTAAGTCAAAGACAGTGAGGTTGTTCCTTCTTCTTCATTCACTGGAACATCAAGAGTTCATTTCCACATTAAATTTAGAAAGTTACCTCATGGATTTGCAGGGGCATTTCTTTCTTTATGAAGGATCAGAGAAGGAGGCTACTTTGGACGTACGAAGAAGAAGAGATGCTAAAGGTATAGCTGTACTTTTTTTTCATGAATTGGATAAGAATTGTTGTTGATATATGTGCTGGTTGGTTCAGGTGGGAGTGGAGAAGTTTGCAGCAGATGCAAAGAAGAACATGCCATGGAGGAAAATTCTGGAAATGGGAGCGAAGGTGTTCCATGAAACACGTACACCAGCTGATCTCAAGGACAAATGGAGAAACATGCTCGGCGCAAGAGTAGGACCAGAAACGAACAAGGCAGCACACTAAATCCTTACTGCTATGTAATCAATAGTTAGTGTGACTCATTTTGGAGATGAAGCCAGACTTGGTGAAGTAATGTGGGAGTTGAACTGTATAATAGACAAAAATTCCTCCTTTACAAGAACTGGCTTCTACTTTTTTGTGCATCTTTAGATTTTCAGTATATATGGTTCGAAAGTGTATGTTTTTTATGAAAAACAAAAATCTAAAAAAAAACGGATCCTTACACAGAATAGAAAAACAAAAACAAAACAAAAAAAGAAAAAGAACACACCCGGTGGGACTCGAACCCACAATCGTTTGATTAGAAGTCAAACGCCTTATCCATTAGGCCACGGGTGCTTTGTTGGTAAATTGGAGAAATAATATTTTATAAATAAAACATAAAGTGTGTCAAATATTTTGTTCGCTTTTAATGATGATTTGATGAAACTGCTTGGTCAACCCTTTCAACATTTTGATTTTTATATGTGTATTAAAAATATAAAGCATTATTTTTTTTTTAAGTATATCAAAATCTTCTTTAAAAAATCGTTCAACTACATTTTATATTAAAAAACTATTATTTTATTAATTTATTTGTATTAATGTTTGATTTAAATTGCAATGGATATGAATTTTTTTTTTTTGAATTTCAAGAAGAATTACATGTTTATTTGTATAAAAATTGTTTGTGGCCTCTAAAACGTATAGAAACGGTAGTAAACACATTTTTACAAACTTGTAGCCTTGGAGGCAATGTTTCGAACAAAACCAATTTTGAACCGAAAATCGAACAATTAAGCAGCATGAAGTTTGAGAGAATAGCTCAATAGGCCCCTCTACAGTTTGTACGTTGTATGGAGTCTATCCACTCTGGTGTTATATGGTGCTTGATTTATTTCTCCATTTCGCATTATACAAATTTTTATGAACTGCATTGTGTTATTTGTGTATAGCACAGCAATTAACTGAAACTGGATTTATTTGGATAAATAACTAGCCACACTAACATATCATTTCCCTCTAAAGATATGAAGATTGAGAAGATTCCAGATGTTAGCTATAATGGAGCTTGATAGAGATTCGTAAACTTCTTTAGAAGCTCTCTGATGTGTTTCCAAGATCTCAGGGTTACTCAGGAGCAAGTCTACAGCTTCTTTGAGCTCTAGTTTTGTCGAGACCTGTGTCACCGATAAGGGATTCGACTGCTGCATCGCCTTCACCATGTGAGAGAAATGCCCAACATGACAACCTAAAAGAAAGATTACATGATGGTGGAGATAAAAGAGAGAAAGAGGGATACTATACAAGCATCTCATCTTATCATTGAGAACCTGTAATAACGGCACAGCCAGCAGCAGCTGCTTCAGACAAGTTGTGACCAGTTAATCCTGGGATGAAAGAGCCTCCAATGACGGCTACTGGAGCTACACTGTACAATTCTCTTAGTTCACCTGAAGAAAACAAGAAGACATAGATTGGGTTCATGAAGAAAGGGACTAGCATTAAGGAGATAAACTTAAAATAGCGAAACCCAAACCTAGTGTATCCACCACATATATATTCGTCTTCCTTGATGTAAGCTTTTCATTTTGAGACCTTAGAGCTACACTATGGCCATCTTTCCGCAGTTTCTACAAAAGGAGCTGGGGAAAATGAAATGCGATTCACCACTAACCCAATACTAAAGAATGTAAGCAGAAGGTGGTTTTGGTACATACATGAACAATCTGTTGGCCATGATGTGGATGTCGAGGCACAATTATGACAACAGAGTCTGGATGTGATTCGAGAAGCATGTTGTGAACTCCTAAAATGACTGCACAGAACACTTTGATCATCAAATATAAGCAATGCATAGAACAACAGAAGAAGCATACCAAATAGTCAATCAGCTCCAAATTCTTACTTCCTTACAAGTCACTTGCTTGAGAGAGGATATGAAAGAAAACAGAGTCAAAACCATATTTATGCGACTGTGAAACGGTACCAATCAAGTCATGGAAGCGACTGCAGATCCACACGCTAGTCTACAAGGGTAAAAAAAGGTTATGCTACATATTAGTTAGGATAAATAGTACCTTCTTCTTCGCCTCTATGTAGTGAAGATGCAATCCAGACTTTCACTCCTGAGAGTTCTTTCTTAAGATCTTCTATACTTTCAGATGTTTCACTAGATACATGGAACTTGTTTACCACTGGAAGAAAAAGCAGACAAAACATGGATCTTTATGCTCTTAACAGAAAGGGTATGAGCAATTCAGTAACTGAAAAAAACAAAACGAAACTAAGAAGCACAAGATAATATCCAATATATGAATATCTTGAAGGCATAAGAGGACTACAATACCGTATTTTAAGTCACCAGAATAATTTATGACAAAGGGTGGCGCATGCAGCAGCTGGAAATGTATACCCTGCAGAGTGCTCTGTCGCATTTGAGGCAAAAACACTTAATACAATCAGATAAGATAAAAAAAAAAAGAGTTACTGAAGTTAGCTTACATACCAGTGGGGCTATCAATGAGAATTTAGAGAGCAACAACGATACCAGCGGTAGTAAGAGCGGACTAGACCACCGTTTAAAGGATTTAGTAGACATCCGAGCGTTCAACATTGCCAACGGAATCTAAAAAAAAATGATTCACAGAAACACAATTCAAAGAGTTTTATTATCTTTGCACAAGTGATACATCCATATAAACAACAACAAGGATCAAAAAAATTACTAGAAGTCCTGCAGCAGCCATGATAAGATTAGGCCAGAGTTCATTCTCCATTATGATAATCGCATTCGGTTTCCAATGGCCAAGGAATCTGTCGATAGCCACCGGTGTATCCAGTGGTGCAAACTAGCCAAATTTTGAAACTTTAGCACATATATAAGACTTCACAGATATCATCATCATCATCCAAATCAAAACATACCTGATGTAATACACCAACAGGAAGCTGATTCTTTATTACTTCACTGCAACCAAAAGATTGAAAGAAACCAAATTACAAAGACAAAAACTTTAAATGTTTTCAATTTAGTTTTCTTCAATGTGTCATCATACATTGCAGATACTGTCGTCGTCGTCATTAGGATAGTCAAATCTGGCTTCGTTTCATTGCAGTGTCTGATCACCGGAATAGCAGCCATTCCTTCACCTGCGAGACACTCAAAATAAACAAACAAACCAAAAAAAAACCTAATTTGAAGACCATGGAGGTTATGTAACCTAAAGAGACGGCGTGAAACCAGACGAGTGAACCCGGCGGTCTTACGGCGGAGGGATGACCGAACCGCTCTGGCCAACGACGGCAATGCTCTAGTCCCCGAAGTCTGCGCCACCGTATGTGTAGGTGAATTAACGGGGAGACACCGTAGGTTAATGCTCTGTATAATCTGTACACAAAAACTCCGAGCTTCATCGCGCCTCCGCCACTATACGACGGCGCCGACGTCAGCTCCTTTCTCTTCACCGTAGTAGACTCATTCAATGGCGTTGCCGTTTTTTAATGAGGCCTTAAGCCCATTATTCGTGAGCCCAATAATACCAAAGTATGGCCCAACTAGTAGAACCGCTTTAAACGCATAATTACAATTTCGATTCCACTAACCACTATTTCACAAAGGTGATAAGCAGAAGTTAAAATTTTAATACCCACGATTAAAGTAACTATTATTCATTACTTGTGGGAATGATCTTAAGATTCTTATAAATGCAGGATTTCGTTACATTATGAACTGATAATTTCTATTTTAAGAAAAAGAGAGAAAATTGTGGAAACAAATGTGAAATGAGAATTACCCTTTTGCCTTTTTTCACTGATTTAATTAACAAACAAATTTGTTCAGTACAAAATGTTGAGGAATGACTTTGATAACAAGTTTAGCTTCCCACGTGCCATGTTGCTTGCCGGTGAGCTTTAATCTATCGTTTCAAATTAATCTCGTCGACTAACTTGTACATTCGAAATTATAGTCCAGTTACATTTTAAATACTACTATAGAAAAATTCTCTAATTAACATATTTATTTTTATTTTATTAAAATATAATAACGAATGTAGCTATCCGACGAAGTTTTATCGTAGTCGTAAAAAAATCATTTTAAAACGCAATTCTGGTCAGCTTATGTATGTTTTTAAATATAATCATGAAGACCATTTGGAACGAATGTTTGATTAATTGACGTCAGAACAGATAATTTATAGACTTATAGTATAATGTCAAAGATGGCTATAGTTTTGTCAAAAGCGGCAAAAGTAATTAATATATGATAATCCAACTAAAAGTTAATGTTAAAAATTTAAAGATAAAAACTCTTGACCTAGGAACTTTCCCATTACACATATATAAATATAAAAGCAAAATTAGTAATGAAACATGGAAGTAGGTGAGAAATAGAGTGATGAAGACTTGGTCTTGAAGACTAAGGTGTGGTGTCTCCTTCGCTGCTCGAGCCAAATTGTACACATCAACTTGGTGGTTCGCATAGAACTTAACCACATCCAATGATAACTTTTCGAAATTTTCAGATATAGTGTAGTGCAAACACATAAATTAAAATATAATTGAGCTAATTTTTATGTCTTTTAAGGTGATTTGATCCTTTGAGGTTGAATAGAGTTTTTTTTTTCTTCATGATTTCAGTATGGACGGCAAGTATCTTTGCACACTATGTAGCCGATCAAATATGTTCTTTTTACCACATCTGAAAATCTGAAATACATAAACAATTAGTGACTTTAGCGTATTACTTGTGTCGAAAGTTGAGTATTTCTTATAATCCGTACAATGAATTAATGACTATGACTTGAGACAAATGATTAAGTTTGGTTCTAATTAATGAACCGTTAATTTAAATTTATAGTATATACAACATATATGTAATAATTATGTATATCACGCCGAATCAAAATGGAACACTAGAATTTTCTAAATGTTTGTGATCCATAAGATATAGTACAATATTGTATGATCAGAATCAGATGATCGAACTTCATATACTTAGTATAGAATTGTTAAACATTTAACTAAAGAGGTTTCAACAACCCCTTCCCAGCTTTTAAAAGGGGAGGAAGACTAAAAAATGATTTCTAAAAATTCGAAAGATACGTAATTTATCATATACGCACAAAATGTACGTGTGTGTGTATATATATATGCCGACAAATAAAGATTGAAATAACACCTAAAAAAAAATAGAGAGACAAGGAGAGTTTCAGTGCCAAAGTAGATAGGATATCAATTCTATATGATATGTATATGGACATTGGATCCCACCAGTTAGTTCCTGAATTATGTTTTCTACAAAACTTGATTGATTCTTTGAATATTTTTTCATATTTATCATAGCTAAAGTAACAAAGATACCCATTTTTTTTCTTTTTCTGAAAGACTAATATTTGCACAGACTTTTTCTTTTGCAAATGAATTATTCTATTTGTAAATACAACTTTGTTCCTGTGGTAGGGATTAGAAGGCCTATAACATACTTATGACTTTGGTACGTTCATTTAAAAATACATTGTTAAAACTTTTTTCGACAAATTTCTATGTTTTAATCGGACATCGAGACTGAAAAATGTAATTACGAATCTGTTTTTGTTGTTGTTTATTAGTATGGCCAAAGCTAAACTGCTCCAATTAGTTAAATAAAGAGTTAAAAGTCCATGTTGCGACTTGTTGCCTTTGTCCGTGGGTACTCCTGTCTTTATTTATTCTTTTCATCTTTGAGTGTTCCATTTCATCTAATGATCGGTTTAATAAAGAAAGGAAAATAAAACTGCAGATTCAGAATTATTGTAAATGACGAAGCAAGAAAAGAATAGTGACAAATGTGAGTGAAATAAGCAAAGTCCAACTGTAAGAACCCATGTGGTATTTGGTCCTCATACATTATGTTTTCTTGCATGGCACTGCATGTTACTTTGCTGGCTGCATGCAACATATGTAGTGCTATTTTATTTTCTCCAATTTTTTATTTTTATTAGTTTATTAGTATTTCATTTTTCATTATTGCACTTCTGCATACAATTTTTATTACTGTTTAAGTTACCATGATAATATATAGGTACAAACTCATGTGTCATCATACATACTTGTTTCACATTCAAAGAAATCCAAAAGGCAATGTCGACAAATATAAGTTTTATTTTCTGTTAAAGAATGGAAATATGAAATTGAAAGTTTGAAACTAACAAAGTTGGCGAATTGGTAATTTTGTATCTGTTTTTAATATATGCTATGTAATGGTTAACTCACGTTTGTTTAGAAGATCAACAAATCTTGTCTATTATGTTGGATAATTGTCTCGATATGTGTTCTCACATGACATGCCAACTAAATACAGACTTTAATTTGTCAACTTACTGACTTAATTACTGATTAAAACAGGAAAAATCCTATCACAAGTACGAAAAAAAAATCTAAATTTCAAAGATTCCAAACTATTTAAAATTTCAATTAGATATTTTTGGTACTGGACCGACAGAAAATGAATCATTCCGTATGAAGTTTACAAACTGAAATGTTTGTTAAGGTGTTGTAATGTGAGTGATGGCTAAAGTATCCGAAAAAAATAGTTAATTAGTTTAACTAACTTTCAAATACATAAAATTAAGTTAAAAGTCGTATAGTAAATTTCAGATTGATTAATTTATAAACATTTTAGAATCACTTACTGTAGACATTTTAAAATTATACTTTTTAAAAAACGAGAAATCGAAATATTTACTTTTAAGTTTGAATCCAATCAGACAAAAAAAATTACATCAGTAATTTTACATTCATTCAAAAAAAAAAAAAAAAAAAAAAAAAAATTACATCAAACCAAGAGAAGCAACGAAATGTTTACGGATATCCTTTAATTTAACCAAAACCAATGACCGTATAAATTTCTAACAGTCAACTTCAGCCGTTGAGCAGTCCTTATTTTCCAGCTATGTGTTTCTTCATTTTATCACCGTTTTAAAAATGATCGAGATCCATTTACTTTTTAAATAACATTATTATTATTTCCTGTAAAATCCGATTTTGAATATATTAACTTAGAAGATTACGAAGTAAAAATGATTGATGGACAAAGCCGAAACGTGCTTCGAAGTTTATGAAAGAATTGACTTTTTGTATACTTTAAAAAATTGACTTCAAACAAACAGAAAGCTTTTTTATTTATGGTAGTTAATTAGAATTATAACAAATTGGACCGTCGGTGGGATTTAAAGCATCATGGCAAAATAAGCATCAAACAAATGTGCGTTGTTTTATTGTCTTGAATATTCATTTTCTCCTTTGGAGAGCTTCTGTTCGATTTTGATTGGTCGAAATATATAACATAACATATTTCCACCAGGGTTAAAGGGGACACCATATTTGTTTATATTTGGTTTAATTGTTTTTTGGTTTTAACTTGTAATAGATATAGTGGCATATATAACTCAATGCTGAAAACATATGTCAATTTACTGAATTTCACAAAATTGTAACTCTATGTTACTCTATATATGGACCACTGCATGATAAACATTTCTTGTACTAAGGATTCGATCATTCTATTATCCTCAGAGATGTTCGCTATCTTGTCAATAGATGAGGACAAACAATATGAGACGATATATTTTCCTCGAGAAGTGAACCATTGGAATCACTCTACTATTGGAATTAACCGATTATGCAAGTCATATGATGATTAGTATACTACTGATCATATACATAATGCTCATCTATAACGCATAATTTCTTCATTTAATCAACGCTGACTAGCAAATTGTTTTGACTGAGATGGTCCGTGGTCGTATAGTTTTGGACGCCTAGACGGCTAAAATGTTGAGTTTTAACCTTATACATAATTCATAGTTGTTATAAACTATAATTAGGCATTTACACATTTGTAATATTATATTATACATCTACGTCACCTCGAGAACATTGAAGCATTTTTTTTAACAATGACAAAGAAAAGAACAATATTTTATCAGAAAAAATAATATACAGAAATTTAAAATAACAATTTGTTTTGTATCTTCGCCTGGACGTCATTAATGTTTGTGTCGTTCAATAATGTTTGGTAGTTATATAGAAAGAGCAAATTTATGGTTGATGCCATGGTGCATAAATTCATTTCTACATAATAATAATACGTTCTACAAAAATAAAATAATAATGGAAAATTGAATAGAGTCTAAAACAATATACAAGGACAGAGGCCTTTATATATAAAGACATTGATCTCTCTTTGATTTCTCACACACACACAAACACACTGTGTCTCCTCTCTCTGTTTCTGTTTTTAGATCTCTCTTCTCTTTTCTTTCTTTCCAAAAATCATCTTCTCCTTCTCCACCTTTCATTATTTTTCTTCTCTTACCTAAACCCTTTAAATACAAGAAAAACAAAACAAAAAAAAACACAGAAAAAAAAAAGAAAAGAAATTGAATTCTCTTTTTTTCCCCGACAATCTGAGTTTTTCAGGCAGAGAAGACAGAGATTTTCACCGTAAGGAGAAAAAAAAGGGAAAAACTCTGTCTCTCTGTTTCTGTTTAGTCCTTCGGTTTGATTTCTTACACCAGAAAGACTTCTTTAAAGAATCTCACATTGTTCCCTATTGCGTGTCTCACAAGATAATCCTTTATACGGATCTAGGGTTCTTGCTTCCCTCCCCTGTTTTTTTCTCTCTCGCCGGAGTAAGAAGAAATGGAGCTAGGGGACTCGACGACGTCGGTGATTCCAGACTCGTTCATGGGATACAGAGACGACATAACAATGCAAATGTCAATGGTCTTGGATCAGATACGAGCTCCATTGATTGTTCCAGTCCTTAGGCTCTGTGTTTACATCTGTTTAACAATGTCGGTGATGCTCTTTGTCGAAAGGGTTTACATGGGAATAGTAATCTCTCTTGTGAAGCTGTTTGGTCGAAAACCAGACAAACGTTTCAAATATGAACCAATGAAAGATGACATCGAGCTTGGAAACTCTGTTTATCCTATGGTTCTTGTTCAAATCCCAATGTTCAACGAACGAGAGGTCCTAATTAACCCTAATTCTGTTCTTTTCTTTCTTGAATTGTTTGGTTATCGATCTTTGTTATTGATTGTTTAAAATGTTGTTGTTAATGTAGGTTTATCAACTATCTATTGGAGCTGCTTGTGGACTCTCTTGGCCTTCTGATCGAATCGTCATTCAAGTTCTTGATGACTCCACTGATCCAACGATCAAAGTAATTTCTTTTTCTTTTCTTTCGAAATGGGTTCTTAATTACATCAAACCTAAAGCGTTACATCAAACCTAAAGCGTTTGGTTTTGTTTATGCAGGATCTAGTGGAGATGGAGTGTAGCAGATGGGCAAGTAAAGGAGTAAACATCAAATATGAGATCAGAGATAACAGAAAAGGATACAAAGCAGGAGCTTTGAAAGAAGGAATGAAGAAGAGTTATGTCAAAAGCTGCGATTACGTTGCAATCTTCGACGCCGATTTTCAACCTGAACCGGATTTTCTCTGGAGAACCGTACCGTATCTCCTCCATAACCCAAAGCTTGCTCTTGTTCAAGCTCGCTGGAAATTCGGTAAGAATATTTTAACCTCGTTATTTTAACGGTTCTTCCTTTTTAAGGTTCATAGTTTTGATTTGATCGTTTTGGCCCTTTTTTTTAATTGTGGTGTCATGATTGATTAGTGATTATCACTAATCAGTAATCACTGCTTAGTTAGAAAGTTAGACAAATCAGTGCAATGATATTCGTTTTCTCTCAATTACTACTTCCTTTTTAGGCTAATTACTTAAAAATGTACAAATCAGTGCAATTATTCATAAAATGGATTTTTAGTAATACCAATTACGAAATCATCTGATCGCACATTAGTTTAAGTTGATATACTTATATGTATAATGTTTTTCCTTTTTGTTTGTTGTGAAATTATGACTTTTTAATGGACGACTAAAAAAGAGTTGGTAACGATGGGTCAAATTAAATTAATACTATAATTAGATTTAGATGTAAGTGATAAACTATATAACCTATGAACGTGTATAAGAAAACACCATATAATATTAACACATGATATGATTATTGTATTAAGAGCTCATAGTAGTTTTAAAATTATGGAGTTTTAATAATTTTGGTTAAAAAATATGTTTAGAAAAAGAAAGTTTTAGTTACATTAACTAGAAGTGTCGGTGGGTGTTTTATTGTGAGGTCCCAATGTAACCTACCTAGCGAATCTTGATGTTGACGTATCGATTTTGTTCTAGCTTTAAACTGTGGAACTACTTTTTCTTCAACTATAAATTAAAATAATTGTTAGTTTAGTATACGAAATTAATTTTTAAGGATCTAGGAGGAGGCATATTAGTCATCCCCTTCTAAACTAATCAAATATTTAATAATTTTGAAAAATCTAAGAAAGCATCAACAGATATAAAAGTTATTACTTTTTTGGTCATTTGTATTTGGTATGTCTGCAAGAGTTGGTGAAAATTTGGTTTTGGTGTTTTGGCTTTTTCTTCCTATAAATTGATTTTCAACTCATTTCAACACAGTAATGTTCTCCTCATATTTTAGTCAAATGAAACGAAAATAAATTATTTGTCAATAAAAATTGTCCACCAATGTATCTATAACTTCTGGCACCCAAAAAGCTGTCACGTATTTAGTATTTTACTAAGCATTTATCCACCATATATCTGCCTTCTATAACCATATTCCACTTTAACTTTTCTAGACCAAAATTAAAACATACCGTCACTTATTTGTTTTTCCATCGTAACTAAATACCAAAATTAAACTAGAAAAAATTTAGGAATATATTTTGATCAAAATTAGAGTAGAGTTAAAAAAAAAAAAAAAAAAAAATTAGAGTAGAGTTTAGTGGAGCATTACTGGCATCGTCGTCGTGTGACTCGTGTCCCATAATTGAGTGCAGAGAACATATTGGGAAGTGTAGGGTCATAGGGGTAATGTTTTGTCATTTAGTAAAAATAGTATGGGTAGATTTGTCATTTTCACTAGATCCGCCACGTGTACTTAGCCAACACCCTCCATCTCCCTCCATGTGCAACAACGTGGGACCCAGCTACTCTCTTCTCTAACTCTAGTCTCTGTCACTCTCACTCTCACCACTCACTTTTTTTTTTTTTTTATGTTTTATGTAAAAATTTTGTTTTTATTATTTAATTCAGATCACTGATACGACCAATAATAATTGAAACTTCAATTTTTTTTAGTTATGCTTTTAGAGAAACTTACAAAATAAAGAGATCATCATGTGACAAAATCTAACGAGCTGTTGAAATCTAATTGGGTTTGTTGAGCTAGCTGTCTATGATTTCATAATTGATTTCCAATTTCACCAACTTGTTTATTAATGTCTTTCATTAATACCACCACATTTATTGTTGTTTGCTACTATACAAAATAATTGAATTTCACTATTTTACACAACTTTTTGCAGTAAATTCGGATGAATGTTTGATGACAAGGATGCAAGAAATGTCTTTGGATTATCATTTTACTGTCGAACAAGAAGTTGGTTCTTCTACTTACGCTTTCTTCGGATTCAACGGTACTTTTTCTAACAAAAAATTATATATTTTTATTATAACATTTTTTGAACCGTTTTATTCATAAGTCGTGAATGTGTTTTTGCTACGATAAATTTTAGGAACTGCGGGAATATGGAGAATATCGGCACTAAACGAAGCTGGTGGTTGGAAAGATCGAACGACCGTGGAAGATATGGATTTGGCCGTGAGAGCTAGTCTCAAGGGTTGGAAATTCTTGTACCTCGGTTCTTTGAAGGTATAAAATATATTTCATAGAATATGTTTATAGTGTCACTTAATTAAGGGTTGATATGTAAATAATTATGTTTTTTTAAAAAAAACTATAGGTTAAAAACGAGTTGCCAAGTACATTCAAGGCTTATAGGTATCAACAGCACAGGTGGTCATGTGGTCCAGCTAATCTTTTCAGGAAAATGGCATTCGAAATCATGACCAATAAGGTTTCCTTCAATCTCTCTAGACGAATTAGAAAGTTTTTAAGATATAATAACATAACCAAATTAAACCGGTATTGTTTTCTCTCTGTTTTTTTTTTGGCAGAACGTGACTTTGTGGAAGAAAGTTCATGTGATATATAGCTTCTTCGTGGTTAGAAAGCTAGTAGCACACATTGTTACCTTCATCTTCTACTGTGTGATCTTACCCGCTACAGTTCTTGTACCGGAAGTTTCTGTTCCGAAATGGGGAGCGGTTTACATTCCTTCAGTCATTACTCTCCTCAACGCCGTTGGGACACCGAGGTACATAAAACAATTTCCAAGAGTTTTTTGAGGCTCAAGTCTTATTCGGGTTCTCATTGTTGGTTACATGTGTTTTATAGGTCGCTGCATCTTATGGTGTTTTGGATTCTGTTCGAGAATGTAATGTCTCTTCACAGAACAAAAGCTACTTTCATTGGTTTACTCGAAGGTGGAAGAGTTAATGAGTGGATTGTTACAGAGAAGCTCGGAGATCTTAAGGCTAAATCGGCCTCCAAGACTCCAAAGAAGCTTCTTCGTTTTAGATTTGGAGATAGGTAAAAAACTTCTTCCCTTTTTCAATTTGATTTCGGCTACTGGTTAACCGTGCCAAACCAATTCTAATACATTAGTACTTTTTTGTGTGTTATGGCAGAATTCATGTGTTGGAACTCGGTGTAGGAATGTATCTGTTATTTGTGGGATGTTATGACGCGTTTTTTGGGAAGAATCATTATTATCTATACCTTTTCGCGCAAGCAATCGCGTTCTTCATTGCGGGATTCGGGCAAATTGGGACAATTGTTCCTAACCATTGAAGGGAAAAGGGAGTTTTTGAGCGACGAAATGCTCGAGAATAAAAAGATGATTTCTTTTTCTTTTCTTTTTTGGATTCGCTAGCTATTTAAATTCTTGTTGGTGTGAATAGAGAGCATTGATGATACGATTGTTACAGAAGATGGTGTGTGTAGTGTGGAAGATAAGGTTACTTATATAGTAAAGAAGAAATATACTTTGAAGGGATTTTTCAGATTCCTTTAGGGCAAATGATTTTCGACTTATCGCAAGACTAAAGAACTTCACTGATCAAAGAGATCCTCCAATTTCATGAAAAGCTTAAAACTCTCAAAAGATTATATGCTTCTTTACTTTAAACAATTTATTGGAGCTATAGATTTTTGAATAATAGTAGCATTCAAAGATAGAGAAGTTGGTCACTTTACATATATGTTTGCTCTTACACAAACACTGTTTTTCTATCCCTACAATAACGATCAATCTTTTTCCTTTTCATGGCGATTCGCTTCTAAGAAACTGCAATCTATCATCGGTTAAGAGACCGAGCAGACCTGATCCATTGAGGTTAGCGTATTTCACGTCTTGAAGCGGAAGATGACTTGACAATGCAAACCGTTGAGAGACAGCAAAAGACCAAGGATCTTGCAAGATGAGCTCACGAGTGGACTCTTCATAAGATGCAAAAAGTTGTGTCCTTTCCTCGCCAAAGTCTATAATCGCTGTTCTTGGAAAACCGATGGAATCAACTCTAGCTTGTGTGGATGACTGTTTCTGAGTATAAGAACCATCACCTCTTCTCTTGAGACAAACATGAAATCCTTCTACACCATTACTATCCTCAGAAGATTCAACTCTCCGTTTATAAGAGGCAACCACATGATTGCTACGAGGGCAATACGAGGAGGCTATGCAAATTCCTAGGTTTCTTGTAACAGAAACCAAAGTTGACCATCCCTCGCTGCCACTGATGTTCCACTGACACAGCCCCGTGGAAGAAGCGGATAAGAGGGCACGGACATCAGATGTTGGAGTGGAATTAGCAGAGAGATGATGGATACTATGAACCGGATTGCTTGTTACGCCAGCCAATGACGCCAAAGGTCCTGTCGTTTGACGCATGTCAAATACTAATACCATTCCATTCTGTAGTCCAGCATAAACATGGTGGCAATTGTTGAGATCCCAAGAACAAGACCAAGGTGCAGCTGGTAGATGATCATAAGATAAGACGGTGTTGTGACTATCCAAGCTTATGACTGATAACTTTTTCCCTAGAGTACCAAATACCGCAAGCCCGTTATTGTGAGGCGAAAGGCGAAGATCTTTAATAGCCCTAGAGGTACTAGGCAACAAAATATCATCTTCAATCTCACCCGAATGTAAGTTCATTTGCGTAAGCACAAACGTACCACCACTGCCTGAGAGCCTACGGGCTAATAACAAAATCTGTCTACCACCATCTATGTCGAATATACGACCACCATTAACCAACACTTCTTCCTTATGTTTAAAGCTGTAAGAGGGTTCATGTCCATGACGTTCTTGATAGATCTTTTTCTTCAGATTATTAAGTTCTAATCGTAACTCTGCTTCCATTTCTCTCCATTGTGCTTCTTTGTTACTCAAACTCGCAGTCTTCTCTTCGAGAAGTGCGATTCTCTTTTGTGCTTGATCATCTACTGCAGCAACCTTTGATCCGTAAATTTTCACGACATCTTTCAAGCTACATGCTCTGTTGCATTGAGGACACTTTCCTGAACTTGGTCGATGTTGTAACCACTTGTTGATGCAAGAAAATCCATACAAGTGTCCACATGGAAGACAAGAGACTTGATGTTCGCCACCGTTGGTCCAAACTTCCATACAGATCGAACATAATGATTCTTTATCCTCCTGCAATCCTGAAGACGATGATGAACAAACACTTTCTGACGACCCTCTTTGATTCTCACTCTCGTTCTGTGAAACCCTAGATGAGTCTGCCACATCGATGTATTGTCTGGTTTGGCGCTCTTCTTCCTCCTCAGGTTCAAAGGATACTTCCATTGTTATTCCGGCATTAACAAAGACGAAACGCTGGGGTCGCAGCATTAGGGCAAAATCAAAAATTAAGCTTCTTACGACTTAATTGTCTCTTACAAAAACAGAGCGAGCTATATAAAAACAAACAAAGCAGCTTAAAAAGTAAGCTAACGATTAAAAGGCAACTAATACTTGCTTGTAAAATAGAAACCAATAAGTTTGTAAGGAGGAAGTTTCCTTCTTTTTTTTCTTTTACATTTAAACCCAAAAAGTTTCCTTTTTTTGTTCGGCTTAATTCTAGGAGAGTTAGTATTTTGATTCTTGGTGTGATTTGGTTCATTCACACCAGAAAAATACGAAGCGGAAGTTGGAAACCTTTGAGAGACAGGAAAAAAGTGGAAGGATCACAAAAGTTTATTAATAAAAAATAAGTAGAAATAAATGCAGGCTGTGGGGTTCGAACCCACGCGCACTTATGTGCAGAAGAACTTAAGTCTTCCCCCTTAACCACTCGGGCAAACCTGCTTGTTGTTAATCCTCTGTTCATATTATATTGATATATGCAAACTAGTGTGGTTGCATGTTAACCACTAAAACGCTCAAAATCCTTATTTTCGGGTCCATTGGTTTATGTCACGTATTGATTAGCTGATTTGCGACTAATCTTCAATCAATGTAAATTTTGGACAGAAACTTCAAATGTAGGTTTTGCACTAGAAAAGTCTCCAAAAAGACTTAATATCCATATTACCACTAATAAGCACAAACAAACGTTTAGCAAAGTTTCAGCTACCAAAACGACAAAAGAAAAACAGGATAAAACGCCTGAAAAAAAGACCAACTAAAACTGGCTCACTCGCAAGTTCCAGATTTGAGTACCAAAAGACATCAAAGTTCTAGAGTAGATAACTAGATATTATAGAGAGTAGTCATCAAGCTGCTTTTTCTTATGATTTTCAAGCAGCTGCACTGTGTTTGGCCTTTGTGTGAGACTGCAATCCCATTTCCGAAGTAAAGGTTCTGCTGCACGACTTGCACCCAAACGCTCCTGCAGACTTCGGTGTCTGCTGCTGCTTCGATTTCTCTCCAATGCTGCTTCCACCAGAATTCTTACCCCCCTGTTTTGATGGATGAGGAGTTGCAACATGGACATGCGGTTTCTTCGTCTCTGTATTTGTCACAGATGTTTTCAATTAAACAAATCGATCTTTCTTTCTTTCGGTAAAACAAGGATTCAATGGGGAGATTGATAAAAGGATTAATCACCTGTTTTCTGAGGAGTTACGAACTTAGCCTTCTTGTTGGAAGCAGGGTTCTTGGAGGAGTTGGCTTCTGCAGACCTCTTCTTGGGTTCTTCAGGCTTTTATAAACCAAGAAAACTTAGAATCAGATTCGAGTTTGACAACAGAAGTAGCGAAATTGCTCCCAAAAGAAAATAAGACAGAACAAGCATAGGCTTCCCATCAACAAGCACATATAAAGAGACTATCATGTTACCTTCTTTGGGGTCTCCTCCTCTGATGAGTCATCTTCTTCGTCGTCTGATGAGTCATCTTCATCGTCTTCCTCACTGCCAACTGCAGCAGCAACCTTACAAAGCAGCAATGATAAGGATTAAAGAAATGTGAGAATGGGCTGAAACACAATAAGCAATCAGGGTTCATGTGAAAGATGCAAATATATAAGTGAGAAGACGTACTTAAAATAACTCTAGTACCACTGTTTATAGGTTTTTTCAACATGACACTGAGCCTAAGTAAAAATTCTACAACAAATTGAGCTAGTAGTATATAGACAAAAGTACCTCCTCATCTCCAGAGTCTTCAGAGTTAGAGTTCTCATCATCATCTGAAGACTCCTCTTCACTATCATCAGCTTCATCATCTTGCTTGGCCTTGACATCTTCATTTGGCAATTGAAAGTTCACCTGTTTCGCAGCTGATTTCGGAGCAGCTGGCTCAGCCAAGGCCACATCAATTTATAAGAGATTGATGTTATCAAAATAAACTAAAATCAGATAACTGGAGACAAATCATAGCATGACTGGATATAAATGCCCCATGTACCTCTGTAACCAGCAGCCTCAAGTTCAGCGTCAGTCTTATTATCAGTCACGGTGAGATAGAGAGTCAAGGAAGTCAAAAACAGAGCAAAACAACAATTCCCCAAATGATATTCATCAACAAAGCTTGTAGAGTTTAAGCGATAACAACAAATGTTCGAACAATAAAGGATATGGATCATCAGATGCATCAACTTTGTAACCAGAGAAGAAAACGCTCCCATTCTTCCAACTATGAGACAGCGCAAAGTTCCTTTCCAACACAAGCTCCGTAGCCAGCTGAGGAAACCTCTCATGAGATAGCGTTCCAATGAGAAGCTTATCCTGTCCAACCGTCAGGTAAAGCTGGATTGGTTCGGTTACATTGCTCTTATTCTCTCCCAAAGCAACCTTCAATAAAAAATAAACCAAACGTCACTGTAAAATTCCTTGTTATAAATCAAATCAAGCTTGGAATTCAAAAGTACCTGTGAGATGTGCACGAGCATATCTACCCCAGGATCTATATGAAGTGGTGTGCCATTCTTAACTTCAACACCTGCAAACGCATAGAAAGCAAACAAATCAGTAAGTCTGCCACAAATCCCCAGTAACGAAACTAGAAATCTCGGAGATAAACCCTAGCGAGTAGAAAAATTTCAAGTTTTCCCCAATTTTCCATGAAGACGAACAGTCTATACACTAAATATGTCATACAAACTCACTATTCTCGTTTCTCGTTTAGCTAACCAGACGATTCCATAGAATAAACAGTAGAAAAAGCATGGAAACGAAAAAAAGTGATGAAACCAGAAGCTAAAAAAAAACCCTAAATGCAGGAAACGAAGCGCGGCAACGAAGAAGAAGACGAAGGAAGATAGGAGATGTTTTACCCCAGAACTCCATTGTTGTGCGAGGTAGTGTGACCTTGAAGGCGACGATGCGACGAAGGAGAAGGTTCTAGAAGAAGATGGAGCGATTCGTCTCTTGAGAACGGTTTTTAGGGCGTGAAGATGTGAAGGCTGCTGGAATTTATTAATCGGAAGATGGGATTTTGGTGATCCTCTGTTACGCGGACCACGAAGATCTCCTTTATTTGGGCCATTCTTTTAAAACCTAGCCCAACAAAATTAACGTTTTTAAGCCCATACTTTATTTTGACGGAGTTTTTTTAACGGTGTCAGGACGGATCGTAACGGACTTGTAACACTTTATTTGACTACCGTTTTTTTCCCGTTTTTTTCCCGTTTGGTCAGACGTTTCCGTCAACGTGTGGGGTCTATATATTCGTGACAATCTCCATTCTTCAAAATAAGTCCCACGGAGAAATTGAGCATCATTTACCTCAAGGCCCTCGATTAATATAAGCTGTTTTATAAAAAAAAATTTTAACTGTTTATAATTTCTTACCATGTTTCATTAATTTTTTTCTAATCCATAGAAAAACCAGTTAACAAAATCTATGAAGAGTATATATCATAACACTAAAGTACGGTCCGACTACGAATAATTAAAATTATTAAATGGATAGTTGCACGAGTGGGAATTAAGCAACAATATTAAACACAATTCATCTAGATTGGTTAGATCTTTTCGAGGCCTCTTGTGTCTAGATTTAGAATAGTTCTTGGCATGAATCATTAACATTTTTCCAATGCTCTTAAATTTATAGTACACCAATTTTATGCTCCGGTTTTACATATTACACATAATTTCGAATTTTTTGCAACATATAGATTACATAAAATATATAATCAATTTGCTAAGTTTTAATTTAGTTTAAAAAGTATGAACAAACCCAAAATTTTCCTTACATACTAGCTACTTTATATTCTCAGCAGCCGTAATATATAAATTATGAAAGATGCCAAATCTTTCAAAAAAAAAATGGATAAGGAAAAGAAGAAGCAATTCACTGAAAAAAATCTAGGAGGCCATGGCTAAAAAAATTAAATTAATGACAAAAATGCGTTGAGTGCATGAACCTGGCAGTATTCGATGAACCTTAGCGGATCAAATGATATAAATATGCAATATTAAAATATTTATTTATTGTCCAAGCTGCGTTGATAACTTGATAGATAAATTAATGACAGCTCATTGACTATCCGGAAGAATCTGAAAATCTTTAGGGATAGAAGAATTTGATCTTGACTACTGACCTTAGTAATAATAATAGAATTTCATGTTAATAGATGTAAACAGTAAATAATGCCGTCTAAAAAAAGAAAGAAATTAAGATAGTTTCCTACATTAAAGTTTTATTTTGTTGTTAGTCACGATTCACTATTTACATATTGTAATTTTTAATAAACTTTTAAACTTGAAAGTTCGCTATAGAGATGATGACACTCATTTTATTTTCTATCAAACAACATTAATGGTTTTTTCTGGGCCGTGTTAAAGGTGATGTCTCTACTCTCTATTCTCTAAGATCAAAGATATATATATGAAGTTGAGTTTAGAGAATAATTTATTTCTTCCACAAAGTAGTATTGTATATATTAAGATTTTAAACATCCACTTTCTCGTCGATTTATCTAAATGTGTACTCTTATTTATTTATACAAACAACATTTTTATGAAGTAAAATCAAAAGTAACTAGTTTTAACTTTTAAGTACAAGATAAAGTTTGTATGGTTGTGAAAATATCACTAGAAAAGCTAAAATAACATGAAAGAATAACACGAAACATAATGAGTAAGTAGTTCATTTATAACACACAAACAAACATAAAGACAAGAAAAAAAAACAAATTAAAATAAAAAAGAATGGATAAGCAGAAAAGAAAAGGAAACATCTTGTTCATACGAAATCGTCTAAAAATACCATATTTGAAACGACAAAAAAAAAAAAAAAGATATTTGTTTGTTTGTCAACTTAAAGAAACGAAAAAAAGAGAAAAGAAGAGAAGATGCATGCATGGTATAGAAGTCATAGGCAAAAGAAATAATGTTTGAATAGACAAAGGAATATAAAGACACAAGTGAAGAGGCCATCCGTTTTTGGATACACGAATACATATCAACATCTTACATCCCCCTCAAACACGAATACGTTCCTTCACTCTCCATTTTTTTTATAAAAGACTATCATATATTATGGACTTTATAATGTTGAATTATGGATGTTTATAAAGGCTTTTTAATGTTGAATTTTTAGACTACCTTAAGGTGAATGAAACTCGGAACCAATGTTACGGATTCAGATTGCTGTAAGATCAAATTCCATAGGTAGAAATATTTGGAATTTATGGGCAACATGCATGGTTTAGTCTTTTACACGTGGGCATGTTCCTATTTTAGCGTTGCGTTTCCTCTTTCAATAGGATTACTATTGCTATTTGGTTTACTTTATCCTTTATCTTCCAATTTCAGTTGCCATTTCACCAAAACATCAATAACCAAATTAATTGTTTAAACAAAAGATTTTGTTTAGGTCCCTTTTTGCAGCAAAGAAGAATATGTAAAGTAAAAAAACCACATTTATATATACAACAAATTCATCAATAATATAAATTTTAAGCGGATTTGAATACGGATGATAATAACATAGCGATGATGTTTCATGTTTACACAAAATATTATGGTCGAATACGAAAAATAAGAACAAATACTTAATTATACACTCTCAACGGTGGATGAAAAAAAACAAAACTAAATTGAAGAATTGTTTTGACAAAAATCAAAAATGTCAAAAGTTCCAAAAAAAGAGGGACATAAGAGGAATATAACGAAATTATCAACAGAAACGCACCGAGTAAGTTTCACCGTTTCTTTCTCCTCTGATAACCCAAAAAAATAAAATTCCATTAGAGAGAGAGAGAGAATTTTTTAAAAAGTAAGAAACAAAAAGAAAATGAAAAACTAGAGAGAGAAACAAGTGGCTAGCTAGCTCGCCGAACTTCTTCAACAATGGCGGTTTCCTAGGGTTTGATGCTTATATGATCAGGAAACTCTCTCATCTAGATCGCGAAAACTCTCTCTTCCATGGAAATGCCCGGTAGAAGATCTAATTACACTTTGCTTAGTCAATTTTCTGACGATCAGGTCTCAGTTTCCGTCACCGGAGCTCCTCCGCCTCACTATGATTCCTTGTCAAGCGAAAACAGGAGCAACAATAACAGCGGGAACAACGGGAAAACTAAGGCGGAGAGAAGCGGATTTGATTGGGATCCTAGCGGTGGTGGTGGTGGTGGTGATCATAGGTTGAGTAATCAGCCGAATCGGGTTGGGAATAATATGTATGCTTCGTCTCTTGGCTTGCAGAGGCAATCGAGTGGGAGTAGTTTCGGTGAGAGCTCTTTGTCTGGGGATTATTATATGCCTACGCTTTCTGCGGCGGCTAACGAGATCGAATCTGTTGGATTCCCTCAAGATGATGGGTTTAGGCTTGGATTTGGTGGTGGTGGAGGAGATTTGAGGATACAGATGGCGGGGGAATCGGCTGGAGGGTCTTCATCCGGGAAGAGCTGGGCGCAGCAGACGGAGGAGAGTTATCAGCTGCAGCTTGCATTGGCGTTACGGCTTTCTTCGGAGGCTACTTGTGCCGACGATCCGAACTTTCTGGATCCTGTACCGGACGAGTCTGCTTTGCGGACTTCGCCAAGTTCAGCCGAAACCGTTTCACATCGATTCTGGGTATTTGTTTGCTTTCCTTTTGTTCGTTCCTGTTAAGCTTTGTTTCATAAAATTCTTGAATCTTAGTTAAGAGATTTGGTACTCTTGTTTCCGAAGTTTCAGTTAGATCTCTTTTATTATATGTTATTTGCATAATGGGTGTTAAGACTATCGGTTGCTTCAGGAGGTGTTTGAAGGGTTAGAGTCTGAGATTATCAATATGTTTGCTTGGGATTAGTTGCTAATATTTTCTGAGTTGAGACTGATTGAGAAAGAGATAAAAATCTATTAGTAGCAGATGAGATATGTTGTTTAGATACATTGCAGAGTATGATTGTGTTGTGTGCTGCATCAGGTTAATGGCTGCTTATCGTACTATGATAAAGTTCCTGATGGGTTTTATATGATGAATGGTCTGGATCCATATATTTGGACCTTATGCATCGATCTGCATGAAAGTGGCCGCATCCCTTCAATTGAATCATTAAGAGCTGTTGATTCTGGTGTTGATTCTTCGCTTGAAGCAATCATAGTTGATAGGCGTAGTGATCCAGCCTTCAAGGAACTTCACAATAGAGTCCACGACATATCTTGTAGCTGCATTACCACAAAAGAGGTTGTTGATCAGCTGGCAAAGCTTATCTGCAATCGTATGGGGTTCGTACTCAAATAATCCTTACAATCTTTCTGAAGTTATATTTTTATATCTTCCTGTGATTTCTCACATTGCTTGGTACTCGTTAATTCTCGCTTCCTCAGGGGTCCAGTTATCATGGGGGAAGATGAGTTGGTTCCCATGTGGAAGGAGTGCATTGATGGTCTAAAAGAAATCTTCAAAGTGGTGGTTCCCATAGGTAGCCTCTCTGTTGGACTCTGCAGACATCGAGCTTTACTCTTCAAAGTGAGATCCCAATTTTGATGCTATTCCCATGACATTTAAGACGTGTCTTTTGAAATGATCATATAAATTTTTCCGCTTCATCCATTTGTTTGTATAGTCATACATGTGAAGAAAGTTGATTGAGAAAAGTGGTGTTATTGGCTAGAAAAAACCAGGTTACTGGTAGTTGAGTGATTCAAAGAAAAATAAGTGTTTATACCTGCCATATGGTGCATGCAGGTGTTGGCTGACATAATTGATTTACCCTGTCGAATTGCAAAGGGATGCAAATATTGTAATAGAGATGATGCCGCATCGTGCCTTGTCAGGTTTGGGCTTGATAGGTATGAGACAAGTGATTGCGAAAGAGCCTTTATTTTCCTATTTGCTTTGCTTTTTGTTTCTGTAAAAACAATTATAGCGCCAAATGTTTCGCAAAATATTAGGTTGATGACGTGGAAAGTTTGTTTTGGTTTCAGGGAGTACCTGGTTGATTTAGTAGGGAAGCCAGGTCACTTATGGGAGCCTGATTCCTTGCTAAATGGTCCTTCATCTATCTCAATTTCTTCACCTTTGCGGTTTCCAAGACCCAAGCCAGTTGAACCCGCAGTCGATTTTAGGTTACTAGCCAAACAATATTTCTCCGACAGCCAGTCTCTTAATCTTGTTTTCGATCCTGCATCAGGTATTCCCATAGAAAAAACCTGAATAATATGTTAACTTTTTGCATGCTGCTTACATCTCCTTTTGTATTTCCCCTAAAAGTGGATATCCTATCATTTAGGGTATTTCTTGATCATGTCTTCAATATATGAAGGGTTAGTAGTCTTAGAATGATTCTATTGTTTGTTTTCTTGTCTCTTTTCAATTTAATGGTTTTTGGCTGTTGATGCATATGTGTGTGTGTTGGTGGGTGCTTTGCCTAATGATATTTAAGGTTAAACTGCTGTTCAAGCATATGAATTCTAGTGCACTTATGTGCAAGACTTGTCTTCTGGATTCTGATTTCTTATATCTGCTTGTTTGAATGGTTGTAGATGATATGGGATTCTCAATGTTTCATAGGCAATATGATAATCCGGGTGGAGAGAATGACGCATTGGCAGAAAATGGTGGTGGGTCTTTGCCACCCAGTGCTAATATGCCTCCACAGAACATGATGCGTGCTTCAAATCAAGTAGAAGCAGTACCTATGAATGCCCCACCAATCACTCAGCCAGTTCCGAACAGGGCAAATAGGGAACTTGGACTTGATGGTGATGATATGGATATCCCGTGGTGTGATCTTAACATAAAAGAGAAGATTGGAGCAGGTAATAATTTTACGGAAAAATTAATGATTTGGTCTAAAATGCAAAGAACTGTGAAATTCTTGAGTTAGTGGATTTGCTTTGGACTCTGTTCTCGAACAAAATAAAGAAAAAAGTGCTGCCCATTTTGAGATTACATTCTTCTCCGTTACCACTCTAATTTGAGCTACTGCTCTTTCAGGTTCCTTTGGCACTGTCCACCGTGCTGAGTGGCATGGCTCGGTAAGAACCTTTTTGTCAAAATTTTAAACAGCTGACTTTTTTTGCACTAAAAATTAGGTTGAGTTTTGGATCTGTTTGGTGTTAAAAGGGCAAAATTATTATATCTGTGACTCTCCGTTCTGTCATAAATTAAACATGGACAAAAAGTGTCCCAAATTAGATACTTGTCTTTATATCATAAATTTGTCTTCCTGTTTGAATTTTCCAATGCTATCACGAGAAAAATTCTGATTTTGATTATTGCAGTAATATTCTCTATCAATTTCAGGATGTTGCTGTGAAAATTCTCATGGAGCAAGACTTCCATGCTGAGCGCGTCAATGAGTTCTTAAGAGAGGTGCACAACTAAAAATTTGCTCTTGATTTTGATAATGGACTTAGTGTATTAATAATGCCTTCCTTGATCTTGATTCGCTGTCAGGTTGCAATAATGAAACGCCTTCGCCACCCTAACATTGTTCTCTTCATGGGTGCGGTCACTCAACCTCCAAATTTGTCAATAGTGACAGAATATTTGTCAAGGTAACCTGGATTTTGAAGGTTTTATGTACTGAGTGTAGACTTTTAGCCTATAATGACGCTAATACCATGCTTTCTTTCAAACAGAGGTAGTTTATACAGACTTTTGCATAAAAGTGGAGCAAGGGAGCAATTAGATGAGAGACGTCGCCTGAGTATGGCTTATGATGTGGTATGTTTGATTTCCTTTCGTTACATGTATGGGTGCGTATTAAGTTGATTGCTTTCTGATCTTGGTGTTTGTTCACATAGAATTTCTTTCCATTTATCTGTTGCAGGCTAAGGGAATGAATTATCTTCACAATCGCAATCCTCCAATTGTGCATAGAGATCTAAAATCTCCAAACTTGTTGGTTGACAAAAAATATACAGTCAAGGTTTGAATCTGAATTAGTAGTTGTTGTGTTCAGTGTCTTGATTTTGATATTTTAGTGTATATCATTCCTCTTGTGAGACCAGCTTACATATATATATATATATATTTTTTAATACTAAATCATCTTGGGGACATTGCAAAAAGACGTTAATCTACTGAAACTTAAAAAAGCAGCAGTCTCAAGCTGTCGTCTTAAAAACCATCAAAACATTCTATACTAACTCTTCAATTTGTCTTGAAATTTCAGGTTTGTGATTTTGGTCTCTCGCGATTGAAGGCCAGCACGTTTCTTTCATCGAAGTCAGCAGCTGGAACCGTAAGTTCAGTTTGTTTAAAGCTAAAAGAAGCTGAACAACTTAACTTTCTTCTAGTTCCTACATAATTATTTTTTCCAGTGGAAGTTAAATGATTACTGACTTTGATATATCAGCCCGAGTGGATGGCACCAGAAGTCCTGCGAGATGAGCCATCTAATGAAAAGTCAGATGTGTACAGCTTCGGGGTCATCTTGTGGGAGCTTGCTACATTGCAACAACCATGGGGTAACCTAAATCCGGCCCAGGTACTTTCCACTCCAAAACATCTTGATAATAATAATCTTATATTGCATTTGAAAGTCACTCGCTCTATATTTCATAATATGCTATATGATCATACAAAAAAATTGCTCCATAGGTTGTAGCTGCGGTTGGTTTCAAGTGTAAACGGCTTGAGATCCCCCGGAATCTGAATCCTCAGGTTGCAGCCATAATCGAGGGTTGTTGGACCAAGTATGTTAAGATTTTCTTTCTCTTTTTTTCTGAATTCTCCTTGAATAGACGTCATGTTTATGCATATGTTTCATTGCCAGTGAGCCATGGAAGCGTCCATCATTTGCAACTATAATGGACTTGTTAAGACCATTGATCAAATCAGCAGTTCCTCCACCCAACCGCTCGGATTTGTAAAATCCCCCGGTCCAAAGTTGTCATAATCATGATATGCACATACTCTCAGCATTCTTTTGCTGCCCAGGAGGGAGACACTAGTTAAGATAGCTGTTAAGGTACATTCCTCATGAGCTATCAATCATATCCTAAAGAATCGCTTGGTTCTTATACATGTATTCTTTTGCTATCTTTGTCTACTGTTTTGGTCCCTTTTTAATGTTGCAGATTGTTAAAATGTACATGACTATTGTGACAGGAAGGAAAAAAAAAATGTAGTAATGGAAACAGTGTGGGAGATAATCTATATCTATCTAGTCCCAAAAGGGTAAGCAATATTTTGTTGATATATCTAGTAGTAATGCACTTAAAGGTATTTTTAATTGCCTTCTACATTTATACTAAGCGAAGCTACTGTCAAGGGTTTTGCAAACTCAATATGATTCATTGGATACACATATTTGTTCACTGTGGAATTACCCATGCGATTAGTCTGGACTTAAACTAGTAATCAAGTCTCTTAAAATGACGCAGCAGGCAAAGGGAAACACTCGTAATAAGAGAGTTCAAAATATCCCAAATCGTTAAACACATTGGGGACTGAAAATATCTAGTTAGTCAACTATTTGTTCCCTTAGCCTTTAAGTAACTTTGACCTCCCACTCTTGAAAACGACTTTACCTGTTTTCATAATTAATAAAAAAGAAAAAAGACCACTAAAATCGTTTGATGGATTGGTAACCAATAGGATTGCGTAAATCAAAATAATAGGAGTAACACAATACATATATTAAATTCTGAAAAAGGAAACACGAAAGCGAATCTGTGATTTGCGAGTGAGGGCCCAAACTAGAAAGCTGACCTGGCAAACGCGCTAAATCACTACTTTCCCCTTTCAGATATCTAAGATCACGTGGGACCCACCATCCTTCACCACTTTCTCTCTCTCCTTCACCAAATCACAGAGAGCTATGTGAAGTTGCAAGGAAACAACTTTCAATGTCGGTTGTAAAATTCTTTGTTACCAAAACGGACGAATCAATGGAAGATGACGACGAAAAAGATGAATCCACGGTGGCGGGAACTGACCCACCCATTTCCACCGCCTCTCTATTCCCCAGATTTTTTTCTGAATATCTGACTACAGTTTGTCGGTTACTTCCTTCCCTAAACCTTTATAAACCCTAAACCTCTCATCTTCCCTTAACACCTTTTCTTAATTACCAATTCCTCTCTCACTAAACCGTTAATTTTCTACTATTTCAAATGAGCCCAAAAAAAGATGCTGTTTCTAAACCAACTCCAATTTCAGTACCCGTTTCGACCCGACCCGGGTCTCTCTACGTCGACACTGACATGGGTTTCTCTGGGTCACCACTTCCCATGCCACTAGACATCTTACAAGGGAATCCAATTCCACCTTTTTTATCCAAGACTTTCGATTTGGTTGATGACCCGACTCTTGACCCGGTCATCTCTTGGGGACTCACTGGAGCTAGCTTCGTTGTTTGGGATCCTCTAGAGTTCGCCAGAATCATACTCCCAAGGAATTTCAAACACAACAATTTCTCCAGCTTCGTCAGACAGCTTAACACTTATGTAATCATCTCTTGCTCTGTTTCTGTTTTCTAGATAGACTCATCATTCTTCTTCTTCTTTTTTCGTTCAGTTTTTGTTTTTATGTTTCTGTAATCTTTTTGATGACCAAAACCATTTTGTATAGATTCTTAAACTGGGTTTTTGATAACTTGTAAAAAAATTACCTGTAATTTTCTTTCTTTTTGGGATTTGTTTAATCTCTCTATCATGTAACACTGAATTTTGTATCTATGAAATTTTGGCCTCGTTTGGATTATAATAACTTCTCATGTGAAATAAGCTTGTAATCTTGTATAATGATGGTTTCGTTTGAATGGAGAATTTTGGTTTATGAAGTTTTGTTATTTTCTCACAATGTTAACTTCAGTCCGGTTTAAGACATTACTCACATGTTCTTCACACTTCAAAGGTAGAATCTTTCTGATTATGACTACACAGATTTTGAGATATTTGGTCTACAATCTACTGGTTTGATCTTGTCTTGATGTACATGTGTTAGCTTACTTGTTCTTGAGCTTTTTTGAGTTTTTTTTTGGGGTTGGAATGTTTCCAGGGATTTCGAAAGATTGATACTGACAAGTGGGAATTTGCTAACGAGGCTTTCCTTAGAGGGAAGAAGCATCTTCTGAAGAACATTCATCGTCGTCGATCACCACAATCCAACCAAACTTGCTGCAGTAGCACCAGCCAAAGCCAAGGGTCACCTACTGAGGTTGGAGAAGAGATCGAGAAGCTGAGGAAAGAGCGGCGTGCATTGATGGAGGAAATGGTTGAGCTTCAGCAGCAAAGCAGAGGCACAGCTCGACATGTGGACACTGTGAACCAGAGGCTGAAAGCTGCAGAGCAACGTCAGAAGCAATTGCTCTCTTTCTTGGCTAAGCTGTTTCAGAACCCAGGTTTCTTGGAACGCCTGAAAAACCTCAAAGGAAGAGAAAAAGGAGGAGCTCTTGGATTGGAAAAGGCGAGAAAGAAGTTCATCAAGCACCAGCAGCCTCAAGATTCTCCAACAGGAGGGGAGATGGTGAAGTATGAAGCTGATGATTGGGAGAGATTGCTAATGTATGACGAAGAGACTGAGACCACTCCACTCTCTAGCCACCAAGGTATGACTTCAAGCATAGGAGGAACCGATCCGAAAGGCAAGAACTTGATGAATCCATCAGAAGAAGAGATGATCAAACCAGATTACTTGATGTCCTTCCCATCTCCTGAAGGACTTATTAAACAAGAAGAGATGACATGGAGTATGGGTTTCGATACTACAATACCGAGTTTCAGCAACACCGATGTATGGGGAAACACAATGGACTATAATGATGTCTCGGAGTTTGATTTTGCTGCAGAAACAACAACTGATGGTTTGCCTGATGTCTGCTGGGAACAATTTGCTGCAGGAATCACAGAGACTGGATTCAATTGGCCAACTGGCGATGATGAGAATAAGCCAATGGATGATCCTTAAGATCTTTCATATAGTTTAGAACAAAAACCCGTTTATTATCGGGTGAACTATTAATTCATTATTCATTTTGAATGCACTCTTATACATATATAATAATAATGAGTTTGATTGTGCCTTTCTTATTCACAGAATCCAGGGTCTAATAACATTGATTTTGAAGGATATATAACACAAAACTATGCTTTTATCTGTGAATCTTCTGGTTTTATCTACTGGAGTAATTAAAATGTTTGCAGGTCTGAAGTGGAACAATGTTTCTTTAAGGATTCTTCTCTCTGTAGCTGTCTGGTTTAATCATTCATGTCCCAGGTAAGAATGCAAAACCTCTTTCTTCTCTCTTCTTCTCCTTTTTAGAGCTTCCTCCCTAGAAATTTTGAGCCAAAAGTGCATTGGTTGGAATGCTTGTACTATATAACCAAAACTGACACTTCATGAACGCAGAAATGAAATATTAAGGTGCATGGATGATACCTTCTCACTGTTCTTCCAAGGCCTTTTCATGCGTATATACAGGTTGTGCTGGACTGTGTTTCAGCATCTAAATAAACTAAGCAATAAAGTGTTACTAAATGTGTCTCAGGGAAGGCACTGGACATATTAAGTATCAGTTTAAGTATCCATCTCCTTCCTTTAGTTAATATACACAAGAGTCGAGATAGTTTGAAATCCACCAAAGAGTAAGAGACATCAAAATGAATATAAAAAAAAGACAAACCTTTTCATGCACTGATTCATTGCCTTGTGGTATAGGTTGCTCTTTATCTGAAAGAATGAGAGGACGACTAGTCTCAGTTTCACTCTCAACTTGTTCATTCCACTCAAACTGACAAGTCAACACAATGAACTTATGAACACCAAACACCACAACCCAAAATCACAAACTAACAACTGTAGAAAAGGATCCAAATCACAGTAATCTTTGAACATTTTATTTACAAGAAGTGTAGGAAAGGATTAAACTTTCACATTCCAAAAAGTCAGAATCAAGCCAAGAAGATTCCTGAAGATTTCTACTTCCATGGTTCCATATAATAAAAAAAATCCACATCCAGAACTATAGATTGGATAAGAACAAAGACGATTAGCAATAATTAAGTTTTATACAGATTGTAACTGATTAGACTCATATGAATTTAGTTGTGCTCTTCGTGTTTTTGCCTCAAAATGAGAGAAGGAGACGAAAAAATAAATAACAACATAATGGAGGAGGAGCAACATGTATACTATTTCACTTTTTTTAGAGTTTTTAAGCCAATCAGAAGGCTCTATTTCACATCCACTCGCACAAAGTGCGCGTTGCGCGAGTGTGACAAATTCTGTGGGTGTACCCCTTTCGAAATCATGCCTTTTTCAATCGACGCACTTCTTTCCAAAATCTCCATCGCGTGACTGTTTTTTGTTTTTTTTTTTTTTTCTCAAAACTTTATTAATGCCTATGTAAACCGAACCTAATTCAGTTGTAATTTCAAAACCAATGTAAACCGAACCGAAAGAGAAAGTGAACGGAAAGTGAATTAAAAATTTTAGTTGATTAGAAATTTATGAACATACTTGCTTTAGATTTAAGAAATACTACATTTAGTCACCACCAATTCACCAATTGACCAGTCTAAATCATGCACTTCTATCAAATCAAGAACCGAACCAAAACTAAACCGGAGAAAGCTTACTCGTGACTGTCTTGTGTGGTGTGTACATCATCTTGACTCGAATGGAGGGCCTATAATGTTATGCAATAAGCAAGAACATTACTAAAAATGTTCAGTTTCATGACAGAAGACTAAATATATTTATTGCCTTAACTAAGCCTGATCCGAATCTAATACCTCACAGAGCAATGTCCACACACAAAATTGAACAACATCAGGGGTAAATTGGGGAAAAATCCATCAAAACTTGTAAACAAATCTAACAAGAAGTGAAAAGTACCTGATCGATCCAGCTAGACCATAAGTTCATCGTTCAGACAAGTTTTTTCACCAGACAAGTTTTTTCACCAGCTCCCTCATCTTTTCTCTCTTCTCTCGCCCATTGGAAACATGACGTCCATATATGGGCTTTTTACTTTCGGGCCATAAATTAAATTTAGCAGGCCATGTCCTATAACTTTTGGGCTTTAAGCGTTTCTTCGAGGGTATTGCTATAAAAACCACAATCAACGGATCTTTTCTAGTTAAACAACAAAATTCTGGTTTGTGGATAAAGATTTAAATGTAAAAAGGTGAGCTTTTTTATTTTTCATAGCCTCACGAGAGAAAATATTTTTGTTTTGGGTTTTGCATTTATATTGTGTTGCTACAATACAATTCATTCTTTTATAGTTTTTGATTATTTATACTTGGAAACTAAAGTTTATTTTTAGCTTCACATAATGATGATGATAATAATGATGATAAATAAATAAATATAAAGGTGGAGGTAATCAAGGCTTGTTGTGGCTTTGAGTGTAAATGTAATCCAAGTGAGATTCAGTGATCAATCTTCTCTTCATACACTCTTCATCCATCTCCTCACATTTCTCTTCTCCCATCAGCTTGAACCACACAATTCAGGAAAAAAACAAATTATTTGTTTAGAATAATTGCAGTAAGAAAATGGATAAAGTATAAGATAGGTAAAAATGTATTTTACATGTGATAATTCTTGGGCCATCTCAGAAGTAGCCGAAGGCCAATTATCATACTTGATTCCATTATCTTCTGCAAAAAATGTGAAAATTGTTGAGCGAGAAATAGTCCAATAGAATTAGAGAACTATTATCTCTCCTTTTTGTCACTCATTGATGACACATAACCAAAAATGGTTCTAGTCACATTATTTAATCCCAAGGTGACCGGAACCTAACATTTCATGCTAAGATTTGAATCATGGGTCATTGAAATGCTTTACATTAAATGTGAGACTTTGTATGATTCATTAATAACATAGTTTTCACAAATAATATTTGTGGTTAGATTAATCGAATTTAAGCAAGTTCCACGAATCACAATAAGATCTTTGAAAATTGTCAATATCTAAAATTCTAAATGATCCACAAGAGATTTAATTATGTTATAAAGAAAACTGTGATCCTTTAAAAAATAAAAATCATCAAAAAATTCCTCAATGTATATATATACCAAAAGTCATAATTAAATTTGTAAATTCATATATAGAGAATACATATACATGCATGATGCATGGGTTATACATATATATATATATGGTTTATATATATAGGAGTATATATACCTTCGTTATCCCCTTGCAAAGGACGTTGAGCTGTACGAATTAGCTCAGAGAACTGAAGAAGAAGAAGAACAAAGAGGAGGAACATAATCCCAAGTTTCTTCTCCATTATTTTTTTTTATTTTTTTGGTTCAGAGACTTTTTGAGGGATACAAACATGAAGAAGAAGAAGTCAAAAGTTTAAATATACGTCTAGATCTCTCACATGGTCGGTTACATTTACGTTAATGCCCATCTTTTAGTGTGTTGTGGAGTGGATCCCAATATCCCATTATATAAAAACCCTTCATGTAGCGATAAAGAGTCAGTAACTTCATCAACCAGACAAAACAACTAGAAGACAACCACTTATTACACTTCTTTACTTGAGAGTTCATTTGTATAAACATATAATATGTATATGTATATGAGTTCTTCTATTCCAAAGAAAATTATGTTTTTGAGTATTACTAGTTATACCCATTAAGTTTTTTTAATTAGTTCTGCTTTTAACAACACAATGGCGATATCTCCCACCCACGAGAAAAATAAAGATTCTTCCTCGTTGGTTGTGTAATGTAATGACAAAAGCAAAACGTACGCACTCTCTTTTGACGTTACACAAAATTACTACTCTATTATTCATGTCTCTTCTTCCTTTAATTGTTTCCTATTATTTATTATCAAAAATGTAATTTTTTTCTTTCCAAAGATTAGATCACGTTCACATATAACAGTTTCAAGTGTGATTCTTTGCTCAATCTAAATACCCATATATTCCAATTGATACCAGTTTGTTCTGCTCTAATACCAACTGACGTAAAAGTATAACGATAAGAATATAATCTAAAGTATATACATGAATCGCTTTTTATCTTTGATGACAAACACTTCTTTAATTGTCTCAAAACATTTAGATAAAACTGGAAAGATGTGTAGACTACTATTTAAAAAAAGAGCCATGAATCCCCAAATCTCTTAGAAAAATTTATCCGATGGTTAATGATACGTTAAAACTTAACAGGGAGTCGCATCATTTAGGGATTTGTATCAATCTTTGACTAATTCGTTTTTTTTTTTTGTGACAATGAATAGAGAAAGAGAAGGGATTATCACGACTCACGAGCCTACTTTGATTAGTTGACGGGAGTCATTATCATATACTATTTTTGTTATAAGCCGACAAACTCGAGAAATTAAGAAAAGTTTTGAAAATTATGTATCGTTTTTGTGTTAGATAAGAATTGTACTGTGTCCATTCAATTGCGATGAAGAAGAGACAAAGAAAAGAGACCCTCACGACTTTCCTTTGATTTTGGTGGTAGTCCTTGTCATTAATGCTTTAATAATTTGTATGCAGTTTTTGTAAATTTTGTCTAATCTGATTTTTAGATTTGGTTTTTCTTATTAGTATTCGGTCCATCTTTTATCCTATAAACACACAAGTGAGGACTGTGTAGTACAACCCTTTGTTTCTTTTTCCTCAGACTCATGAGTCATGACAAATTCATTGTTGTTATTTGTAGTTACTGCTACTATCATTTATATAAATGATAGTAAATCTTGTAATCAAAAAGTTGATATGGCCGAGTTGGTCTAAGGCGCCAGATTAAGGTTCTGGTCCGAAAGGGCGTGGGTTCAAATCCCACTGTCAACATCTCGTTTTTTATTTTTCTTCATCTTACATGGGCTATTTAGTTTCGGCCCATTGAATACAATATTGTTGCAAGTGAATGAATCTAGCAGGCCATATTATAATGAATTAATAAAAATTAACAGTGGCTCTAAAGGCCCACTTTGCATAAAACATATGACTGCAAAAATTCGAAATCGGAAAATATAACACCAAATGAATCATCATCATCTTTTAGATGCCATAGTCGGATGTTACACTTACTAAGATTATTGATGAATGTGAATCATGTGATTTGTTTGGTATGGATTTGATTAGTCGATCGATCCTATTAGTATTATTTTCTCTTAAAGTAAGTTGGAAATGTCAACAAATTTTCCAATCAATTACTTAGAGAAAAGTAGTATAACTCCTTATTTATAATTTGAAGTTAGTCATAGTCGCAGCGTAGGCCTTAGGCAACAAACAACTTCAAATGGAAAATTAGTATATTGAAGTTGATTCCAACCAATTGTCTATCTTTACCAAAACAAATAATCATATATTTCGTTTGATCTAGTTTTTCTCAGTAGAAATGTAAACTATTTCCCTTCCAAACAAGTCTTGGCTTTGACAATTGCACAAAAAGGTCCATTCATTTCTGTCGACCAGATTCGTGTTTCGATTTCATCGACTATTTATTACTTTTGTTAATAAAATAAATACTATTATTAATGGAAATGGTGATATGCTTATTCATAGATCGGGTCATCTTTTCATTAGTTTTCTTTGTTGTCTCAGCATAGATCATTTTACCAAAAATGAAATTTTTAGGTGTAAACTCTGTCTTCATTTCACTACTTTTTTAAAAAAAAAATTCCCAATAGATGTGAAATTTGTTGTAACTTTTTTTGATAATCAGAGAAGTTTTTACAAACTGGCGTACTTATTATAGACTAGTTTTCCAATTCAAAAAAAAAGAAGTGTTTTTTGGCTATTTAAGAAGTAAATAGTGGCTAAAAATAGTTTGTGTGGAAATTGCATGTTTATATGATATAATTCAAGGGTTTTACTACCTTATAAAAGCTTAAATAGTGATGGGGATTAATTTAAGTGATACAGTAATGGGAACAATCATATATATGAATTTTATATCAGTAATAAACTATATTTGACTTTGCAAATTACAATTCAGTCGTCTAGAACATTGAACGTAAAAAATAGTTAAATATAATTTATAGTAAGAAAGGTGAAAAGATGGATTCTAAAGCTGTACTGAACACAAAGAGTACAAACATTTGCGTACACAAATGATAAAAATAAACTAATCTAAAAAGAAAATAATTTTTCGCATACACAAAAATCCATCAAATCTAGATAGAACGATTAGATTTGGTAAGAAAATTTGGATTCTTTAGGGAAAACGAAGGGGACAAAAGAGTTGTTGTATGGTTGAACTTAAATGATGTCAACACAAACAAATAAATAAACAACCAAACAAAACATAGATTAATAATATCAGGAAATAAAGTAAGTCAAAATCCGAATTGGTGAGACTTTCTATGTTAGTTACGATACATTCATACATATCCTCCCGCCGGTTAGTCAGCTCCTCACATTAATGTTCCTTTTACATAGTCAACCCACGTGACTTGATAATAACCCTAAACCCATCATTGTGAAATAAATTATTTTGAACTTTTCTTGGATATCAATCGAAAAATATACAATCATCCAAAAAGACAAAATATCAACCAATCGATATTATCAGATAGGACTATTTCGGATATCGCCTTGGCTTTAGTCTACTTGGTATATAAACAGTTTTGACGTTAATTCGTTCAAATGTTTTATTTGTGTACAATAACATGCAATTTCATTACTAAAAAAAAAGATACAAACTTATACATCAGCTCATGCATATTCGTATAGCAATACCATGCATGTCACCATCGTCCCTGAAGTTTTTGGCGGTGTAAATAAGATTGGTGTAAATAAGATTGCAAGTTGTATCTAGAGATATTCAATGACCTGACAGAAACATATAGAGCTTGAGTCTTTTGACCCTGTAGATTTGGTACGACTTCTTTCCTAACTTCATTTTATACATATATATTATAACTCCATTTCATTTCTTAACACCTAATCTTTTTAGATTTCCCCTTTCAATTTGTAAAGATTTACGGAAAGGTGTGTCTGGCTCGATTGCATTAGGAGCCTAATGCCTTAATAATATATTAATATATAAATTAAATGTACTGTATATAGTTTTTTTCTAGATACCAAACCGTTTTTTTTTAAATCGCTATTTTGTTTGTTTTACTAATCACTTTAATTAATTCGGATCTTAGTCCTATTTTCCTTCTAAACTATGTGATTTAATAAATGTTGCCTATTTTCTATTCTGCATACAATCTTACTTGATGTATAACTTTTTAGAGATATTTGCAAACATACACATTATGAACAAATTCAGAGATCCTGAGAACTTGCATATCCCACGTACACGCTCTCAAAACCAGTCAAATTCAAAATTTGTTATTTGAAAGAGATACTTGCAATTCATATACAATAAATAATCTTCAGTTTTTTAACATGAGAATCAGATCTGATTAGCACAACCTCATTTTATGTTTTTTATGTTTTTAACACGAGAATTAGAATTAGAATCAAGTGGTTTGTGCTTGAACAAAGTACTGACTACAACCTTTTTTTTTTTTGAAGAGTTTTCTACAACCCTCGGAGACATGATTGAGTGTAAATCATTTTAAATAAAGTCTTCACTATAGTAAATTCGATTTCATTATATCTGTCTTTATTATAAGAGTATGCACACTTGTAAAAAACATAGGGATACTGTGATCTCACATTTACATATTTAGATGCATACATGATACATCAATGTATGTATACAGTATACACACATATACTGACACTGACACATGCTTAGTGCGTGCAATAATTTGTCTTTACTCAGTAATTTATGTATAAATAATTTGGTTTAGCGCATTATATACAACTGGTCCATTTGCGAGCAATGGTTAATGGTTGATATGATAACTATTTATCCCACCAGAAAACCATATCTTTATCAAATCGCGACTTCAAATATTTAATATCAGTCCCACGACATCGACGCCGTTTAATATTGTTTTATTTGTTCCTTTTTTCAATTGAACATATTCTAATACCGGCAAAACATATTTTAATATATTATGCTTCTTTCTACATATATATAATAGACACTCAAGTTTATGATGCAATGGAGTCTCTCTGCATGAAAGAATAATTAAAAAAAAAACATCACAATCTCTTTCCATTTCTGAGAGCTAAAAAACCTCTCTCTCTTTCTCTTTGATTCGAGTTTCCAAAAATGGAAGGTTTGTGTTTAAACTCTTTCACTCGTTTTTTACTCTTATTGTTCGTTTTCTTGGTTTTTTCTCATAAATGGCAACGAGCCAACGCAAGCGAACCGGTTTTGGAGCTAGTAAAAGGCTTTGAAGCTATACCGGACTCGTCCATCGACTCGTTTCAGCCTCTCCTCACTGACCCAAACGGTAACTTTTCATTCGGGTTCTTACGGGTAAACGGGTCACGACTCTCTCTCGCCGTAACCCACCCGAATTTAACGGATCCACTCTGGGTTTTCGACCCGAACCGTTCAGCTAGCTGGTCGCATAAAACGACACTCTTCTTCAATGGCAGCCTCGTAATTACCGACCCTTCATCGAGGTTAGAATGGTCAACTCACACTAGCGGAGACCGACTAATCCTCCGTAACGACTCAAATCTCCAAGTGGTTAAAACGTCGTCGTTCGTCGAGTGGGAGAGTTTTGATTTTCCCGGAAATACCCTTGTCGAGAACCAGAATTTCACATCTGCCATGGCTTTGGTTTCACCCAACGGTTTATATTCGATGCGGTTAGGTAGCGATTTCATCGGTTTATATGCTAAAGTCAGCGAAGACTTTCAACAGTTTTACTGGAAACACAGTGCTCTTCAAGCTAAAGCCAAAGTCAAAGACGGAGCCGGTCCAATTCTTGCTCGGATTAACCCGAATGGTTATCTCGGTATGTACCAAACCGGAAATATACCAATCGATGTTGAAGCGTTCAATAGTTTTCAAAGACCGGTCAACGGTTTACTAATTCTCCGATTAGAATCCGACGGGAATCTCCGGGGATATCTTTGGGATGGATCTCACTGGGCATTGAATTACGAAGCAATTCGAGAAACTTGTGATCTACCAAATCCGTGTGGTCCGTATAGTCTCTGTACTCCTGGATCGGGTTGTTCGTGTATTGATAACGGAACCGTGATCGGAGAGTGTAATCACGAGAATTCATCGCCGGCGGATTTTTGTGGTAAGACGGCGGCGTTTAAAGTGGTGAGACGTGACGGCGTTGAAGTGCCGTTTAAGGAGCTAATGGAACACAAAACGACGTCGTCGTTGGGAGAGTGTGAGGAGATGTGTGTGGATAACTGCAAGTGTTTCGGGGCGGTTTATAATAACGGGTCTGGGTTTTGTTATTTGGTTAATTACCCGATTCGGACGATGTTGGGTGTTGCGGATCCGAGTAAATTGGGGTATTTTAAGGTACGTGAAGGTGTAGGGAAGAAGAAGAGTCGAGTAGGATTAACGGTTGGGATGTCTTTGCTAGCTGTGATTGCGTTGGTCTTAATGGTGGCGATGGTTTATGTTGGGTTTAGGAATTGGAGTAGAGAGAAACGGGTACTAGAGGAAGATAATGGGCTATCACCCGGCCCGTATAAAAATCTCGGGTCGGATAGTTTTAATTCCGTTGAAATGAGTCGGAGATGATAGCTTTCTAGTTTTTTCTTTTCTCATAATATTTTTACAAGAGGTATGTATTTTACACATAGTATAAAATTAACTTCTTTTTGCAATTTGACCATTATCTTGTTGATGAATTTTTCACCTAACAAGTACTTATTACGAAGATATATATTATTTTGGGTTATCAAAAAAATATACCTTTTTGTAATCTATAATTTCTTTTTTTTTCGAAAAAGGTGAAATGGTAGAAATAATTTATTGATGAAATAGTGGAAAATGAGCAATTGGCGTCACGGATGACGCTAACAAGTGTGGATAGTGGACTTTCCTAAAGGCCCACATGTTTGAGATTTCCATTATCCAATTATACAATTCTATATTGTTACTTTTTAATATTCTGGTCAGCAGCATGCAGTAGTGCTAAGTTCACAGGCGCAACCACCGGAATTTACCCCGTTTTATCGTGTCGACATTCTCTTTTTATTCATGTAAAATATCACTAGTCACTAGATATTCCGATGGTGACGAAGTAACTAATCACACCGGATAATCGAGTCGGACAAAATATATATAGTTAGCATAAAACGCGTTAAAACTGATGAAATCGGAGTAACAATTGAATGATGATCTCATGACCAAAGTAAGTGAATGCTAATATATTTGTGTGATCAAGCCAATTTATCCTCTAAATCTTTCATATACTTATTCCTTTGCATTATTTTACCGAGTTTTTTTCATCTCTTTCCTTAATCCAAAACTGAATCTTTGATATGAATCCACAAGAAAAACACCAAAAATAGCAAGTAACATATATTGACCTTATGGAAATAGATTAAAAAAAAATTCACAGGCAAAGCGACAATTTATATGGGCCGCTCTTTAAAACTCCATATTTGTCATTGTGTCCGTCTCCAACGCGGCCTTTTAAAGGCCCATTTGCTTCCTCAATTTCAAACATTACATAAATTTCGTTCCCGTCATCTCCCACAATCAGAACTCTCTTCTCCATCGCCGTCGCCGCCGCCTCTTTTATCCAGAATGTCGTGCTTCAAATCCAAATTCGCCGGTAAATCTTACCACCGCATCATTGTTCACCTTTCGATCTATCATGTTTCATCCACTATTTTCGCATTCACTATTTAGAACATATCCTCTGATTCGTTGATCCTCCGGAATTTTACAATTTAGGATTGCTTGAATTGATTCTCTTAATAGTTTCATCGATTCTCTGTCAATCTCCATTTCTTCTGTTACAAATTGCTTCGATCATATATAGCTCGAAGACTATTCAATCCCTAAATCAAAATTCACCTGAATCTCGATTTTGTCCGATCTTTCTTCACAGATGAGCTCATCGCCAATGCCGCTTACATCGGTACACCAGGAAAAGGTATTCTCGCTGCTGATGAATCCACAGGAACAATCGGAAAACGTTTCGCAAGCATTAACGTTGAGAACGTTGAATCAAACAGACGTGCTCTTCGTGAGCTCTTGTTCACCACTCCTGGAGCTCTCCAATACATCAGTGGTATCATCCTCTTCGAAGAAACACTCTACCAGAAAACTGCTTCAGGTCTAAACTCTAAAACCTCACAAGAACTTTCACCATTTTTTTGTTTTGATGTGTAGAAGAAGTTGATTCTGGTGCTTTATTGTTTATATATCTTAGTTTAGGTTAAAATAATCAGTATATAGAACAATGCTTGTTAGAATCCTATACTCATGATTCGACATTGATGTTGTTGGTTTCTGATACAGGGAAACTATTTGTTGATGTAATGAAGGAAGCTGGAGTGCTTCCAGGTATCAAAGTCGATAAGGGAACCGTTGAGCTCGCTGGTACAAACGGCGAAACCACAACCATTGGCCTTGATGGACTTGGTGACCGTTGCAAGAAATACTACGAAGCTGGTGCACGTTTTGCAAAGTGGCGAGCTGTTCTCAAAATCGGAAACAATGAGCCTTCTGAGTTGGCTATCCATGAGAATGCTTATGGTTTAGCGAGATATGCAGTTATTTGCCAAGAGAATGGTCTTGTTCCCATTGTTGAACCAGAGATTCTTGTTGATGGATCTCACGACATTGAGAAATGTGCTTATGTTACAGAACGAGTTCTTGCGGCTTGTTACAAGGCTCTTAGTGATCACCATGTGATCTTAGAAGGAACACTTTTGAAACCAAACATGGTTACTCCAGGTTCTGACAGTGGTTCTAAAGTTAAACCAGAAGTGATCGCCGAGCACACAGTCCGTGCTTTACAGAGGACGGTTCCTGCAGCGGTTCCAGCCGTTGTGTTCTTGTCTGGAGGACAGAGTGAAGAAGAAGCAACTGTGAATCTAAACGCTATTAATCAGCTCAAAGGGAAGAAACCATGGAGCTTGACGTTTTCGTATGGACGTGCGCTTCAACAGAGTACACTCAAGGCTTGGGGAGGTAAAGAGGAGAATGTTGAGAAGGCTCAAAAGGCGTTCTTGGCTCGAGCCAAGGCTAACTCTGAAGCAACCCTTGGTGGCTACAAGGGTGATGCTCAGCTCGGTGAAGGTGCTTCCGAGAGCCTTCACGTCAAAGACTACAAATACTAGAAGGTTATTTTTGGAATTTCAATATTTTTTGGAGTTTTGGTTTTATTGTACTGATTATATAATGTGACGTTGTAATTATTTGTTTTGGTGTTCTTTTTGTGGGTTAGATGTTTTTTTGAGTACTTGGGCATATGATATGTAGCCTGGGATATGTGTAAAGTGTTTATGATAAACCCTTATCGTTGTAAAATTTTGTTGTAAATTATTGAAAAAGGATGTATATAAGTTAACATCTAATAAAATTCTATTATGTTCTGCTAAAGTTTTATTCCCAGTTATTAAATTTGCAAGATTAAATAAAACAGATGATCGTAGATGGCATTAGTTTTTTACAATTTTCATTTTGGGTTATGTAGCTCCTCGTTCTATAGACGTAACTTTTTTATATCTACGTTGACAAAAGTGTGACTTTTTTTTTCTTCATGATACTTAAATAACTAAAAACTCAAAAATCCAAAGAACGAAGAATTTGAAGATTGAATGAGGGGAATATTAAATTAATAGAATTCATATAATGAGGTGATGATGTGTCTAGTCGTAGGGTGGACAGAATAGAGAGACAATGGCAGTGACTGAACGTAAAATAGGGTCATCAAAACAGTTTTGAAAATCTTTTGTGATGAATAATGTTAGGATGAGTCTTACTCTTAACTTTTTTTTTTTTGTTAATAGTCTAAACTCTAGTTTCAGTCTTCTTATTCACTACTATCTTCTTTCTTCGCAACTGGATATTTCAGTTGTAATTGCAAAATTTTATAAGTATATTAAATTAATATATAAGGATATATTAGAAATTTTCAAGGTTTAACTTTTTATTAACATATGTGTAAACTTCTAAAGCAAGCTCATGTAAATGGGAAATGTATATAACGTTTCAAGGGTTTTCTGGAAGTTCCTTTAAATAGATTGAAATTTCTACAAAATTGGATTGCTCTGAAGAGTAAACATTGGACTTCAAAAAGTTATTGTGACGTGTTCTCTAAATTTCCACAAAATATATCACTTTTATGAAACAAGAAAATAACCAATATATATATTTTCCTTGTTCAAGTATCAACATCCTATATCCACAAATCAAACAGTTAATAAAGTTTGACAAGAAGAATCATCAAGCTCTAGAAGTAAGAATGGTCTCGTGTGGAACCCATAAAACGAACAAAGCACTTAAATGAGAATAGAGACAATTCAGAATTAATCAACGTTATCAATAATGTGTACGTACGAAGGATTGTATTGACTCGTGCTCGTGTCTTACTGTCTCTATAGGGAATAGGGACAAAAGGAGAAGAGTGAGATCATGGAGAGAGAGATAAAGGCAAATGGTTACTTTCTCTCTGACCATTAACACACTGAATCGACCAGAGCTTACTTCACTACTCTTCCTCTCTGTCTCCATCTACATAACTCTATCTCCCTCTCTTTCTCTCTCTAGGACGATTACCCCAAATTTACAGCTCTAGCCTTCTATGTATGTTTTCTTTGTATCTCCATTTATGTACATGTATTAATTAGGTTGAGTCTTCTAGACCAAATCAAGTTCAAACAAGTTTCACGATTTACAACGATCAACTAAACAATTCAGCAGAGATGTTCGATCTATTTCAATGTTATGAACTTTTCATGGGAGAAAATTTGGTCCAAAAACCGGTTAGAGAAGAAAAAGCAAGTTTGATTAACACAATTTATTTTATAGTTCTTTTTTCTTTTTCAAAAAATAAAAACTCACTTATTTTATAGTTGTTGTTTTTATCTTCTGAAAAATCCAGTTTATTACTCAACTAAGATTAAACGTGTTTTTCCTTTAACTCAAAAGAAGAAATGATTTTTCTAAAACTATGAAATTAGATTTGTAAAGTTCCTACTAATTCGGTAATTCCTAATGAAAACTTATAAACCCTATTATGAGAGTTTCTCCACAGGAAACTTAATTTGTTTTTGTTCTTTTCCAAAATTTGAATTTATTCAAATATTTTTTAAAAAACTATAATATTTACGGAAAAAAAAAACTCATTAAAACTGTTGCATGCCAATGGACAAGAACCGTTTGGTTCATATATGTTATTGTCTCTCGAATCTATTCATAGTCTGCCAAAGAAAAGCATAGAAGTATGGGCTCAGTCAATTCCTTTCATATAAATCATAAAATATTATTAATTCAACCCCCCGGAAATTTTGGTTTAATTCAAGGGTCGAGGGAAAATGTCATGTTCATAATTAAATTATCATATATAGTTAAGGGTAAAGTAGAATTACGCTTAAATATTGAGTGGCTTGAGGACATGCATGATTTGATTTTTTTAGTTATCCTATGTCATGTCTTGTCTGTCTTGCGTGTCTATGCCTTTGGATGTGAAAATAAATTCTCTTATAAACATTGATTTTTATGAGATAAGATCTTTGAATTAGCAGTATATAAAATACGTATGCTACTGGGATCAAAATTCAATATTTAGAGAAAGATTGATATAAAAAGTCTTACAGAATAAATACATGAAAACATAATATATAATCGTTGGTTAAAGCCTAATTTGATTTAATTATTAGACCTTTTAATCTTATATATGCTGATATATAATTCGTTAAGCCCCAACAAATATTTCTTAATTCTAAGCATCATGTGACATATAATAGCTAAGTCAAGGTTTATCTCATATATAGCTAACTCAAAAGAATTAGTTAACCACATGATTACCTTCTTCTTCTTCTTCTTCATTGAGAGAAATTACTTACTGATTCTCTCCTTTACTTAGCCTCAAACCATAACTCTCCCACAAATTCTGATCTCCATCTCCCATGAAGAACGGGAAGCAGTTTGTACTAGCTGCCATTGCGCCGCTCGGATTTCCAGCGGTTACGTTTGCGTTTGCGTTTGATGTTGAAGAACCTACATTGCCTTGTTCGTTCATCTGATGCGGATCATTATCATTATATCCACTTTCTTGATTATTGTAGATTGGATTTTCTTCATTTCTCGGATAGTACACGCCGCAGCTCGATGAATTATCCTTTCTTTTCTTGTTGATTTGCTTCTTTTCTTTCCTCATTCCATTGCTTATCCATTCCCACTTTTCCTTGCATAATAAGGCACTTCTTTGATCAAACCCTAACTGAATCAACTTCGACGCGATTTGCTCCCATAAAAACTCATCTGAGCACCCTCCCAATATCTCTTGAAACGCCGAGTCCATGCTCGTTCTTATCTCCATAAGCTTCAAAATCTCTTGCTCATCCCAGCAGCTACTACTTCCTTTAACAGAAACATTGTTAGTCATTGTTTGATCGCTTCCATTCTCATTCTGATTCTCACTATTGTTTCGGATCTCATTATTACCATTAATCCTCTCTTCTGGCGACGAACATAACGGCTTTATCAATGGCTTTCCTGTCAAGTATTGCAATGCCTCAATCACCGCGACATCCCTAGCTTCCATCCTCGCCCTCTCTTTAGCCCAAAACAAATGCTCTTTATCAATCCGTGCAGCTTCAATCTTCCTCCATTCCTCTTCTTTCATCATCCGTTGCTCCTCTTTGTCTTCAATAACCTTTGTCAACTTCTCAAGCCAAACATCTTGCCTCTCTATCAACCTTTTCATGTTCGTATCGATGAACTCCTTTAGCTTCGCTTTCCAACTCCTCTTTTTCCTTCTACTACTAGAATCATTCCCTTCCGAAGAGGAAGTCATCAGCTCAAGCTCGGAGGAGTTGTAGTTGTTAGAAAGACTAAGGCTTTGATGAAAACCATGAACACTATCAACGTTATGGATGTTGGACGTTGTTGTAGTAACATTCATAGGGTTTTGAGTATGGAAACCATGAAGAGCACTGCTCATGAACTGCGTGTTATGATTAGGACAAGAAACCAAGTTATTGGAATCGCCATAGAGCGCTTCGAGCTGCCGAAAAAATCTGTAATGTTTTCCGTCTTGTCTTCCGGCTTTGCCTTCTTTAGTCTTCCTATAGTATTTGTAAAGATTCTCAAACTTCTCTCTGCACTTCTTCCCACTCCTTTGGTATCCATGTTCCTCGGACATAATCCTATTTAAGAAAATAATAATAAGAATGAGAAACTAAATCAGCTCATGTTTGATTGAATTCGGAGCAGTGCCCTAATCTTGAAACAAGCTTGAATCATTAACTATTCATATTCATTTTCATGCATATATTAGATTCGATAGTGACATACATAAAGTTTGTCTTCTTTTAACATACACTTGTTAACTTTCGGACCAAGACTGTTTTTGAGACTTAGTTACTAGTGGACTAATAGTTTATCACAAGAACATGTTTCGATGCTCAGTTACACAAAAGAAGAGGGTACATATCTTCAGAAGCTAAGAAAGATGAATCAGAAGTTATCAGTAAAAAGAAAAGGATAGAAAATTAAAATCAAAGTCAAAGAAGATAATAAATCTTTTTGTTTTACTCTTGTTTATGTTTTACCCTTTTGGGTTTTTAAAGCACCTGATAGTGTCTTAACTGAAACTGCCAAGGTCTGGTCATTCTCTTGACCAAAACAAAACAACTCCTAAAGAAATTGTTTGAAACTGACCACTCTATAGTTTATACATCAATATGTGTGTCTGTGTATATACGTGAGAATGTAACACACATTTATATATATACGTCTGTATAGATCAGCTGAAAAAGTAAGTTGAAATTGAGGAACCCAAGGAAGAGTGTTGAGGTCACATTCTTTCTTGTTTTTAATGCAAGAATAAAAAAAGATTAAAATTGTCTTCGGGATTTTCACTTGAAAGGTCTAATTTTTAACAAGAAAGCGTATGAAAGGTCAAATCTTTTCAAATCTGAAAGAAAATCCACACCAACAAAAAATCTCAAAGTTTGAAAAAAAAAATTTGTTTAAGAAGATGGAAGCTAATTAGTGTTTACTAACAAATGTTATCACTTTCATCGATTGGAAATTAATTTTCTTCTAATTGATCAACTTTAAATTAGGAGACATTATCTTGAAAAAAAAGAAAGAAAAAAAACTAGAGACATTATCGATGAATGAAACTCTTGTGGTATGAATTGATTTGAGAAATATGCATAATTTTTTTTTATAATGTTTTTGCTTTAAAAAACCAGAAAAATGATGAGAGAGAGAGAAATTAGGGTAAGATCGAGAGAGTTGAAGTGAAGCAAACCTAGAAACTTCATCCCAAAGAGGTCCTTTTTGATTAGCTTCTTTGAATTTATGATCAAGACGAGATCTAATTTCCAACAGAGTTAGGGTTTCTTGTCTCGGCCACCTTCCAGTTCCTCCGCCCTCTCCTCCTACTCCACCGCCGAAACCACCACCGTCAAGAAACCCACTAAACCCAACACCTCCTCCACCACTAGTACTCGCGTTTAAGTTACTGTTATTTCCAGCCGTCGAAGAACCTCCTCCACCCAATCCATGTATGCCACGTGGCAAGAAACCCATATCTTGATCAGTAGTGAACTGATGAAGACGGTGCGGCGGTGGCTGCACAGGAGCGAGGTTAAAACCGAAAAAATCAGAGGGAAAATGAGAAGAAGTAGACGGTGTTGTCGTAGTCGTCCTTCCTCCGCCTTTCATCAGCTGCCGGAGCTCCGGTATACCGTACTGAGGATGCTGATCTTGATCCATTTTTTTTCAGATTTATATTCAGCTGAAAGAGAAGATCAATCTATCGATAGTGAAGGGAAAAAAAGGTAAAGGTTAAACCTTTTAATTCCAAAAAAAGAGAGAAAAAAAAGATTGAAGCTTTTAATTTTTAGAGATAGAAAGAGAGAGTGAAAGAGAGACAGATCGTGTAGTCCACGAAAAAGGTCGAATGTAAGCTACAGAAACGATATGGTCCCATGACTTAATAACACTTTATATTCTTCTTGAATGTGTGTGGGCGAGAGAGAGAGAGTGAGAGATGAGAGAGAGAGATGTTTATAATTTAGATATACAGATCTTTTTGTATGAGATTTTGTATGTATATGTGTTTTGTAACATGTGTCTAGCTCAGTTTTCATTATCTCTATCAAATAATTCGAATACATGTGTGCATTGATGTGTATGTATTCATATCAATGTAAGGTTTTGTCTCACTTAGAGACAATAATAGATCGAGGCACTTGCCTTTGAATTTTGGGGTTTTAGGTTCAAAATCTAATAAGATATGTAGGGTTTTTAAATAATTATCCGAAGATATATAGTACTTGTCTTTTGGTTCTCTGTAGAATTTAATTATGAAGTTTCGTTATTTGGATTTATTATGAGGATAATTGCACTGTAATTTGCACATGTGACTCCATAATTGGTACAACCTTTTTCGGAAAACAAAGGGTTGCTTATAGAATTATTCATTTAGTTTTATCAGGTAACATAATTATTTGCCTTCGGTCTTTTGTTTTTCTAGCATTTGTCTTTTTTTTTTTAAATATAAAACGGTGTGATTTACTTTGTGAACTTAAACCTAGTAAGTAGATACTTATTCATTTACATAATCCTACTTCTTAAAGAAAGAAATGCCTCTATAATCATACTTCATACAACTGGAATATATATATAGTATAGCATGCAAAGAAAATATGTAAATATTGAAATATAAGCTATGTATACCCTAATTATAAATCAACAATTTTCCAAAACATTATATTTATGACGATTCCATTGTCATGTTAACCGATTCATGTACCTTTTGTTTTACTTTTAAATCTGCGATTCAGCTTTTAAAGGTTCGTATTTCTAAAAAAAAGTTTCTTCTCTGCATACATAACTTTTAAAGCGAAAACTCCAGAGGCATGTGTGTGAATTTATTAGAAATTAAATAGAATTAAGTGGCCGCAATAAGAGGGGGGTCCTCTGAAAATTACCAAATTATTGGCTTTTATGCTCCCCAACATTTCAACCTGTCTAATCCCTAACCATTTGGCTTTAGTGTCCTTTTTGACACTTTTATTGCTTCAATCCTAATGTTCACTAAGTTTTTAATCCCTTCTACCGTTTTCCGAAAATTCATTCTATAAGACTGGAAAAGGTTCAAATTCAATTTCACACTTACTAATTTCTGTATCTTTTTTTTTTTTTTATCAAAAACTAATTTTTTGTATCTATAACTCAAAGCATTTTTTAGCCAATTGTTAAGTTACATCATTAAGATCAAAGAGTGTTACTTGTACAAATTTTTATAAAAGCAACATCATCAGTGCAAAACTAATTGTACAGGTCCTCTAACGATTGACGGTTGGCCCTGATGTTTCGAATACAATATATAATCCTGTCCAATTTCCTGAATAGATGTTGGAGAGTTCGTGAGATGGAAGTTAATAAGTGATGAAAAAAAAAAAAAATGGAAGTTATTAAGTTGGTTATTGTGTCCATGATAAAATAGTTGGTACTGTCGTGAACCAACGAATCAGAGAACTTTTCATTAAATAAATTAGTGGACTAATGAAGAAAGAACCAAGATTATGAGAATAATAGCAGGAAAAAAGAACAAGATTTTATTACTAAAAATGACGAGCTTAAGACACGTGTCATATTCATAGCCGTCCATTAGAGGACCCTTAAAAGTTTACCCTTTATTGACTTGAGATGGGAGACTTCAACAGTCCCTAAGCAGACACGTCCCAACGACGTCGTTTTTAGCCGATTGCTTTCTTTTGTTTATCTAATATCTACTCTTCTAAAGTTTCATAATTTTATTTAAATAGAAAAACATACTTGCATCTTCCATGGCTTGGGCAAATAGACAAGTAGCTAGGGTTTGCATTTGTCACCTACCTATTTATTGTTTCAACACCGCCAAATTAATTGACACCTTATCTTTTTCTTTTTTGTCTTTTTATTTTTATTTATAGTTTTTTTTTCTATTTTAAGGAATCTGATTCAAAAAACGAATAAGTAACCATTCACATCTATAATAATTTTTATATAACAAACATAATTTTGATTTTGGTATTATTATTAGTAAGAAAATCTGGTTACTACCTACACACTATGGTATTACTCGAACTTGTGTCATCCGATCGATACCATGACTTTGCTACGAGTATCATTTGAGGACTTGAAGAAACTTCTTATCCCATATAATTCACACATGGGTTTGAATAGTCCTCTTTTCATTCACAAATTTTAGAGCAGATGATGTATCCATATTCCATACTACATTTATAGGAAAAATGAGAATGTATATTAACAATTAAAATTAAATATCTTGAATGCTTTCAAACCCTAGAAACAACTTAAATTTGGTATATTTTAACCGCATCGACCTATATATAATTATATATACATGTCTTTGTTGATAAGTGCTCAAGAAGTGGCCTATAATTTCCACATCGGCTAGAGGCGAAGTAGCATGCTTTTGCGCGAAAGTGAGACTAAAATCTGAACTCTACTAAGATGGGTCGATGTTATGGACACATGCATGCCATATTTTTCCAAATTATATAACAATAATAATAGTATGCGGTAGGGCCTTTATTCATTCGTACATCACCGTAGTATTCCTACATTCATTATAAATTCGTACTTTATTATAAATAAAATGTATAGAATTTCTATAAGGGTACAATTGTTAATAAAAAAAATATTGAACGCGAGTTTTATCAATGACACATCCAAAATATGACTTACGTACTTACGATCAACTTTCACTTATACTGAGTTGTGATTTCTTAGATTACAACATTAGCCATCGGGATTTTAATATATTCTAAGATTCTCTTTCTTTTATATGAAAATGTCATGATTTTCTTTAAAGCAACCTTTGGTTTTTATTGAAAAAAGGGAAAGTTGCCTCAACCATGATCTGTTTTTTATAATATATTTTTGTTCTATCATTGAAGATCTATCTCTTTAATTTGTTAACAAGATCTATCTTTCCATAGTTGTGTATGAATCAGTATATTATATTCCTCAGCAATCATATCGTTTAAAACTTTTAATTTTTAAAACTGAAAGACATTCTTCTCACAAAAGTTGTGGACCACGGTACAAAATATCATGAATATATATAGATGGGTTTTATTTCCAAACAATCAGTAGTTAATTTTACTTGATTAATATTTGACATGAGGTAGCTAGATGCCGACAAACACGTAATGATCATTCTAATTTATTTTAAACGAAATATGCTAAAGTGAAGATGTAATAATTTCTTAGAAAGGACAAACAAAAGCAACATATATGTACAGTCACATTTTATTTTCCAACTGCCTAAAGATATATATAACGAGGTGTTAACTGGTGTGGAAAGAGAGATGCGCAATCAATTCTTAAGATTACAGAAATACCAAAAAAAAAAAAATGGAAATAAAAGCAGAGAGTACGTAGAGAGTGATGAAATCATGGACAGTGTATAGTAACTGTAAGAGAAGAAGAGAGTTCTTAATAAGGGAAACATGCTGAACAGAAGAATCTCAGTCTTGCGCACTCAGTCTTTTGTCTTAAGCCCGACAAATAAATAAATATATTTAAAAATTAATACTTAAAATATGTATTTGTAGTTCTTAAAACAAAAACAATGGAAATATATAATTAAAGAGGAAAATATTAATGAGAGTGTCTGAAACTCAGAGTGGTCAGACCTGATGACTTGCTTTTCACGTAGGTAGAAGTTCGATCCATGCAATGTACACATATCTATATACGTGTGTTCATATGTACAGATACAGTGTTTTATAATTTCTACCATTACTGCTCTCTAACAGTTATTTTATTTATTTTAGATTGGTTGCTAGTAGAATAAGAACACTTTATGTATAAGAACTAAGACGACGAAGAAGTAAGAAAGTTTTATTTTTGCTTGTTAACAAAAAAAAAAAACAAGATGCGAGTTATATTAAGGTACGGTATATACCACGAAAAGCTCTTGGGAGTTTTAATTTGTAGAACGAAAAATCTTCAAATTCTTAAGAAGAGAGAGTAAATGCTGAAATTGGTTAGAGACTTAAGAATCATCATCAGTAAATCGAACGATTCTAAATCGAATAATGATTTTAACTAAAAAACGAAGTTTTACAAGCATAAGATACTAAGAGAAAAACAAAGTAAAGAAGGTAGATATCAATGATAAAAATTTAATTTCTGTTGGGAACTTATAAAATTTAACCTCAATATGTGTGTGTACGCCCGCGAATCAATTACAGGAAAGACCCCATAACATACGCATATCAGGTGTTGCAGCCTGGAGCAATCGAATTGCCTAATAATCTCTTGCTTCTTCGATGCACACATCGTAAATCATGGCACGATTATGACAGCCCTTCCCCAAATTTCCATTGATTATATTTTGTTTTGCATAGGGGATCATTATATTGAAAACTGAAATAACACTTCAAACAGAATTTTTTTGAAGTAAGTTAAACAATTTCTTAATTTTTGCATATTCATCCAAAACATCTTATAAAATGGAGAGGTACATTAGTTTATTAAGTAGAAGTTTAGAACTATGTATGAAAATGTTATAGAACATCTATCTATATAAACAAAAACTTAAGTCTAAATCATATGTTGTATTAGCTTAATTTCAATCGAATGGAGTACTATAAATTTTGGAAAGGTGAATACAAATTGTATAGGCTTAGAATCGATGTTTGATAAGAGGGGTACATTGATGGATGTCGATAAGAATGTGGGGTCACACCCACCAGCTGGATTTTGATATTTTATATTTTAGACTTTTTCCTTAATTTTTAGCTTTGCCTTTCTTATTAGAATTCGAAAAAAGGATTTTAATTTTATAGTGCGAAGGCCCATGTTGATGGAAGGTTTGAAACGACGGATGCATGCATTTGGGAACCCTGAAAGTATAGATTATATACACAATTTGGTATCACAAGTTAAATGATTTCACACTCGATGAGTATATAATTTCCGAATGTTTTTAGTTTGCATAATTTTCAGTACGAAACAAAGATATTCACTAATGGATGTGATCAGAGCCAGCCTTTTTGTGTGAGAGTTTTTTTTTTTTTTTTTTTTGGTTATGGACACAAATTATAATAACAAAAATATGTTTGTCCATATATATTTTGTTTCGTTACACCCAATATTGTATTTTTCTATCATTTTTAATAACTCATATATAATTCGTAACTGGAGATAAAATTAGTAGTAGAAATAGTATAGTACACTAGTATCGCTAAATATCTAATAAATGGAACTCACCACACTAATCCAAAACCCAATCCAATTGGTTTAACTTTTAATCTTGAGTATTTGAACTTTTTCATCAAATAAGTTTATATTTTGGTTTTTATGTATAAAACAAGAAGATTAAACAGGGTCTCCCATTAACATCGACATTGAGAATTAGGTGGAGAAGCTCTCTCTATATGACAAGAAAAGTGATTCCGTATGAAAGGGTTAGTGCCGATTTCAAAAGGTAAAACGTTGAAATAATAGAAAAGGAGAAAGCTATCTTAGTAAAATTTGAATTTTAATTTAACAGTATGTGCAAATATTTATGAAAGCATACCCCTCTTTTTCATTGCCTTTTTGAATTTGTTTTCCTTTTATAGATCTTGTCAAGATTTGTCAATAGAACATACACTATCTCAATTCTTATAAAATTCATTTATATTTTTTCATTTTTTCAATAAACCAAATTGGAAGATTCAAAAAATTTCATATATAGATTTGATGATTGAAATAAAATAAAGATTTTGATTGATATATAAATTTTACCATTTTTTCGTTACCAAATATCATAGCGACATAACACAAACAACAAAAACATGTACTAGTAATTAAGAGAAGAACTATATATACAAAGACAAAGACAAACATATTATTTTGAGATATTAATCTTGGGAATAAGAGCTTATGGTATCAAAGGTTGGTCCGATTAGTTAGTAGAGATTAAAAATATTTTGGTTTTTGACGTGGTGTCGGGGGACCGTTAGGGAATGATAGATCGTGACACCATTCACGGGTAATCTCTAATACTAACCCCAAATTTTTATCCGCATCACTAATTCAAATATTATCCAACTATTTGTTACAATTACAACCACACAGCAACGCTTGAGCAGTATATATCTATGCTTATGCAACATAACCAAAATTTTACTATATGAATTTCTGAAAACTTCGAGATGACTATTTTTTTTTTTTGGTGTTTTCAAATCTAACAATGAGTAGTAGTAGCTAATCGTGACTTTTTTGTTCGGCATAAATTGGCAACTGAATGTATTGATAACTGTTTTTAAAAAAATATTATTTGCAATACAATTTTAATGAAATTAGGCTTTTTTCCTTGAAATGGAAACTCGGACTGAACTTGATTCTTTGATTTTTATTTTGGAAAAGGGAAACGTTAACCGAGGTGTCAACGACGAAAGAGGAAAATAATAGTGGAGATGTCTTTTTCAAAAAGATTATGTAGTAGTATTTAAACATGAGAACTATAGTTGATTTAAAGACACCTTTTGACTAATTAATTATATTAAATTTTAGAAAGAGTAATAAAGACGTCTTCTCTTTATGCCTGGAACTGGAATGCAAAAAAATATCACTGACCAATCATGAAACATCGAGAAATATAAGAGATATTTTCATTATGTTCCATTGTTCCCGAAAAAAAAACTTCCTTAATATTTTTCATGATTTACATTTCCGTAACATAAAACATTCACCTTCACCTTCACATTTGCATTAGATTTCTTTTAAGACGAAGAATTAGTGGAAATCAGTTTCTTACCCGAAACTCATCAAACCTATTGTTAATTTGTATCCAAGTTTTTATTTCGTGTTGATCTAGTGAAAGATCCACGTGCTTGACAATTATGATTTAATTTGGTTAAGAGTTTTTAATCTGACAACAATGGACCACACGAATTACTTTGGACGTCGATCTGAAATTCCTGTCATGGAAAAATATTGCGTAATAATAGTATTATCATTGGCTATTGGCTCAATCAATAAAGTGTTTTTTTTTTTCCTTCAAAAAATAATGTATTTTTTTTCTAGCCATTTTCTGTAAGGTTTTTTGGTACAAGGAAGGAAATTATTAATTAATATTAAACGAAAGATTTTGGGCCTTGTGGGCCTAAACGTCCAATGCTATATCTTCGGGCTCATAACGGATTTGGTGATATGCTTTGCACCCACTTACCCATTTAGTTAGAACTATTCATGTGAAATAAAATTCGATTTGTATCCAATATTCCTCTAATTTTACAACTACTGAATCAGAGAACATCGACCCAACTCGAGAACCTGATCCGAGAGTTTAGAGAACTTCACTGATCATATGAATTTCTCAGTTCTCATAAGGAATTACACAAATCTTAATACTCTCTCTCATCAACCAAAACTTTTACATACACCCACCATCCATCTAAACAACGCAGGTTAGTTTGTCATTACTTGCGACGGAAGCTTCCCGAATATAGAGTCATATGATGTCGATCACCAATCCCCGCCAATGTCTTCTGATAATTCTTCAACCAAATCCTCAAAAATCTCAAACTCGATATCCAAAACCGTCTCTGCGACTTCTGCGTCGTTCTTTGATCTCCATAATCCCAAACTCTCTGTTCTGAAATCATGTTCGACCATCATATCGATTGTGTTTGATTCCACATCTCTCCAAGATGTCAACCTCTCGCATACCCTTTTGGCTACAATTGCGGCTTCATCTTCACCGTCGATGTCGCTTTGCAATTCCTCTGCTGCAAGGTCTGAGATCAATGCTTCTACGCCTTCAGGAACTTCTATCATCTCTTCAAAGTAGGTTTTAAGGACTCTCTGAGTTATAATCTCACAATGATAAAGACTTTTCATCTCCTCCTCTTCTTCTTCTTCTTCATCCTCTTCCTCGGTCTCTTCGTCCGACATTCTTTTCTCGAGTTCCATGGGATCCAAACCCGCAAGTTGCTCAAATCTACAAAGCTTCTGTAGTAGCAGATGCTTCGCTTCTGTAAATCCATACCCAAAAATAAACATTAGTATAAACTATAAAAGGGATGATCGAACTTGTTAGAATACAAAATGTTTTTATATGTTTTTCATTCATTCAAAACCCTAATCTAACTTGCAAATTCTTTACATAAATATGAGAATAGGAAATGTACCAATTCAAAAATAAAATGTTAACATTCCCAAATCTAATACACTAGTCACAAGATTTTTAAACCAAAATACTTTCAAAAATGTCAGTGAGACACTTTTAACAAAACACTATATGCGTGCACTAACATGTAAAACGTCACTACAACATTATAACAAAACACTATTCGTGCACGAACGTGCTACTGTTCTGTTTCGAATACAGATCATCCGTACAACAGTTTTATAACCATTTAAAGAGGAATCAATAGTTTGGTAAGATGAATTAAATGAAAAAAAGTTGATAAATTTAGAGACAAAAGAGTGGTTCGAAAACGTACTTTGTACAGATCTGAAGCTGGAAGGGATGTTATTGTCATCCATGTGAATGTCTTCGTCATCGTCCTGAAATGGAGGGTCCAAAACTGATACTGGGCTGCTCTGTTCCTTTTCTTCTTCCTCTTCCTCTTCCTCCATTTCTAGTTTCTTTAGCTTCTCTACCTCATAACTGTCCTTCTTCATCTGTTTTATACAAAATTAAGTACTTTAGAATGAATAATTTACTTCACGTTTAGATGCTAATTATTTGACTAGTTATTTTTAGATTGATGGAAATACACAGACAGAGACAGATTTTTGGACTCTAATGTTAAATAATTTTGGTAGACAAAAACCAAAAACATGAGAGTAAGATTTGCATGTCAGAAACAGAGATCAACTTTGTTTTCAACAGCACAAGAGGCTGAGGTAATTTTCGAAAAGACGAAAATACATTTGTCTTCAACTGTTATTGCATCTTCGAAAACAACCAAACGATGAGTTTGCGGGGTATTTTTGTCATTGACTATGATCATTCTTACTTTGTCACTAATTCAAACGAGTCAAACTATGTCATTAATTTAACTTCTATTACCTTTTTTTGGAAACACATCTATAGTTTTGTATTTTCAAATCTAAGTAAAATATTAATGATTAGTAAATAATTGAACATCAATTTTTTTTTTTCAATTTCTTCTAACTAACGAATATGATCAATAATGTAATCATTATTAAATAATTAACTGTAGAAAAAGACAAACCTCTTGACAATCGTGGCTTGGAGAAGCCGCAGGTGATGAGAAATTCGGCGTTCTGAAACCGCCGTTAGAAGGCATTGTTGTTTGGAGAACAAAATGAAACGGGCTTTCACAAAAACGTTTGTCTTCCGATAAATCTTGACCGTTCATCATCATCGCAAACTCATCTGAACCGTTAGATCGGCTGCTCGTGCTAATGGACGTTTCGAAATCAACGTCCCAAGATCTCTCTCCGTTGGTAATACTCTCTGACCAAACGCCACTACTACTCGACCTCCGTGAGAACTGCGTTTCAGACGCGATTTTATGCGTTTGGGATGAAGCGTTTTCTTCTTCTGCTTTGCGTTTAGATTTTCTTGTGACTATTTTACGTACGACCGGAGATTCCCATCTCAACATATCTTTCACCGAAGAAGATGAAACGCGACCAGCGTCTTTACCGCCGCTGATTTCGCGTTTCTTCCGGTTCGTTAGCTTCTTTAAAACTGACCCGAATATACCAAACGCGTTTCCGGCGTTTCGTGTTCTTGTTTTAGACACTTCTGAACTCTGTTTCTGTATCCTAACCGCAGCTTCTAGAAGTATTGAAGCGGTTCTCGCCGGTATATTGACGAAAATCGCGTTTTGGCTCCGATTTGGTGACTTGAGTTCGAACAGTGGAGACTTCTTCGGGTCGGGAGATTCACGAAGAGAGAAGAAACAAGCGTTACGGCAGAAACGCGAGGGAAGTCCGGCGTTTTGAGAGATAGGTCTTCGTTTCTTGACCTGTAAATGCGTTACGTGAGCATTGATTTGGCAACGTCGGTCTGAGATGTAACTTTGAAGCTGAAACGGTTCTTGATCTTCTTCAAGAAGATCTTTTAAATGTCTCTGAGACGCCATTGTATCAAATTCCAACAACAAGAAACAGAGTGAGAAGAAAAAACAGAGTACTAAAGTTTTCTTGAGTTTATTCAAAAGTTTCAATTTATTTCAGTTTGTAATTAAAGTGAAAGTTTCTGGAGTCAGATAGAGAGAAGAAAGAGAGATGTTGATGGTGATTCAAAAAATGTGGATGGTTTAAAAGATCGAGGCAAGGGCTTAAGTAAATAGTTGTAGGTAGGAAGAAACAAAATTAATTATAACATTATTTTTTCGTTTAGTCTATTTTTTGTTTTATTGTGTAATGGGTGATTTAAGGACACAACAACAAAAAAAATATATTTAAAATTCGGAAGGCAACCTCAATGTAACAATGGGGGGATTTAAGAGCACACCAACAAAGTAGAAAATATTTTTAAAATTCAGAGAGCAACCTCAACGTTATTGCCAATTTCTAAAGAGAACAAAAAATATTTTATTTAATCAAAATTGGTCCCCTTGATAGTTAATTACTCTTTGTTAAATATTTTCTATGTTTCATGTTAATTGATGTTCTTACTTAATGCACTATATTAAAACAAATTCCATAATCTAAATTTAATCAGAGAAAACAAATAAGATTTCTACATTAGAAGTGTAAAACATAATTTAAAATAAAAAATAATAATCTCTAGTCCCGCAGCTTCTTTAGTCTCTAGTCATTAATCTCAACGTTACTCTCTTATTTAAATTTCGGTGAGTCACTCAAGAGTTTTCTTTTTATATCCATCTCCATATATTTTACAGAAGTAGAAAAAAAAAATATCATAACGAGCGCTTATTTCAATAATAGCATCGAATGATCGAATAGTTGTTTTCACTTTTCACATTTTCGTGAAACTATTATTTTTCCTTCAAAGGACAAAAGCGTTGACGATCTCAAAGAGGTAAAGAGTAAAATATAAGAAAAAAAAAAAAAAGGGTTTAACTTAAAAAACTCGTGAGAAAAAGAATAGAAAACGACAAAAGAGAGAAACACGCATGCCCAATTTATTGTAGGAACTGCATTTTGACTGCATTCACTTTTTTGACGACCCTTTTATTAAATTACTAGTATGAAATTGTAATTTGTATTCAAAAAATCGACGCAAACTGTAAACGTTATCCTTTAGTTATATATCGATTCTTTAATTAAGGAGTATAAGTTAAAATATTAGTTTAACGTTACACATTTATGAACATTAATAGAAGATGAAATAGTTAAGTATGTTTTGGTCTGTAGTCCGAAAAACTTATGGATCAAATAATTAAACTTCTTGATAAATGCCAAGAACTATAGTTCATATGAAACAATTTTCTGCAAGGGAATTCAAAATTTACAATTCGAAACGTACCAATAAAATAATTTTGAAATTTGGTTTTACAGTGCTCCTCGTGTGTAGAGATTGGCCAAAAAAAAAGGACACGGTACAACATTTTATATATAGCTTTCATATTTTCATTTGATTGGTTACTCCACATATACATCTAACTTTAATTTAAAATACAAAACCTTTTTGTAGCTTCTGTCTTTTTTGAAAAGAAGTAATTATGATTGTGTTTCTGAGCATGGTAATTTTAATAAAGTTGATTACAGTTATTTCCTCATATAGTTCCCAGATATATATTTAAGGTCAGAGCAACGCGTGCCTTCCTTTATTTCCTTCAATCACTTTCTGCTTCTAGCTAGTGGTGGTGTGGGGCTTATAAAATCGAATTTATTTGGATGATTTTTCAAATTGAAATTGTGTAAGTTAAAGTGTAAAATAGTCTGATGTATTTTCAAAAAAAATGTATTGTTTTTCAGCAAGAGTGTTTTTTTTTTTTTTAATGTTTTGATTGATCAGAATCTTGGAATGGAATGATGCAAAGTAAAACCATTAGGCAATTCTACAATTGTTTTCCAATTAAACAGCTCTAATTTGCATAATTATTTGATTGTTCATTTTTTATATTGTTCCGTAAATTTCATAGCAAAGTTTTTTTGAGAAAAATAATAATCTCATTCAAATTTTCTGCAGTTCAATATATTTCTTGCATATTTAAATCGAAACATTCTGTGTATTCTAAAATTAACATTCCTTTTTAGGATTAAGATTTGACTGTATGGAGCCATTCGGTATGCGTGAAATGGTCCAGCTTTTCATAATTGTCTTTTAGATTCGCTTAAATAACACACATAAAATTGTGACAATAGCATTAACACGTTTAATTACCCAAGAAAGTCTGAGATAAGCGAAATCCCATTCCAGAAACAATAAAAGTATTTACAAGTTGAGAGAATCCTAGGCAGAAAATAAATTTTGTCATAAATATTAGAAAAAACATATCTATTCATTTTATAGTAGTTTAAGATTTGTTTCATGGATTAGGAGTATTGTTTAACGTTTTAGCTTAAATGATAAAAACATTTTATTTTCACATATTTTTCAGATAGTATATAGGTATCATGGTCTAAAATACTTTTGTTATATAAAAGTCATTAACAAAAACTAAAGATGCTGTGGATAATGATGGAAACTAATGATCTTTTCCTCAAAAGAGATTCCTAATGTGTCACACAGCCACCCCAAAAAAGTGAGTTTTGTAATTCTTTTTTTTTTTTTTTATATATATAACTATCCCCAAATTAATCATATCCACAAAGGTAACCAAATGGTCCAGCTATACTTGTTTAAATAGTATTTATTTTGTTTTAGTGCAGAAATCTAACTATCGTTTCCATGATAATTAATTGTGACGGATTGATCAGGACTTAGTGATTTAGTGTTTTTGTGTCATTACACGAGTTTATTATTGAGGATATGAAACCATGTCGCATGTTTGCAGTCTACCGATAAAATGGAAGGTAAAATTAAAAATCTTGTCATGTCCATGAGCCATGAGGACCATGGCAGTGAATTGGTAGTGTTCAAGAAATGTTAACGTCAATTACTTTCTATGATTAACATACGAAAAACATAAAATGTTTTCGAACTTCAGTCACTATATCTTTATTGGCGTGATGATCAACTTTCAGATTGGGTCACGATCACAACCTTTTTTTTAGGAGATATGATAATCAAACTTGAAATGATTAGTGAGTATGGGAAAAACATTATTTATATATATTTGGCTATACCAAAAAAGTATAGATTGGTATGTTAAATTACATTTACATAGGATAGACATTGACATTTATAGTTTTATTTAACAAAAAAATACAAATCCTAATAATTTTGCTTAACTGGCATTGAAAAAGACATTTCTATGATTGGGACACTTTACTAGAAAGCAACTTATCATTTAATTATAGCAGTGTTTGTATAAATGCAATAATAATTATAAGATCATTATAATTTTCAATAAAAGTAAAATTAAACAACTTATAGAATAAATAAGATACAAATGAAAGTAGTTAGTTTATTTGGTTAGCTAATGACTCTTTGAGAGGAGTAAAACTATTTTTTATAAACTATTTTTTATTAAAACAAAGTAAAATGCATATGAATCAATTTGTATATACAAAAATGCCTGGATATTTGTATTTTAATACAAAAATAAATATATGTGAAATGATCGGAGTGGTAAGGAGCGATGGATTTTAAATACACGACCCTATTAGTTAAGGTTTGTGGACAAAGTCGTATACTAGTAAAATTGCGACAACATCTCAAAGGAAAATAATGAATACAATATATACTAGCTAGATTTTAAGTTTATCTCAAGAACTAATTGATAAATTATAAAACTAATCACCTTTGTATTTAGGTTGACGCTTCTAGTGATTGGTGTTTGGTAAGTAGTTTCTCAATAAGAAATATTCTTATTGTTTTCACATATCAAGACAAACTTAAGACATACCCAATTTTATATTGTTATTTTCTGTCCAACGTTATTTATTTTCTTATGATGCTTTGGTATCTCAATTATTAGTCTAATCATATGATTAATTTAGGGATGGACCGAGTGGTTAAATCCCAAATTAGCATGAGATTTGTTATGAATAATCGAACTCAACTGATTGATATTTAGATAGATAAGACTGGGCGCAAAAGATGTATTAATGGCCACCAACTGTGTAGTTTGTTTCCGAGTAAGAAAAACTGAACTCGCAGTTGAAACATTTTTTTGTTCTATTTTGTATCAAGGGGTCGTTTGGAACATGTTTTGATATAAAGATTCAAATCAAATTATATTTATAAATTTATAATAATATATAAAATGGTCCAGTTGGAAATATACATGTTTAATTATAAGCATATTCATAAAAATTAACAGATGACTTTCTGTAAACCAGAAAAATTGTTGTATCATATTCATATATCTATATATGTTTCATCATCAACCACATGATTTTCGGTTATGTATTGTATTAGATTTGAGAATATATATAGCATGTCAAATCGTGACATCGTAAGATATTAACATGGTATTTAGTAAAAATTAATATTCATATGTCAAGATTAAATTATATATCAAATTATACCATCTTCGTTAAGATCTGACTACATACTATTGAATAATAAAAATCAGCGATGACTCACGTTTATAGACTATAAAAAATATTTTTGATGCGTGGTCAAATCTAATTATCTTTTTTGTTTCAATTATACTGTACATCCATCTAATTTTAAATCTGAGGTTAGTTATATTAATAAGTACAGTTTGTAATAAAGTAATAATTGATTAAAAAGTATAGTACTTTAGAAGACATGAGGAGACAATAACATCGATTCATGAATATTAGAAAATCAAAGTGGGGGCTCATATTTTTATTTTTGTTTTTTCACTCTTGGTTTAGTGACCACCGTCACATAACTTAAGGACAAGCTTCGTGTGCGTCCAAGCACACGTGTGGTTCACCACATAACGCCACGTGTCAAATTAGGTCGGCATTTTGTTCAGCCGCTTGTTATGGACGTCCACGACTCACGGTTCGATGACGTGGCCGTTTCCCCCATTGGATTCTTTTTTCGCGTTTCGTTTTTTTCTCCACAATTTATTTGTGTTTTTTTGTTCGTTGCAATAAGCGGCTCTATAGTTGATTTTGTATGCATGCGATTAAAATAGCACGAAAAATAAACCTCTACAAATATCTTTTTTTTTTTTTTTGGTGCAAAGAGCTCTACAAATATCTATTCTGTAGTTATTCAAAGTTAAATTTGTAACCAAAAATGAAAAATATTTGACACGGAATTTGATACATGAGCAAGGTTACCAAATTTTGAAATTCACATAGGTTCTTATATTAATTATTCGGATGCACGTTTCACTAATTAATTTGATATACATCTTCCTTTTTTAATTTCTTCTGTTATTGCAAGAGTTAGCGATTTTATGTTTGTTTATTTGCGAAGCTTCCAAGGAAGAAAGATAATAAGGAAACAGACAAGAAATCTATATGAGCAATATAAAAAACCATGCATAAATGATGTTGGATATACTAATATATACGTAGACGTGTACTAATATTTATCAATTGAATTGTATTTGTACGTATACGGCTATTCATGTGAACCGGTGAGATATCGAAGAAGATATGGGCAGATTGAAAGAAGCATGTCCCAATACATTTTATGTTAGCGGATTCAATAATAGCTAAAATATATATACACTAACCTATTTATTAGATACATATGAATTATTGAGACAGAAATTTATATAGGTCCAATTAAAAAGTTCGTGACTTTGACTATTGCGAGACAATATGTCTCCATATGTATCTTAAACTTGGATCGTGTCGCTCGATTTGTAGCTTTCCTCCATGCTCATGCACGACCGGTACATTTATATTTTACACTCATTCACGCACATCTCGTTATAGGAAAATGTATCGAATTAACATTCAAATATCTTTTAATTAAAAACAATAACATATACAATGTTTTAACATATACGAACTATTGCGGCACGGCGGCACCGAACATGTCACCATTTAGAACACACACACTGACACACATAATAAATTTACACAGAATTTTGATCTGAGTAAAAGACGGTGACAATACTTATATATGATTAATGTCTCGACCATTTCGGCGAAAGGAACATATACGTACAAAACAAAATAAAGCATGGAAGGAGATTGTAAGACTTTTATTATTATAGGCGACATCAATAGATGACAAGCTTTGTTCACAAGATTAGAATTCAACTACTCTTTCAGAGAAGCTAACCAAGTCGCCGATCGGTTAGCAAAAATGGTAAACAACTACTCTTCCTCGATGTATTAACGATTTGTTATTTCCAAGATCATGTAAACTTACGATCAAAAATTAATAATAAATTAATGCTAAACGTCAAAAAATAATAAAGCATCAGTCATCAGTGCATCACTTTAAAAGAAAAGAATTGTGGAAAATAAAAGAAGAAGTATGTGTTGTGACTTCTGAGTGATAATATCTCCTAATGGATAGGTTTTAAAACTTGGAACATTGTAGATGTGATGTGCTAAGTATGATTAATTATTGATTTATCGTAGATGCATGCACTTTCAATACAATAAAGTGAGAGATGCTCAATTCATACAAGGAAACCTCGTTTATTATTCCACCAAACCAAACATTTGATTATTCCATTTTCCTTTGAATTCTATCTTGTTTTTCTATTAAAAAAATCTGGTCTAAATAAATTAAGTCCTAAAGTATAGCAGTATCATATAAATTATTTTGGCTTTATCGGACATGTTTGGTAGTTAAGGATTCGTCTGCAAATTACTATTTGATTGGTTACATACTTCACATAATTGGAAGGTAATATAAATTTTCTTTTTGAAGTAATTGAAATAATGCACTACTCTCTTAACTTGATTCTACTATATCTCTATGTTCTCTATTTACGTGATCCTATCAAGAGGGTCAGTTTGATTTCACATTTTTAGTTCAAATTCTCAGTTCTTAAACATATAATTAGAGAGATTTGAAATGGTTCATGATATAATCATGTATTAAAATGCTCCGGAACAAACAAACAGTTTTTTTTTGTTTTTGGGCAAACAAACATAGTTTCTTTACATTATTATTACAATTCTACCAAACACGACGATAAATGTAATGCCATCGTAACTTTGTTACACTTTCTATGCAACATCTAGTTCAAAACCAAATCTTCTTACTTTTTATTTTATATATATTATATATTACTAGAATCATAGAAGAACAATGAAAATATTCTAACAGTGATATTTTTTATAACTTTTATATAGCCCAATCCCAGGGACTGTGCTAGTCCAACACTAAGGTTTGGTAAGATCAATGTTTTTGCTTAGCTCCTCCAGCTTCTTGAACCTCAGTTTCTCGCTTTCTCCCTCCAACTGCGCACATTCATCAAAAACGAAGAAGAGCAGATTAAGTCTCTCTGTCTCAAAACCGTCATAAGAACACGATCAAAGTGAATATAAACAACACTTTTGATTTAGCATGTTCACCAGATAGTACAAGCGATCAAAGTGAATATAAACAACACTTTTGATTTAGCATGTTCACCAGATAGTACAAGCGTTTCAATGGAAAATACAGTAAATAGAATATAGTGCAATTACAGATACAACGCATGATTGTTCTTTTGGATATCTCACGAAAAAAGGGTGCTAAGATAATGTGTTGGATCTAGTTTGGAGAAACTAATTTCCAAGCACCCAAACATAGAAAGTCCTGATCTAGAGTCTCTACACTGATTTCACTTTTCAGAATTGTGAAACCCGTTTTTAAATCAAGAATTCAACTATTAAAATGACTTCACCAATTGCAATGGGAGTCTTTCCCAAGCCTCAGAACAAAACTACGAGCTTGATGTTTATACCTACTTTGTAATGGGTAAATTCGTATGCCCCGAAACAGCTAAAACCCGATTAGTTTAATAGACAACACACCAATTTGTTGGACCAAACGCAGACCATCCATGACGTTCATTCAAACACTAAATATGACTTGGAAATAGTAGAGAAGAAGTGAGATCATATTGAACAAACCTCTTGTAGCTTGGTGATCAGCTCCACCTTCTCCTTGTTCTTTTCATTGAATGCTTCAAGAGCATCCTTGTACTCTGTTTCCTGCACATTTTGATTAAAAAAACAGCTTAGGATACTAAGAATCCTGAACTCATCCCGAAAATTTTTCAGTATCAAGTCGGTCTAAAATCGATCCGATCTATATCTATCTTCATCATCCATATAAAGCAATTTTATCACGAAACACAGTGCCTAGTTACATATATGAAGAAGCATTACAATTCTCAATAGTAAACCCAAACCTTCTTCTGAACTGTATTCCCCAATGGCTTTAATTCTTTGTCGAGAGAATCAATCTTCTTCCGCACCATAGTAACTTCCTTCCTCATGGGATCAGCAAAACCTTCAAGTTCCTGAATGCATTTAACCATTAAAGCTTCAAACTCACCAAACAAACATCACCACAAATTCAGTTTAGAGCTTAATCCATAGCTTCTTCTTTTCCCAATCAGGTTTAGATCATGACACAGAGCTCATCCTTAGAACACATATTATGCTCAAAATTACAAAAAAAATCCACAAATCTAGAATCTAAAAATTGGAAAAACCCTAAAACCAGACCAAATCCAGCTTTCTAATTTTAGAACATTCAACTATCAAATCTAAAAACGAATTTGAATTTTTTTTCCCTTTTGGTCTCTCTAAGCCATTGGAATTTGACCTAATCTACACTAAAATGAAACTTAAAGCAGCAAGTGAATCACACCAAAACTCGAATTGAAATAATGTAATTCAAAATCAAACCTCACGAATCATAGCGAGACGCTTGGACTCATCTTCAACACGACCAAGCTGAGCTTGAACTCTTTCTCTGATCTCCATCTTCTTCTTCTCGATCTCCTCTTCTTTAGCCTTAAACGCCGACAAAGCTTTCATAGACAACTCATCGTCTTCCTTCTTCATTTGGCTACTGAAGCTCATACTCTCCGATAACTGATCCTTAAGCCGGCGGCCTTGATCCGCCGACGCCGGCCGCGACGTCTCTGTCGGTTGCATCTTCGTCTTATTCTTCTTCCCGGAGGATTTGCTTTTTAGCCGTTTATCTGATGCGCTCTACGATGACCGTTGGATTTCTTAGAATCCTAATAATGGAAGCGAAAGGAGCGTGACTGATCTTAACCGGAACTATTCAATCAAATTAAACCGGTATCTTATGAAAAGATTTTTTTTTTTAACTTTGCAATTTTAGATTTTTAAATTTCAACAATACTATTAGTGCGATCATAATCAAAAGTTTAGGTGATAATTACATCGACAAGGAATTGGGCCGAGTGTATGTATACTTGGACCAGACCCATGAAAAACAAAAAAGGAAACTAATAAGTCGGTTATGCTACTTAAAAAATAAGGGATCCCACATCGGTTAGTGAAAGGAGAGGTCCTTGAAACTTGTCCCATAAATAAATGCATTTGCTTCATTAATAATGAAATCAACTGGGCTTCCAGCTACGGCCCATTCTGTGCATGAGGTCTATAGGAATTTAAATGGATTCCAACATAAGTCGGCCGATGTATCCGCACGGATCGATTCGGACGCCCGCTTAATGGGTTAGGCCCTAGTGTTTTTTTCCTCTTCATTATTTTCTTTTTGAGTTTTTTTTTATAAAAAATCGTTTTCTCGTTTTTCTTTCAAACGTTTTCATTCTAATTACTTTATTTATTATATAAAATATTTTTGTTTTCAAATGGTGTAAGTGTTAAATTTCAATGCCATTGAAAACAAACCGGATTAAGCATGCCGTCCCATCATACGGGTCTGTAAGTCCGTGTTATTAGTTCAACCGTTTTTCACGCAAGTAAATTTAACACTTATATTATTTTTTATAAATATTTTTACTACGTAAACTATTTTTTAAAAACTATATATTTTTATTATACAAAATGTTTTTATTTCAAAGGTTTTTTTTTTCAAGTTAAAAAAATTTATTTTTTTGCAAATATTTTCTATTTTAACTAAAGTTTTTATTATGGTATTTTTGTTTTCAAATGATCTAAGTGTTAAATTTCAATGCCATTGAAAACAAACCGGACTAAGCATGCCGTCCCATCATACGGGTCCGTAAGCCCATGTTATTAGTTCAACCGTTTTTCACGCAAGTAAATTTAACATTTATATTATTTTTATAGTTTTTTTACAAATATTTTTACTATGTAAAATATTTTTTAAAAACTATATTTTTTATTATACATAATGTTTTTATTTCCAAGGTTTTTTTTTTCAAGTTAAAAAATTTTATTTTTTTGCAAATATTTTCTATTTTAACTATGTAAAGTATTTTTGTTTCCAAATAATCTAAGTGTTAAATTTCAATGCCATTGAAAACAAACTGGACTAAGCATGCCGTCCCATCATACGGGTCCGTAAGCCCGTGTTATTAGTTCAACCGTTTTTCACGTAAGTAAATTTAACCCTTAAATTATTTTTTATAGTTTTTTTTACAAATATTTTTATTATGTAAACTATTTTTTAGTAATTGTTTTTTTAATATACAAAATGTTTTCATTTCAAAGGTTTTTTTTTCAAGTTAGAAAATTTTGTTTTTTGCATATATTTTTTCTTTTAACTAAAGTTTTTATTAAAGTATTTTTGTTTTCAAATGATTTAAGTGTTAAATTTCAATGCATTGAAAACAAACTGGACTAAGCATGCCGTCTCATCCTACGGGTCCTTAAGGCGTGTTATTAGTTTAACCGTTTTTCACGCAAGTAAATTTAACACTTTGAATTTTTTACATAAAATAAGTATGGAGTAATTTTGAAGTTTAATTCTTTTTACTTTTAATTTTGTAAAATGTTTTTATTTCATAATTTTGATTTTATTTTTTATTTATATTATTTTATCAAATCGTGTTTAATTCTTTTTCTGGAAATTATTATTTTTATTGCACTTAAAATTCTGATACGATGTCCGTTGGATTTCTTAAAGGAGAGTGACTGGTCTAAACCGGAACTATTCATTGAAACTAAATCAAATTTAAACCGGTAGCTTGTTAAAATGATTTTTTTGAACTTTGCAACTTTAGATTTTCAAATTCAACAATACTATTAGTGCGATCATAATCAAAAGTTTATGTTATAATTGAATCCAAGTGTTCCCACTTTTTTAGTTCAATGTTTTTGTTCAAGTATTACCGTTGCGATTGTGTTTTGTGGCATGCATAGTGTATCCAATTCCAAGACCAGCCAGCTGGCGCTAATGATCGGTTTATTCCGGTTATTGTAATTGGTTTTTAAATCAAGTGCTACATTTCTGGTTTAGTGTTTTGGATATTTTTCATTACCACATTCTTTACATTCTCGGTGTCCTTGTACACATCACTTCACTCTAATGAAGGAAAAACATTTTTTACACTCACAGCCTCTTCCTTGATTACGATATTGGATCCAAAGTCTGAAAGTCCTAATCGTGGTTTGCTAAAGCATAAACCACGGCGGTTCTACACGGTGCATAGACCATGAAGGAGCTGGGTCGTCCGTCGTATAAGCCATCCTGCATTGGCATGATTGGTCAAGAGACTGGAAAAGTCACAATGAATGTAAAGAATGGTTTTATTTTTCTTACATATGTGAAATACTCTGCCTTGCGATCGAGCCTATTGAATCCACCAAACAGAGGATCGTCTGAGTCCAATACGATCTGAAATGTCGAAAAATAGAAACATATCGGATTCTATATTCACATGCAAAAGTTTCCAATGTTTCAAAAGAAGAGTTAGATGTGTGCATACCTTATATTTCCCAGGCTTGGAGCAACCAATGCGGTAATCGAAGTAGCTGCTGGTCCAGTGGAAGTTAAAGACAAAGACGAGATCACCTCTTTCGAATACGATTACTCTATCTGCTTCGTCTTTTCGTGATATGAATTGGTGCTCAGAAGTCATAAACTGCTCAAATGTAAAATCAGAATAAAGCTAATGGGTGACTGAGATCATCTACAAAGATTTTGATTTGGAGACTTACACCGTAATTCTCTTCAAGATGTTGCATTGCCTGATCAAATTCTTGCAGTCCGCGGTATCTGAGATAGTCTGCATCCCCCTATATATGAACTATTCTGAATCAGAACACAGAAATACAATAATCTTGAGTAATGTTGTACTTGGCCAAATCTCAAGAACTTACAAGATCAAATCTTCGTCTGCATTTGTCATAACTAAAATTGTTGCCAGGAATCACACTTCCATCAGAAAAACGCTGCTCGCCTCTGGGAAAATCGATCCATTCTGAAAATTGCAGGAGTAGAGACGAAATTGTAAACTCAACAAATTTGCACAGAAAGTAAATGAAACAAGCTTAAATCGATACAGTACCTGGATGTCCGAATTCGTTTCCCATGAAATTTAAGTAACCTTCACCGCCTAATCCCATAGTTATAAGCCTAATCATTTTATGCAAAGCTATTCCTCTATCGATAAGAGGTGTTGATGGTCTGTCTACTGCCATGAAATCATACATATCCTGGAACCCGAGCAAACACCATTCACATAACTCCTAAGATTTAGTTAAAAGAATATAGAAAAGTATAATGGCGTCTAATCTATACCTTGTCCATTAACCAGAAGGCAATTGTTTTATCACCAACAAGAGCTTGATCGTGACTTTCAGCATAAGCAATACACTTCTCTGACCACCTTCTGTTGGTAAGTGTGTAAATGATGTCGCCCATTTGCCAGTCTTCATCTCTCTTCCTTCACAGCATAACATGGAGGAGAGAGTAAGACACTTACTTCACCAAACGTTTAAGCAGATGGAACTTAAAAGAAGAAGCAGAAAAATCCTCACTTAAGAATTTCTATCCACTTATCAGCTATGGCCATGTGTAAACGGTAGTCAAATCCAACGCCACCATCTTGGACAGGAATACAGAATGTTGGCATACCACTAACCTGAAATGAAACGATCTTATCAGCATAGATCACAAAATAGCTAGCACCAAAAATATATACCAAGTTTCACTTGTTAGTTGACACTGGTTTAGTTAATCTTCTGCATTGGACTATCATTAATATGATAAACCATATGTATCCCTTATGGCTCTGTAGAGCAATTTTTTATTTAGCAGAATTCACCAGCTAACAGTTTCTATGTCAGAGGTCTCACTGAAGAGTAAGAAGATATAGCAGACTATCAAGTCAGTATGATAGCGTGGTAAATGTTTTTACCTTTTCTCGAGGGTGAAGGTGGTATGGGAACTAGGAAAGATAGGGAGTAAAAATTTTATGTACAAGGGATATTTTAACTTGTCTTATTAGGGCTTATCTAAGATCGGTGGTGATAAAGAATACATTCAGAAAACTTACATCTTCACCAACTGTAATCGCTTCAGGGTAGAGCCCATGAATCATATCATTTACCAGCATGAGATAATTCACAGCATCCACATCAGTTTCCAATCCAAAGTACTCGGTGTAATTCCCAGTAAATCCAACCTATCCAAAACCCACAAAATAGAAGGTCAGCAGACCGAAGTAAGACATGCATTAAACCTGACACAAAATTGGTAAGATGGGAAAAACAAAAAGCATTAGCCATCCATTGTAGAAAAGTTTCAAGTACCGAGAGTCCATGATGAGTATACATCATTGAGGTTACACCATCAAATCTAAATCCATCAAACTTGTATTCTTCTAGCCACCACCGTGCATTTGAAAGGAGATATCGTAAGACCTGTTGGAAAAGATCAAAAGAGACTGTTGGAACTAATAGAGCTCAAGAAAGTTGTCTGTTCACAATATTTTTGATGAAAATTCAGGAAGAAGGTACGTACTTCCCAGCTCCCATAATTGAAAAGTCGTGAGTCCCACATCCAATGGTAACCCCGAGGTCCAGAGTGGAAATAGTGAGCATCAGTTCCATCAAACATGTTCAGTCCATCCAATGTGTTTTTTGAAGCATGGCTGCACAGGTTAGAGAGTTGCAATATTAAACGACATGTGAGAGACCAAAAGGTGGATCTGATTGTTTGCTTTCATGAAAACTTTCACTACCTATGAACGATATCCATCAGAACGACCAGGCCTAACTCATGAGCTCTATCTATCAAAGATTTTAGTTCCTCTGGGGTCCCACAACGACTGCTTGGGGCAAAAAAGTTTGTGACATGGTACCTGCATTCATAATAGAAACGACCATTTTCCTCAGTAAGAAGAAACAATAAGAATTGAGATATATAACTAGCTGCCTGAAGTAACATATAGCATAATGGCAGAAAGGCTGTACAGCGTATAGTTCTGTACAAATAATTAAATGCAAATATCTAGGATTCTACTAGAGCTCACTCAGGTTAAAAGCATACCCAAAGCTGGCATAATATGAATGTTCTTGTATAGCCATGATTTGAACCGCATTATAGCCAAGCCTTTTGATGCGTGGAAGAACATCATCTCTAAAGTTAGCATAAGTATTGACCATTGGTTCCTGCATAACAAGCACACTATTATCATTCACGTGATCTTGAGAAATATCCAGAAATTGGGATCTATGTCATTATAGTCAAACATTCATACTGAACAAACCAACAGTGTAGCATATTGATAAGTTATAAAGAAGTTTGGTACGCAGATGTTAAGGATCAAAACAGAACTATTTAAGACGAAGAGGCTCACACACACCGTGCTACTCATGCCAACATGTGCTTCATAAATCCTCAGCGACTTAGGTCTCTTTGGTTGAGGATGTTTGAATACATATTTCTCCTGAAAAGAAATTACGAATAGTTGAAGGGACAAGCAAAAGTTTCTGTTGATGTTCTTAGGAACACCAACGATAAATTGTAAGCATACACTAAACGGGCTGCAGAATATGTTCATTCATTGTTCATCATACAGAGGAATATAGATGACTGAATCTCTGGGCTAAAAAATAAACATATGCGTTCGAGATCGTCCAAGAAAGATATCCATTACTTTTGCCTTGGCAGTAGCAACTTATCTATAAATCTGAATCATCAAAAACTTCAGACTAGCACTGGCACAATCGTTTTCCACAAGATAATTATTCAAAAGACTGCAGAACCTTACCTCTTCTGGAGGATCATAGTATATGCCATTGAATGGGATTTCACCTGGAGCTTGCACGGAGAATTTGATCCAAGCAGGAATTGAGTCTTTAATGCCAGACGGAGTATCCATACGAATCTGGAGTTTTGTGTATCAGAAATTACTTCATCGTCATTACATAATATTCTCAGAAGCTTCCAACAAATATGTATTAACTCATTGCTTGCACCAGTGAGACCATCTATTTAACATAAAACATGCAATAATTGGTGGGAGCAGAAATGAATGAATGAAGGGCCTTGTTAGTTACCTTTACACGTGAGCCATGAGGAATTGCAGGCGAACCATCAGTGTTGTTGGGCAAAAAAATCTCCCAAACACCAAATTCATTCTGTGAAAGATTTGATGAGAGAATCATTGGTCGGAATTCAATAGATCTTCAAATTTTAAATGAATTTACCAAGCATAAGGAATTTAAGCAAAGTGGCCAATGGGCCATACCCGAGTCATGATATCTGCATTAGAATTCCAGTTGTTGAAATCTCCAATAAGTGATGCAGCCTGAAACAGGCGAGCACAGAAGTTTAGAAAAAGTACCAAACTAGTTATAAATATGCACACACATAACAGAAAAACACATACAATAAAGAAGTACAAGTTGCCATAGAGATGTGATGCGACTAACATGTTAAACCTCCTACACTCAGTTTCAAATAAGCAAAACCAATCACTACTCCTACATGAGACAGGTGCTACAGCATTTCGACCACATAGTGACTGTAGGACAATATCCAAACCTCGTTATATGAACAATATTTACTTTGTGGGCACAAAAAGCAAATGCAAAGATTCTGTCTACAGTCGTGAATGAAGGAATTAGTACAACAAACTTATAACTTTCTAGTGGAAAACTCAAAGAAACAAACCTTAGCTCCAGGCGCCCACTCTCTATATGTTATACCGGCATCACTGAAAATTGAAATGGAACTGCGATTAGGGAATTATATAATATGCTATTGATGAAATGATATCAAAGTGACACTGCAGCGGTAATGAGACTAGTTTTGCTAGAATCAGGCTTTTCTATTGCAAAAAATTATGGATGTCAAAACCGATTAGGATCCCTTGTATAAAAACCATTTCACGAGTTGCAAAATCTGGAAACCTGTAATAAGAATGAAATCCGGCTAAAGTTGCAAAATATTGCAATATATACATCCAGTCTCCAATGACTGAAGAACTATTGGTGGTAGCAAATAGTTACCTGCGCGAAAATCCCAACTTTTCATAGCCACGAGAAAATGCCTCCAGACCACCCTCATATTTGTCTATTTCCTCACGCAATCTTTTATACTGTCCATAACTGTAGCCAACAAAAATGCAAGATATTTAACGGAATCAAAAGTAACAACAATATCTAGACTTGCTACAAAATTCTACATCAAATGTGAGAATAGTCCTTCAGTAAAAAAAGATTTGGAGGCTTAATGGCTTATATACTAAAACTAAAGCAGGTATAGTAGGAAAAATATTGTTACCGGTAATCAAGATGATTGCTGTAACTTCGTAACATTGGGTCTATCTCATATATTTTTTTCCCATCCCCAGGTGAGGGAACTACTCTTGGTCTCACTCCTCTCTCTTCTGTTCTTAATGCCTGAGTCTCTTCCATTGTTTGACTTTCTAGATTAAATATCTACAACAAGAAGAAAAACTGTTTTCATGTAATGCACATAATAAGGTTTCAACCTCTAACAATTAGCCTCTGCATATACATATAAAACTCACTGATTAAAGAGCAGAGATGACAAAGATATCCACCTGTGGTTCTTGTGAAAAACTGCTGGGATCATCATCAAGGTTATCAGGTACTAAGACTTTCTCAGACGCAGCGATAGCTTGTGAAGAAGAATCAAACTCCGCAGATTGTTTCCCAGCAAAGATCTTCCCTACAGACATGGATCTAATCAAGAGGTATCTGGAGAACAAAGACTAAAAAGCAGTTCATCAAACCACAAAATCTGTTTCTATTTCTACTCAACTTTATCATCATTACAGTTCATGAAGGTAATCGAGTAATGAGGAAGAAAAAGAGGCGTACGAGAGAGATGGTGCTTTTTGAGGAAGAAGGAGAGGCTGGAATTGCCATTAAAGCCAGTGTTGAGAGGTCGACAAGGAAGAGTGAAGCGTGGAGTAACAGACACTCCGTGAATCACCACCATATCACTCACCGCCGGTGAAAAAAACACTCGGAAAATTCGGAAATAGTGAGAGAGAGCATAGATCTGGAAGAAGAAAAATCTGGAAATTAAATGAGTGGCGGGTTCGTTCGCTACTAAGTTTTTTTTCTTCTCGATTTTGCTAGTTTTGTGATTGCGAAAGCGAAACGAAGCGATTGCTTAAAGATCAGTGTGGGAATGGGGTCCACCCGAGTCGCAATTCCCATCGTCTATTTTTCTATGATTATTAATTTTTTTTTTTTTTTTCCAAGTTGTTCTTTATTTTATATCACAAACCATCTTACAACAGCATCCAATAATGGATCAACCATTATGGAGAGTCAAGTATTTATAGCAACTATGAACTTAAACCAAACCTAAGATATATTACAATGATTAGTAAGAGAATAACATAACAAACTAAGACTTGGCTCTGTTACTAAACCTACACAAACAGAGCAACATTTTGAAAAAACGATAAGCAAATGCAGCCACCACATGATCTTCATGAAACTGAGAGGAGAAGGATCAAGCACCAAAAGGGTGGAGCAGTACGAGGTAATTTAAATATGAACACATTCGTCAAAACATTATGCACCTCAGAGCAAAGTCAATCACTCTAAGGGAAGGAGCTTCCTGAAGAAACTCATGGGGGATGTTGAGTAACAGGGTAGAACTTCACTCCATTCCTTTGCCTAGCATGTCGAGTATTACGAGATGGTTCCCTGCAAACTTGTTTACCTTTTCTTCGTTTAGAACATTCCCCAATCTCGTATCTTGCTTTGGCCTTGAAGCCGACAGTTGATTTAAAAGTGGAAGAGGAATTGGATCCTGTTGATTCACGCCTAAGACTTGACCTTGATAGATGACTATGATGGACAGGAAGATGAGTAACAAAATCCCCATGTTGACTCCTAAATGAAGACGGTCTTGATGGCTGAGAGATAGGAGTATAAGAAGAGATGATAGAACTATTCGAATTATGCATCTCTTCACCATGACTATTACTGTAAGAAACTTCCCTTTGGTGCTGAACCGGAGCCACATGTATATTAAAGTCATCAACAGGGAAAACAGGTGGAGTGAGATAGGGGCAGTGACTAGTTTGATGGTTAATGCGACAACAATGGCCACATATCCTTGTGAGCTGTTCATACTCAAAACCGACCATGGCCCCTTCACCAAATTCAAATCTTACTCGACGAAAAAACCTCAAAGGATCATTAATTCCAAATCTGACTTTAACCCTAAGATAATTGACCTGAGTAGTTGTCGCCTCATCATAGTCAAGCTCTTGAAATTCACCAATTGTGCTTGCAATGAATTCAATAGTATCCTTAGAGACATACGGTAAAGGGATACCCCGTATTTGTACCCAAAGATCAATGAAAGTAAGAAACTCCCCCCCAGGGAAGTCCTCCCATCTTTGTAGGGCTACAAACCATTCATTGCACACCCATGGTCCTCTTCGTAAAACCGAGACCAAGTCTGACTCTGATTGAAAAAGAAACTGGATATACCTTGCATCCACTATTCTTCCGTGAACCCTGGAAGGAACGCTCCAAAGTCGAGGTAGAGTAGAAATAACACTTGTAAGATTCTGAGCTCGAGGGTTTAAGGGCCGACCAATCAGACTTAATCTGTTGCTTGCCAAAGCATCCACATAGGCTTCATAGGGAATAAATAATTCTGGGTCATCACGACCCAGATCCATATGTTGAAACTCATCCCAAATATCGTCAGACATTAAAAGGGAGGTGAAAAAGAAAGGGTAAAGAAAGATGAAAAGGAGAAGGGTGTAACAAAATAAAACCAGAGTAATTTATAAGTACCAATTTAGACCAGCAAGGGATAGAGAGGAAAAAGAAAAGGCGGTAAAGGCAAAAAAGAGAGAAGGAAAGTCAAAGATAAAGATAAAAGAATTCCCAAAAAAGAGACATTTAAAATAACCTCACCGCTTAAAACTAAAAATTCTAAGAAACTGGTTTTGTCTGCATCTCAAAATTTAACTATGAGGAAACCATAAACCTATCCAAAAAGTATCTTTAGTCAAACCCAACCGACTACCAAAAAAAATATTTTTGACTGAGCCTAAAAATATCTACAAGATGACATCAGAAGCTAATACAAACAAAAGAAAGACTATCAAACAGAGAGAAAGCTTCTGTCCCCAAAAGAGAGATTGAAACACTAAATCTACATACCCATAGCCATTCTCCTTTCCTGCTCAAAAAATCCTTTAAGCCAAATAGGATACCCCTTAGCTACATAAGAAGATAATCTTAAATCAGAGGTAACACTGTTCGCTATCATGGAAGCCCCAACATTGCAATTCTGAGATTCAAAAAGAAGATACCAATATCTCTTATCTTTACTAATCAGTAAAAAAGGAGAGATATGACTCACAATGCTTGGCCAGTCATTAGGTTTATGCATAGCTTTAATAATGTCCATGGTCGTTGTAGCAAATATCACTTTCTCAAAATGTAAACTCTGCATACTTTCAATGGCCCATTCCCAACTCTTGATTTGAGCTGTAAATTTAGATTCCACTGCAGCATAAGATCGTCTACTGTGAAGTATAACCTTTCCATGAGAATCTCTTAAAACCCAAGAAACTCCAGCAAGGGAATTCCGTTTAGACCATGAGAAACCAATGTTGCATTTAACCTCATCATCCAAAGGAGGTAGCCATACTGAATCATTGGAAACTGAAATTTCCTTATGTTGCAAAAGTCCCAGCTGACTCTCCATCCACTCTTGAACATCATCAAAGGCATTTTCAATTAAAAGTTTGGCCTGGAAATGTACTCCTTCAAACAAAAGCTTGTTTCTATTTTTCCACAATCGCCATAAAATCCATGGAAACACCAACTTAGCATCAGCAGATAAAACTCCATTCTTAATGACATGCATTAGGTGATGCAAATTCTCAAATTCAGAAGAACCAAAACCATTCTGAGGAGATGGGATATTCGATAACGCCCAAACTTGTCTTGCAAATGGACAGAGGAACAAAATATGGTTAATTGTTTCAAATTCCTCATCACACAACATACAACCATCCACTGATCTAATGCCTCTAGTTTTTAGCCTTTCTGTCACTGCCAGTGCACCACGAAGAATTTTCCACAGAAAAATTTGAATCTTAGGTGCCGTGTTGACTTTCCAACAAGCTTGTAAGACAGGGTTCCTTGAAGGACATGCTTCCTCTTCTTGAAATCTCTGTTTGTTTAATAGCCTAAACATCAAATCATAACCAGACTTGACTGAGTAAATCCCATTAATTGTTTCATTCCAGTAGAAAGAATCTGGCCAGTCTACCATGGGCCGATTAGCTTTGATAATCTGAATGTCAACTGGAGGAATTAAAGTTCTGAGAAGATCATCATTCCAATCGCCAGTTTGAGGCTGAATTAAATCAGCCACTCTCATGTTTATATTCTGAAGAGTATGGATACTACTCGGTCTTCTAGCATGTCCATCAAATATCCAATTATCTATCCAAACCAACGTTTCTTTCCCATCACCAATAGATCTCCTAAGCCCTTTTGTCAACAAATCTCTTCCAAACATAATACTTTTCCAAGCATAGGAGGGACGAGTACCAACAGTTGCAGAAAGGAAGGAGGAATTGGCAAAGTACCTGCTTTTGAAGAACTTAGAAAAGAGGCAGTGAGGCTCCTATGATTATTAATTTATTATATGGTTTATAAAATTAACGGTCCAAAATTTATTTGACCAAAAATCTTGTGTCACGAGACCATCGCTAAGCTATCATAGCATTCCACGTGAGAAAATTTTACATACCTCTTTTTTAGTGAGACGAATGCATATATGATATATATGTACCTTTACATTCACGAGATAATTCACAAAAAAATAAATAATAACAATCAATTTGATACTAACATTAGTATCATCTAACAGTAAGTTTTTCAAAGAATTATTTTTAGATTTTTTTTTTAATTTCTATTTCCTCTTCTATGTTATTTCCATTTTTCTTTTTAAGATATCCATGTTAACAATATAATGAAAGAAAAAAATTATGGTTTTTTGTTTGGGTTTTCACCGTTGTGAGATATCCTCGGCAACTTACAACAAGGCAACAAATTACTAAAAACATAAACAGATCTTTAACGTACGTTACTTTTAATTTTTTAACCAATAGTTCACACTTTCAAAATTATTTGTTTAGATAAAATATCTCTTGTTTATCTCCTAATCGTAAATTGAAAGCGGATGCTTCGGTGATAATTATATATTACGCTCGGGAGGAAAAAAAATTCTTGGTAAAAGTTTTGTTCTGGACTCTAATTTAAAGATATGTATGAGCAGAATTTCCAAGTTTAAGAGACTATTGTACATTACATGGATCACAACATTTTTCAAAAGAAATAAGTATATCAATCAATATCCATATTTATTTATTTCAGGTAATTTTCTATTTGGAAAAAATTATATTTAAAACCAAATAACAATAGTTGACAAAAAGTAAAAGTAAAATAACAATACTTCTTTTAAACAAAACGAAACAAATAATAAACCAAAAAGTGACTCTGTGACTTACGATACAAGCAAGAGTTCTATGAAAGGCTTTAATAACACGTAACCTTCCTCATCTTCCTCTAGAATAACTCAAACTCAAGATGTTCCCCAACGGCCTTGCAATCTAAGTAATTGCTTTTCCCTTCATGATTCGGAACTCCATAGTCATAAAAATCCGGAAGCTCAGGCGGGATCGCACACCGGATCAACGCCCAGTTCAAGCCTTCGAAGAACGCATGCCGTTTTATCTCCGCCGCTCCTTTCTCTGTTCCTAACCGGTTCTCAGGTTCCTTGACCAACAAACCTCTTATAAGATCTTTAGCTTGGAAACTCACATTAGGGTTATCAGGAAACTTTAGGCTCTGAAGGACCACATTAGCTATAGTCTCCTCATTAGTAGCCCCTTTGAATGGAGTTTTCCCGTAAAGAAGCTCATATAGAAAGATCCCAAATGTCCACCAGTCAACCGCAGCACCATGACCTTCGCCTTTAATGATCTCGGGAGCGAGATACTCATGTGTTCCAACAAAAGAGTTTGATCTTGCATCTGTTGGTTCTGCCACGAGCTGTGGCAATGATTTGAACCGCGCGATTAGGTCAGATTTCTTGAGTTTCTTCATCATCAT